AATGTCCAGCGAGAAATTAATAAAGCATCACACAACTGTGCAAGCATTGTTCAATCGTGTAGGCTAGTCCAACACCACTAACTAAATACGCACAAATGACAATGCATTGCAGCATGTCCCACAGCCATTGTCCAATTGATTTCTTTCCGGTGTGTGTATTGTGGTACTAGGTATGCTGGGTGTTGCATTGGTAGTAGCACACTGACCTTAGTAGCATGGACCTGGTCATTGCGAAACTGCTCCAGGGGATCAAGGAGGCGCACCTCAGCATTGCCGAGCTGGACAGGTACAATCAGACACATGCGCCATACATGCACAAACGTACGCAAGCGCACCGTGACGTACATGCATCGCACACACATGTGCGCAAACACACACACACACACACATGCCCTTGCTCACACATCCATTGACACAAATCAAGAAAACCTCTTGTCATGACAAAACACAAGTTATGATAACGTACATCTAGAGCTGTCTGTCAACATTGTCAATAACCACACGGAATGGTCTCTTCAATGCGTATCTCTTCTATATGTATTTTCAATACATTTCACTGCCTCCCAGAGCATAAGCCACACTGCTTTTTCAGAAAAAGAGCCAGCAACCCAACCAGCAGAAAACGTTCATAACAGTACATACTCATGCCATAGAAAGAACCTTCTTTTGTGATCCCATGTTTTCATTCCGCTTTATCAGTGTTGAAAGCAGTGTACCGGTAACTCAGTTCCTCACCTCTCCCTTCAATACGTGCCTTGCCAGAATATAACGAGTATGCAAAAACACACAACTCTGTTTTTGCCACAAACAAGATGCACGTCCCTATTATAATATAACTTACAAACATTTCTCGCTGCTCCTCGATGCCGCTGATCAGACTGGCAAACTCCTTGAAAGCACCAACTGCACAGTGGACAGTGCACATACACACACACACACACAGTACAAATTGGAGCTGAGCTGCAGCCCGATATCATTGATGTACAACACGTCTATGGTAGATATACGTGGTAGATACGAACAGGCAAGCCAACATACAAAATAAATGGTGATTGACCCTGGCTCTGTAAGATGTACTGCATCACTAAGAAATGCCAATGCCTTTACCAAAGCTCAAAAAGAAATTATTGTTAGACCATTACCCTCCATACGCTCCTTCCGGAAATCATGTTTGCTACATGAAGGGTCTGAAAGTCTTAAACTGAGAATGGCATATAATGGCTTTCCAAATCACTTACTGATTTGTGCTTCATCTTCAGTGGAGTCTCCAATGAGCTCAATCTTGAAACCAGCAAGAATCTCGCTGACATGACGCTGTGCTCGGGACAACTCTGCATACACATACACACAGAGCCGAGAGAGAGAGAGAGAGAGAGAGAGAGAGAGAGAGAGAGAGAGAGAGAGAGAGAGAGAGAGAGAGAGAGAGAGAGAGAGAGAGAGAGAAAGAGAGAGAGAGAGAGAGAGAGAGAGAGAGAGAGAGAGAGCGAGAGAGAGAGTCGAGTGATATAGATAGAGAGATAGATGGATAGATAGATAGATAGATAGATAGAGATAGAGATAGATAGATAGATAGATAGAGAGAGATCAAGAGCGAGAGAGAGAAAGAGAGAGAGAGAGAGAGAGAGAGAGAGAGAGGGAGAGAGAGAGAGCGAGCGAGCGAGAGAGAGAGAGAGAGAGAGAGAGAGAGAGAGAGAGAGAGAGAGAGAGAGAGAGAGAGAGAGAGAGAGAGAGAGAGAGAGAGAGAGAGAGAAGGAGAAAGAAGGAGAGAGAAGATGGAGAGGGAGAAGGAGAGAAGAGGGGGAAGGAGATACGCAGAGAGAAGGAGAGAAGAGGGAGAAGGAGATAAGCAGAGAGAAGGATAATGAGAGGTAAGTTAATTCCTATAGTGGGTACAGCTATTCCAGACTAGATTTCCAGGTAAAACACAGGTTGACTTGACTTTGCTTCCACATGACAGTAGCAAGTAAAAAGTGACTACCACTGCAAACATGTGGCCTGGTCAGGGTGCTAGTGGGGAAGTAGGGCTGAACTTCTGAGACCAGTCCTGGGCCAGAAGTGATGACATCAGACAGTTTCTCTGAGCAATCACTGCAGGATGAAACGAGGCAGAGTTGCCATCCACACACTATACGGTCACCCTGCACCTTTAGACCAATACACCTTTCTTGCAAATTGTCGGATTGTTTGTCGCCTATGAGTTGCTACAATCCACGTACACTTAAATTGATGAGGTGAGCAATATTGCATCCAGGGAAGCCTGCCAAAAGGCAACCATTTCAGGAACCACCGCTATCCGGTCCTCACACAGGAGTGGTCCTGCTATCGATGATCATAAATCTGGAAACGACACCCCTAGCCCTAGCCCAGGGACTGGTTCTACGGATCACCTTCAATGGTCTAAGTGCTACTCTACGTCCGGGAAGTCATGCCATACTACAAGTACAGTACTGACGAGCGCCGAAGAACGGCCAGGCTAGAATTTCACCAATTTTTAAGAACGGTCTACGCTGGAGTTTTTCAAGATAAGAACGGAAACCGTAATGTACACTCAGACGTATTACTATTACTTTGCATAAATGTACATGTAAGACTGTACCATTGAATAAGAACGAAACTGCTGTGTTTGCTAAAAATAAGAACGGGCTAGGCTAGAACCCTGACCCCCCAGTTTTTCGTTGCTCGACAGTCCTGTAGTGCACATAGGCAACATTTCTGACTTTCGGATGATGTATGGTCATACCAACTGGTACACCCACATGTACCCCCCCCCCCCCCCCCCCCCCACACACACACACCTCCGCATAATGTAAAGGATGTGCAACAACATCGGCTATAACCAAGAGCAAGGAGCCAATCAGATGTCATGCAATTACAACTGCTTTCCGATTGCATGGAGCCCTGATAATCCAAAGGTGGATTTGTGAAGGTAATGCTTATCTGCAGTTTCCAATCGACATGGTAATTATCAATAGTTTACTTCAAGCATGTCCAAACTGCTAGTGCAAGTATGGTAAACACAATGTCTCTCCCTGCAATTCATGCCGGATGTTGGAAGTCATCTGAGCAGGGACCACTGTCAGGATTCCACCTGCGCAAGCTAATGAAGTGTTCTTGCAATTCAATTATACTTTAAAGAGACATTGAAACATAGTGGGTTGGGCAGTAAGTGGTGCTGCGTATCACATGCACAGAGCTACTCCAGTCCCAACACATCCAGCCCTATCCAGGGTAAATCAATACTGCAGAGTGTAGCCTGTAGGCACTAGTAAGTGGAAGATCAACCCCCTTTTTCGAGGATGTCTGGGTTCCAGCCGCTGCGTGACTCGTTATGCAGAACTAACTAAATGCAGTTTACTTCCAGGCTAGTTCCTGCCTCGTTTCACACAAGAAATCACGCAACAAACGCATCAACAGCCCCAAACAGCTGACTCTCCGGATGCGTGGTCTGTGAACTCAATCGGACATTCTAGCGGATCATGGATGGCATCAGGCACGAAACGAGTCTGCCGTATACGCGTAGTGATGGTGTGCTCGTGCTTACGACGAGGGGAAGATCTCCAGCCTAGGGTCAGGAACATAGCTTTCCGGGGGATGATAGGTAGACACCAGGAGTTTCGTACCGATACATATAATTATTATGTGACAGGTGTACCCGGTGTGAATGAACACTCCAAGTCCAAGCCCTTTGCTGATTATTGCATCTCAACAACGCAAACACAGCGGGCGCTCGAATGCAGTATTTCACAAATAATTGAGTTTTCATCGCTTGGCACTTACCCTTCTGCGCAGTTATCAGTCGCTTGCAAGCTTTGACCAATGTCTTGATCGACTCTGCTGTGTTCTCAAGCTCCTTTTCGTGCGCCTGTAGCGTATCTCTGAAGAAGGGACTGTCGTGAACACAGTCGCTGTATTCCAGAGGTCGCAGAACCATCTTGGCAGCGGCAGCTCACACTAAGCACAGTGAGTGGCGGTGTGGCCTACAGCCTAGTGTTGCAGCTAGATGATGCCGCAGCACCGAGATGATGAAAAACCAGGTAAAGGGACCCAGTGACCGACTCCACTGCGTACTGCAGGCCAACTGATCACAAATTATCACCCGCCCCACTGAGGGCAAGGACCAGCGCCGAGAACAAATTCTATCCAACCAGCGACAGCTACAGCAAGCGACTTCTTGTGCACTAGCTAATACAACATGTACGCTAGAACAAACACGCTAGTGGTGGTGACTCCAGGGTCGTGTACGCTACGAACACTTTCCTGCCCGAGAGCATGTCGACAGCAGAAGCGCCTCCAACTGCAATGGGGAATTGCGGGGAGATAAGGAGAGACGCGAACGAATGATGACCAACATGAACACAAAAGCAAAAAAATGTACTGTATCCCACGCCACTAGTGGTGGTAGTGGCACTACGCAGTACTACAACTACTGATAGTACCGTACTACGATCTGCATGGCATATGGATATGGGGCGACAAGACATTCACGGCGCAGCGTCAAGTGCGAGTGTACTTGGATATCCAGCTCATGACATGCATGCATGAGGCTCAGCCAGTATGCAGTCGACTTCCTTGGCCGTGTACGTGTAGCCAGGGCCACTAGTACTAGTACTCAGTACTAGTAGTGGCAGTGATCATGGTGATAGCCTACAGCTACTACGGCTAGGCGTGACGAAATAGATCAGCGCCTGGGGTGCTTTTTAGTGAAGTTTTTACTCATAGTCATAGCCATAGTCATAGGGCCTAGGGACATATTAGTCATACCAATTACATGTAGATCTACTAATGATTGATGAATGATTGTATTTGTAGTGATTAGTGTCGAGTAGTAGATCTATAGACCTACGATTCTATCTGCAGTGATAACGACTTCTATTTTGTGCCTGGAAAACCTACCGTCAGTGTCACATACTCATACTCATACAACGAGTCATAGTCATTGACCGACCGTAGAGTCTACTAATACCTTAACCTTTTACTAGCAACTACATTGTACATGTACTAAGTACAGTAGATACACTCATAGTCATACAGGCAGATCGCGCAAAACGTCTTTAGTACTTGCCAAAAAGGCCAATACTGCAATAGGCAATACTGCAATAGGCAATAGTACTACAATACATGTACAAGGTATTGAATATGGGCCCAGGCTCCCCAGACTACATACTAGTAGTAGCAGATCTTCCCTACCCAAAAAATCTGGATATCAGAACTGAGAAGTACAATCATGTAAAAACCTGCACTCTGAACAGACTGAAGCCGTGAAGGCAGCCACTGATGGCAATACAGTGTACAATCATTTGACATGTTTCGCTGCACGCATGCAGGATTCGCCTCTTTCACAAAAAAATACTGAAATAATTAAAATAGCTTGCGTAGTTTGGCTTTTTTTTAATTATTTCAGTTCGTTGCCTCAACAGTACGAAGTACAAAATTAATTAATATCAAGAGGGACGAACGAAAAGAGAAAGGAAAACAGAGCTGAAAGGAAGATGCAACTGAAAGGAAAGGAAAACGGAGAGAAACGGAGAAGGAATGTGGACTGGACGGATTCATGAATCATTACTAGAGCAGGGCAATACATGAACAGAAGGGGCAAGTCCGTCGATATTCATGTTTAAAAAAAATTCCAAGCCTTATGTTGTTGGTGAAATACATTTTAGGAATATAGTCAATTTGTCGTCATTTAGAGCGTGCACAAGTTCTGTAGAAAATGATCTAATGAGTAATGTCTTCACTTCGTTTCAAGTGAGCAGGGAGCCGGAGGGCATTCCACATAAGGGATGCTCTGGAGGAAAACGAATTGTACCCTACCATGGACTTTAAAAAAATATTATAATTATACAAGCATATTGACAAATTGTTTGTTGTACTTCCACGAGTTGACCGCTTAGAGGTGGGCAAAGTAGTGCAGATGTTTACACTATAACTGATAACAGGCTATCCACTAGTATCCAGGCCTGGTGTCCATCTCCGTGTGTATGTAACTCGCTGATATCATGATTGGACCGTAGATCTATGTCAATATGCGACGAAGCAAGGAGCAACAACTAAAAATGCCTCCCTGCATAACAACAGTACGTGTCAGTTGCACTCGATAGTTTGTACTAAGTCTTGTACTAGTGTTGTAGCCTGTCGAGCGTTGTGTTCTGTCTAGTCGATGTCGTGAAGAAAACAAACGACATTTGAATCTACAACTGCATGTGGAGGCTGAGTGGCCGTCTAACCGATCATGACCATGGATGACTGTGCTCAGTCATGCAGTAAAGCTAGCTAGTAGTACCACACCCGGAGGATGACAATGACATTGATAGAGCTAGACTAAAGACGTGTAAGACGGTCAGAAAAGGAGTACACTACTGTGCAACAACTGCTCTGAGTCAGCCTCTTCCTGCCCAAGTCATATCAGCCACGCGGCACGTTCCGAACCAGGAAGTGACAGTCGTATACGACTCCCTGTTCCGAACCTACTTTCATTGCTGCACTGACCTAAAACGTCTTTGTGTAGCAGAGTTGAGAAACAAGAAAACATAAGTGAAGTGCGATGTGACAACCTCATACTCACCGCCCTCCTGGATTCTGATCGCGCTGTCTATTTTAGGCCAAGCCAGTTACTCTTATCTAGATAATATTACGAAGTAGTGATAGATAATATTATTATTAGTAATATTACCGGTAATCGCGGTATGTCACCATGGTCACTGTCACTGACTGAATACTAGTATGATGCAAACGACAGTGTAACTGCAAAACTTACAAAGAGGTGTTGTCACTGTTGTGACAAGCCGGATGCCACAGACAATCAAATGAGCACAAAAAACTCATTCCGGAGATAATGATTGAGTGATATTCATGTACATGTCCGGAAGTCTACATGTACCTGAAATGCCCGGCCGAAAGGGTGAATGCCATTGGCATTATAATTATAGTACATGATTTTACAGCCACGCGCATAGCTAGACACGTACCGAAAAGACAGTTTTTGGTGCGTGACTTTTATAAGAAACCACAAACGTCTGCGTCCAAACATAACTTGCATTGTCCACCTGACGCTAGTTTGGAAGGAGTGGGCCTGAGGAAAGACGGTTGTTTGCGCAACAGTCAACAGTGATCATAATACACATGGACGAAACCGCAGCAATATCATACTAAATTTAGCAACCCAACATATGGGCCGTTTGTAAAGATCTCATGACTGTCGACATGACAATGTCTTGGATCTGGACTCAAAGTACAGTCCGTTACGGTACCTGCCTGGCGGGTGAACCAGGTAAACCAGGGGCGTGGTAACCACATACCACATACCACATGTATATGACCTACAAGTACGATTAACAATACAGTCATGTACAGTCAGTCAAACCTGTCAAGGCGACCACTCTGTCATTCTGCTTGAAAGAAGTACTCAGTAAATTTATAATACAAACTCAGGAATACAATCATGTACAATGTACATCATACTACAAGAGGAAGCTTTCAAGCTGGCAGGCTCAGTGGATCCGATTGGTCAAAGACCCCGATTGAGAAACGAGAAACTCAGCTACTATTACTAACTGGTTCAAGTCCTGCCTGGGAGCGGGGTTTTCCAGCTGTGCTACTATCCACAGTCAACTGGGAACTTGTGGTCAGGCACAAGGGGGTAGAGGTCTACATGGATGCGACTAGTAATGGGGTTTCTCGGCACTTGTGCCAGTGGTTGTGAGACTTGTCCAGGCTTCACAGTTCACACCCAACGACGGTTACGTGAGACGCTGCATCTGCCGCTAGGGTTTACCGGGTGTTAGGGGCCGTCGTGAGTTCCCTTCGGGAACAGATACGATTATTTTATGTGCATATACAGTCAGTATCGCGTAAGGTTGGCGGATAGTAATAGACCGGCTTTTTCATTTGCCATAACTAGTACAGTCGAACGAAGTAGCTAGCGGTGAGGCATCCTGCAGCTTCATAACTCGAAGAGCACACATGCTCATTCCCTGGGCACTGCAAATTCACAACTCATTTCATTTTACAGAATCATTTTCATTGTTTCGGCAAATTGCCATCATCAGGATGGCCCCTTGTATACACAGTTACCGCATAGTAATAATCGTCTTTAGAACGAGGTCTGTCTCGTTGTCCAGACCAGGGAGTAGTACAATACCTATTGTACATGTATTGTAATAATTGTACTACTCCCTGGTCCAGACTCTGCATAACATGTACGGTGTACTACAAAACGCCACGCATCTCAGAAGTGTGTACGGTTCGCCTCCCGTACTCTTTCATTCGGACGATTTTCCTTTGTCAACAGCTTGCTAGCTGGCGGAACTATCAAAATTATAATTTAATTCATTTATACAAAATGTAGGTCTCGGAATGGGGCTCTCGAAGCACCTAAATAGTAAATAGCTCCACAAGCTACATTGTATGAATAAGAATGAAGCTTGCAACAAGAGCCGGCCCAGCATTTCATTTGCTTCTATTCTCCTTTTATTAGTTCTCAGTGGTGCTGAGTTATCACACTAATTCTCTCTGCACACAAACCACAAAACTACCGAATATGCAATATTGCAAGCATAATGCAAGTGAGATAATGCATGTACATGTAACCTCGTTCTAAAATAGTTAGTGCATGGCAGGGAGGGCCTTATGGCTTGTTTGTGCCCTTCAGGTTAGCCCTCGGGCCTACAGCCCTCAGGCTAACCTGTCGGGCCGCCACACTAACAAGCCATAAGGCCCTCCCTGCCATGCACTCATCGGTTATAGTGATTGATGTAAAATCAAGTGGTGTCAGAGGAGAACAAGGTGGTTACTTCTTCGTGAAGAACTACTTGTCCAGTGTTGTTTGGTGAGTTTTTGTTTCTGTTTTTTTTTTGGTGAATTCTGCTGGTCCAAGTTGCCAGATATGCCTCCATCGTGAGCCGGAAATGCTGATGTTGTGTAGCAGGAGCTGTAGCCAGCTATGCAGTTCGTATGTGCACGGCGCGCTGAGTCGCTTGACACCCCACTCGCATACATTGCATGCAGTATCGGTCATAGTCATTATACATGTAGGTTATAGACAGTGATTACATGCTCAAAATCAAACATCAACGCTCTAGTCTAGGCGATACTGCCTGAATGAGAGTACTGTGCAATGAAACCTGTCTAAGGTGATTGCTCAAGAGTCAAGAGTCAAGAGTCAAGGGACCTTCACAATGCCAGGTAACAGTGTACAGGTAGTGTCCTTAACCAGGGTTATTTGAACTTATTTCTAATGGAAATACAGTCATGTACCATCCCTGCTCCTGGCCTTGGTCCTACCGGTAGTTGTAATGGTCCTTTGGGACAGGTGGTTGTTGCCTTGTCATTTTTAACAAACGGCAGCGCCATGCAGGTACAAGTCAAACCCAGATGGTGACTCGCTTTTACTCGTATAAGAGTGCGAGTGTGGCCTCCAATCAGTGCCACTTCGCCACTGCATACATGATACACACCCCTTATCGATCCACTGCCCCCCTCCCCTCCCCCCCCCCCCCCCCCCGCCACGACATTTTCACCCCACCCAATGAGTATGTAAGGTTTAGTTTCACTTAGTGTAGTAAGGGTACATTCACACACAAAATCATGATCAATCTTCTTTCCCAGCTGCGTCGTTTCACTGATCAGAGAGGGAGACAACACACGCCTTTCTCTGGTACATGTGACACATCCACAAACTGTAACGTGAAATGTATACCAGTTCCAGTTCAGGCCTCTCTTTGATGAAAAATAGGAGAATAAGACAATACGCTGCTCAGCTAATCAAATGACAGAGGGCACAGCCATTTCTACTCAAGGGTGCCCATTCGTAAATTTACTCAGCCGTAATTGATACAAAGAATATTCTGCAGTATGATTTTGGATGGAAGTGTATGAACTGGGGGTGACAGTCATAAGTTACAGGTGGAGCAGCTCGCAAAGGCAAACTCAAGCATTGGCAGACTTAGTGCTGGACACAAATGCCGAGAGAGCAGACTCCAGCTGGCCAGCGCGCTTCAGTTCAGCATCACGCTGGTGCTGCAGCTGTCGCTGCAGGCCGTCCACCCGCTCGGACAGGGTGCTCACCTCACGGTCCTTGGAAGACAGTTTGGCCATGTGCTGCGTCTCGAGATCTGCAGTGCAAGCAGGTACATTGTACTGCTCAATGAAATCCGGTCGCGCGAGTCAAATTAGCGCCCTGCACCATTCCGCAAGTCAATGTTCGCACGTCTAGGGCTGCGCAACGCCCAGCACCTACTTGAGTGACTCATCTGGATTTCATTGAGCAGTACTCTGTCATGTAGAATCATTCAGCACTAAAATCACCTTCTTGTTATTACACTCATACCTCGGTTATCCGGACTTCGAAGTTACGGGCACTTCGGTCTACCGGGCACTATTTGGGCGAGTTTCAGGGGAAATATTACTACTCTTTTGTCACTTTTCGTAGAAATATTGACGTCATATGCCATATCGATGGCCTTTTCCCCATCAAGATGTATATGATTCGGAGTTACGGGCACCCTCGAAGTTACGGGCAGTGTCCGGCCCCGAAGCGCCCGGATAAGAGAGGTATGAGTGTATTCACTTAATGTGGGGCTTAGAATAAAACAAGTACTAAAATCATATCATCCACAGTACACAGTAGCCTCACACCCTTCATACCAAATTTCTGCTTGTCAGTTTCGGCACTTCAAGCAACACCCCATGGCCAAATGAACTTGCCAAGTTATTTTCTAAACTTTGGTGGCTCCTTCACTCTGTTTGGACTACGGAGTTGTCGTCAAGTTGGTAGGTAAACCGTTTGCTGCTTGCCGTCGCAATAGGATCCCACATGTGTGGAGAAAACTAGGAAAGAATGGTGTGTGTATCTGCGGAGGGGGTCATTGGGTGTCACAGATGGCCATAGTACAAGTAGTACAACTGAGGGCTTCCTCAAAGCTTTCCGCACCGAAAGATTTTCGTAGCAGTCAACATTTCCTAGCGGCTCATATTCCTCACCAGATGTTTTCGCCCGCTGCTTGAGAACATCTTGTTCGAGTTGCTGACAGCGCTCCAGTGCCTCTTCAAGTCTCCGCTGGGCATCTCGCTTTGCACGCCGCACACTTTCCGCTTGTTGGCTTTGTTCATCCGCCAACTTCTCCAATTTCTAGAAAGCACACAGGATGCGAAAGTGCTATTTCAAAGCAAAGGCAAACGCTAGCACTATTTGAGCCAGAGCAGCGTGCAGTGAGCTAAGCACCCTTTTCGCATGCACAGGGTTGGGTCCCTTCAACCCTCTCCCACCCCCCCCCCCCCCACCCCGAATTCCAGCGTTACGTTCACATTGATATTCATATTGACAGAAATGATTTTCCACCGTACAGTCAGGGCCAATCTGAAGCAGCTCAACAGTGTAATGTATCAGAGAGAAGAACGATCTGCACAAACAGGAACTGTTTATCCCCCGAATGTTCACTATGTTATTCATAGTGAGTCACTACAGTCCGTATCTGTCTGTGTGGTACCTTGGCATGCTGCTGTGCACTCTGTTGTTCTGCCAGTGATTCCTGTGTGAGAGCTGTTAGCTTGGACTGCAACTGGTTGGCTGTAGATGAGGTTTGTATGATGCTACTCTGCCAGCATAACACACACTCACATACAGACGTGCACGCACACACATGTACACACACATGTGAACATGCACGCACACACACACACACACACACACACACACACACACACACACACACACACACGCGCACAACCACAAACAACACATTTTACTTCACAGGTCTGCTCCATTACAAGCAGGAAAGATACTTTAAGAAAGTTTGTGAAACTCAACAGAATTGATCGACATCCACATGAACATCCACATGAACTTTGGCTATAACAAAGATAACCTAACAGTCATGCTGGTTGTGCAAAGAGCACTCTTGCGATACTCCCTGCTCTTGCTGATACGTGCAGCAAAGGGTAGCAAAGAGAAAACAGCATATGCAGTTCACCTGCTTGGCATCTAGCTCCATTTGAAGTTGCTGCACCCTTTCCTCCAGATGATGGATGTTCATTTTCTGAAGAAAAAGGAATACGATAAGAGAAGAAAGAGCCCACTTCATACCTATTTAGAAGGTCTTCTGGCCAAAATAGCAGCACAAAAAAACTTTGGGGAATACTTTAGCCTCTTCATTGACTTCAACTAACGATAGCACTGTCAGTCACCTAAGAACTGGATGTCAGCCTCCTACCCTAGACCGTTCTTTTTTTCATGTATTACAGTCTATGCACAGTTGAGTCACTGTGTATACATTGGTATGCTGTGCTTGGTAACATTCTAGCCGGGTCGTTCTTCGGCGCTCGACAGCACTGTAATACACTATACTATGGGGCAATGGCTCACACGATGATTGGGCCCATGCAAATGCATCATGGACCTTATTCATCTACATGTACATGTCTGCTTGCTATAATGTAAACTTACGATGTGAAGTACATACATATCCATGCATTCACCCACTCACATGTTCATTCTTGACTTGCTCCAATTGAGCCTTGTGATCGGCCAGCAGTACCTCACGTGATGACAGGTTTGATGACTTCTGGCGTGACAGCTCCTACAGCAGCGATGCAGGTTGATAACAATAACATATACATCACGGTCTACAAGCCACATACATGCATTGCCTGAACAGGAGTTCCGTGGCTGTATCAATAGCGCTTAGTACATATCTGGCCACACATTGCCACTCCTTTCATTTTTCTTCTTCTTTCTTTTTTGGTGCGTTTTATGTCCCCATGACGTCGAGGCCTCAGGTCGGCTGAGGGCAAACAGCCTCACCATCACTATGCTCCCACTATGCAATTTTTTTGTCTTTGCCTGTGAGCTGTGATCATTGTAAAAATAAAATTAAAAAAATAAACATTGGGAATGCCAGATTTTTCTAGTTCTCCGAGGATTAACGTAATGGCAGCTGGCGGCGTGTAAAATCTGGATGGCACAAATTATATTCAAATATTGTGTTTTGCACAGTACATGTATGTGCGGTATCTTTGCTCACATATCTAACCCATGGCATTTCGACATGGTTGATCTAACGTACTTGCCGGAGTGCAAGTCACAATTTTGTAAATAAAAATGGCCAAGCCTCAAGAGCTGGCGATGCATACTTATACCCAGGGAAGCAATGCAACACAGTATTAAATGCCCAGTAACTGTTTAACCCCCTCCCCGGTTACCGTCCAACCAACCTGCTCTAGTTGTGTGATCTTGATCTCTGACTGTCGCAGTTGCTCCTGAAGTGCGTGCTCGCGTCCGTTGGCCTGATGACGTGCGCGGTTCAGCTCTTCCTGCGCCTGTGCTTGCTGATCCTGCAGCACCGCTGCATGACGTTTCTCATCAGTCAGACGCTGGCCTGTGCGGAGTACACGGTCAAGAGGAGGTCACAAGGCCTAACTATGAAAGGATGACACTCCAATCAAACCTATGATTCCAAACCAATACTGTAACTGGCATCCATCGTGTCGAGCATACCACCAATTGCTTATCATCAATGGATGTTGTGTTGGAGAGGACAACAAAGGACACAACACCAACATTTAAAACATGTGTAAGGCAGATCCACCACAAAGTGGTCAAAGATTGACAGTCCATTCCTGGAGCGTGGTGGTTGGTTCCAGCTCAGGTGCATATGGTCAATCTGACTAACTCTCGTGCAACAAATTACGTATTAAACTTTCAAAAGCATAATCACAATGTCTCCATAGAAGGTTATCAAAATTTAACATGTGACTTCTTTCACGGATCAGAAACATACTCTGGAATGATGTCTCCACTTTCTGCACGTGCAGACGAAGCTGCTTGTTGTCTTGTTCAAGACTTTCAATATTTCCAACCAGCTGCCTGCTGGACAATTCCAACTCCTTTACCTAAAACCATTGGTAAGAGAGGCACCAAATCCCAAACAGACAAAATGGCCATTACCAATCAGCTCTGACATTGATACTTGAGTATGGACAAATAATTGACACCACCACCACTATTTGAGAGACATTAAAAATTCATTTTTGCATAAAGTCAGTCGGACTGAATCTGTTGCATCCGTAGGAACGCCACCGCCGTCAAGGATCATGGCACAGCTCCTATGTGGTGGGAGAGACATTCAGAAGTACACGTGGGCATTTAAGACTTTTCAGTGTCGCCTCCACCAAACTATTTTACTAGTATTGAGCCACTAGGAAAGTGTCATTGAAACCAAGAGGTTCATCACGTCTAGGCCGCATTCCAATGCTCTAGCCTGTATCTTGAACACCGAGTATGGCAGAACACTATTCGAAGAAACTATGATAAGAGAACCTCTGCTGTGAAAGAAATATACTTAATATAGCCCGTCTCTCACATGGTTACAGCATACCAATGTTGCATCATGCCAGGGGAGAAGTACTCCTCTTCCAGTGAACAGTCATGTTGTTGACGTATACTATAAGGACATCGTAGCAAAAGTACTCCCGGCTGTTACAATCCAAAACGAGGGGTTGATTGCATGCATAAACACCACAGTTTACTCCAATCAACTCATTCATATACCAGAAAGACCAGCACTTACCTTTGCGGATAGAGCATCCGCCACATTTGTTGCTTTTTGAGCTGCTGCCGCTGCCTCAGCGCGCAGCACTGTAAACCTCTGTAACACCAAGAGCAAAGAACGGACAGTTGTCGGCAGCAGTGTGTAAAGGCTACATGTACGTATCTCCGACTCTAGCCTAGATGAAGTCATTGCATGCGACTACAATCCACCCAGAGATGCACAAGGTAAGATGTTGGACACAGGTTGTTCATAAGCAGATCATGTTGAACGGATAACTCTACACCTTATGACGACCCCGGTATCTATTTCTGAACAATAACTACGAATTACCTCTTTCTCAGACTTGATGTCCGCTTGGTGAGCCTGATGCATTTCAGCAGTTTCCCTGCGGAGTTGCTCGATCATTGCTAGTGACTGATGATTCTTGTCTTCAGATACTTGAAGGGAGGTAGATGTGGAAAGATACCTACATGACATTGTGTTAAAAATATCACATGGACACCTAAATAATGATCATAAACAACTTTCCCGTAACTCTGAATCACACACATTTTGATGGGGCTGAAAGGCAATAGATATGGCATATAACGTCACTATTTCCACAAAAATAAGTGGGGGGGGGGGGGGGCATGCATGTATGCCCCTTGTCAGTACCAGTAGCTTGAGCTCCTGATGTATAATTCCCACCACATACCGAGCATTCAACTGGGATATCTCCTCTCTGCTCAGCATCAGCTCCCGCTGCAAATCACCGATACGCTGCTGTGATGTTCTGGACACAGGATAAGAAGAGAAGATGAGTATTGATAAGAAACGTCTTCGTAGCCCTGGTAGTCATCACCAGCTACATGTGTCCTTGACGCACCCAATCTGCGGCTCACTGACTTGTCAGTTTGAGCACTCTGGCAAGGTACGTTCGGGGCTGGTTTAAATCTAGCTTTGGAAAATAGTATATTTTTTATCACTGCTCTCAGATTCGGCCTCATTTTCTCTGTGCTGGGCTGGTGAGTCCACAAAGGACGAAACAGTTCTGTCCGCAGATTGAGTGGATCCCTCACCTATGTTTTGTTGAGTATCATCTACCTATGTTGAGTGCCAAATTTACACTATTCCATTTACTACCCACTTACTCGAGGGCTGCGTCAAAGGCGGCCTTCTGCCATTCCAGTTTGTCAATCATCTCTGAAATCTGCAAATAGAAACAGAGAGGGAATGGTACTGGCGCAGTGAGTACATCTTTTGGAGTACACTAAAACCTGCCAAGGTGACTACTCTGACAAGGCGACCAACTGTCCCAAAGGATCACTACAACCAGGAACGAGGAATGATATTTCCAGTCGCATGACCCTGGCAAGGCGACATGGAGGTCACATTAGAAAGGACCCTTGTGCGGTCGCCTTATACAGGTGTCACCGTACTTGGAAGCCTATGGTGCAACGCAGTCCTGATAGTTGAACCGGTGCGTTAAGCTGAAACGATTCATTGTGCATCATACTTGAAGTAAATACAACATCACTTGCAGGTCATACCGTCCTTAGATATGTAGCACACAGCAACTGCTGCACCACAACTGTGCTGCTGGGCTTTCTACGTATTGCTAATTTGATGTAGTTGAGTCCCTATGCCCTACACATGACATACTTAGTTAAGCACTGTAGCTCTTTGGGTTATGTTCATGCTGATCATGCCACTGGCACATGAACTGACCTACCTCCTTTTTCTTGGTTCCCACTTCATGGTCCAAAGCCTCGGTCAGCTGCTGGGTCCGGCTCGAGTACGTGCTCTCCAGCTGGTGTCGGTCCACATTGCGTTGCAGAGCAAGACCTTGTAGGCAGAACATATCAGCAATGATCATGAAATCAGCCGTAATTGCCATTCTGATGCAATATGAACCGACTGAAGTTGAATTTACGCAGACTTATGTAGGGTTTTTCTGTCAGTCAGTTGCTACATCACTGACGAAATTTGAGACTTCTCAAATACAATCTATTGTACATATACATCATGTACTTCAAGTAAGTAGATGCAGAAAATAGCTGGTCAACATACACAGTGGAACAAAACAGGGTCACATACGCACAGTCATGTAAACTGTACCAAATGAATAAATGTGCATGTCAGCACCATAGACATAGATCCTGTATATGTTGTGAACTATACTTCAAAACAGATTATACCGAGCTGACAATAATCTAGTGGTGGTTGGACAGAGCAAATACAACTTGAGGACTTGCACTAGATGATTTCATGACTTGAACCAAACTGGGGTCTGTATTTCCCTTACTGACAGCAGACATGACGTCTTCGGCAACCGAGTTTCCAGTCAGCTCCAAGGACACCATAGTCCTGTTGTGTTCTAAGCAATCCAAGAGTGCCCGGCCGCCCACCAGTCCACAGTTATTCCAGCTTAGATCTATGATGAACAAAAGTCAACACAACAGCGAAGCCCTGCCATTACTGATCATAAGCCACAACATGAGAAGCTGACGTACCATACCAGTGATTATGGGAAGCTGTGCCGCTCAGGTTATTCAGTTGCGCTGTGCATGATCCACAGAGGGTGGTGGCGTTCCTACGGACGCGGAAAACTCAGCCTCTAGCCGAGTCTAACGCGAACCGTGATTTTTTTGTTTTTGTTATGACTAGAAATGATGCAGAACCTCTTTCGACTATCTTGAGTCAATAGTGAGTTGGGAAAGTTAGGTTGAAACAGTGGGAATGTGCAAGCTTCATGTTTCCAGCAAACAACCCATCACTGTGGTAATACCAGATTATGTCCCAGATTAGGTCACATTGTCATAATAATACTTCAGTATACGTTTGGCTACGAGCAATCTGAGGTGGTATTTGTGAGAGACCCATTATAATTAAGATTATACCCTTGCAAGGATATCACTGATAAGCAGCTGTAAACCAAACCAAGGACATGTTGAAAGGTATGCACATGTCATTGCTCCAAACGTATGACATCATGGACCTGTAAAGGTACAAGACATAGCTACAATCAACCCAAGCTCTTCAGTACAATGGCATATTTCACCTTAACAGAGCAAGCATTTGCAGGCCTCGGGGTAAGGCGGGACAACATGAGCTAAGTTTTGAAAGGACGGAAAGTACAGTGTCAAACAGGCACATGATATTCACACGTGCTTTGTTAATATGCAAAGTTTTCACGTTCATCAAACTATGGTGGCTTCAAAGTCTTCTTACCGATTTCCTGCACCGTTTTGTTCTGCATGAGCGAGGCAGCAAGCTGTCGTGCACCCATGTGTGTGATGTGGTTGTTACGCAGGTCCAGCTCCAGTACGCTGCTGTTGATTGCTAGGCCCTCCATCAACAGGGTGAATGCATCTTCGTCTGTGCCCAGAGAATTCCACTCCAGAGACAAACTGTAGCAGAGCAACAGACGTATGGTGATACGTCAGCCAGCCAATAGCAAACTGCACCACACAATAAGCCGAAACGCGTCCGTTCTCTTTATAGGATGACTTTCCCATTGCATGCTGCCCGAACGCATCATCACGCCAACACGGAACACCCATAAGTGCATGAAGTATACAACGGCTATTATCCCCCACGTACACTACACTTAAAATGCTTCAAAGTGGGACTGTTATGCCGGCACAGAGCAGCATGTTTGGATAATCTGTTATTGCTGCCTGCATGAAACAGACCTACAGACTACCACTGCAGTGATGACGTACCACTTGATGACCTACACACTACCACAGCAGTGATGACCTACCACTTGATGGACTTGTTTCGCTTCAGCATTGTAGACAGACTGGATGCTGCTTTCCGTCGCAAGTTGTTACCCTGCCGTGAACACACATGCAAGGAAAATGAAATCATTGGCTTTGGCTCAATCAGCAAAGAGCATTCTAATTCTGTGTTGCCATCTTCAATAGGTCCGTCAAATAGTAGTAATAGGTTTTTCATTTACCTGCCGGTATCTTCTCTATAAAATAGAATTATTCAACTTAACCCCTTCATTCAACAACTGCTTCTCCTCTGATGAGTTCCCCGTCACCTTTATGGAACGAAACAAGACTTGTCAGGAGTAATACTACTTGCTTTCGTGGAGTGTGGCTGGTGAACTGTTCGTGCCGTGGTATGCAAGTGTGGTGTGGTCTCGTCAGGTCAAATGAAAAACCTATTCGGCTAAAGAGCATTCTGCTATATGATAACATGCACTCATACCTCGTTTATCCGGGCGGTTCAGGACCGGGCACTGCCCTTAACTTTGAAATGTCCGTAACTCCGAATAACATACATTTTGATGGGCAAAGGCCATAGATATGGCATGTGATGTCACTATTCCTACAAAAAGTGACAAAAGGGTAGCAATACTTCCACTGAAACTCGTACAAAGGGTGCCCGGTAGATCGAAGTGCCCGTAACTTCAGGGTCCGGATAACCGAGGTATGAGTGTACTCGGTGAAGTGGGCATAGTCAGTGTAAGAACACCAATCATGATGCAAGAAAACTCTACATAATGTTTGTGAGCGGGCTGGGTAAAAACGGTGGCATTGCCCTTTTATCGAACGGGTTTCTGCTAGTTTCAGATAGCTGATGGTCCCAACATGCCAGTATAGGGCAAAACATCTGCAGTAAAAACGGCCAAAAGTGCCAGAATCAGGCAAAAAGGTAGTTCTCTCACCTATTTCCCATGCACAGAGCAGCTGTTCGATCACTTGTTTATCAATTACTTTCAAAAGTGAAGGCCCCTTTTTTACCTCAGCAGCTCACATTTCATGAAAATGAAGTTGGACCTCACGCTAGTATAGCTCTCCTTCGCCCCCATTCTCATTGATTGATAAAGATGATGGCTTGCAACCACTCCAGTGTTATACGTACTTTCAGATTGAGTGCCAATAGTGTGGTGTTATTGCTGAGATTGCTACACAGTGCTTGGCATCCTAGAAGACAATAGCAGCATACATGTACACACAGTCAAAATAAAATGGGTGATAAACCACTCACAGTGCCATATCCTGTAGAGCTCATTCCGCTGCACTGGCGTGCATGAATATCAACACCGGTAGCCGCCGCACTTCTCTACCTTGCTAATACCATTCATAGATGCCACAGAACAGCGGGGAGTGGAACGACTGGGGATCGGGTTGTTCGGCCAACAGGGCACGTTTTAGAGCTCCTTTATTGCTTTCTCAGATGTCAGAATTGGGCGCACTTTCCTGCTGTCCTGGAAGAAAAGTGGTACTACCAGTACGACCGTGTGTGACGCCCCTGGTATGGTACTGAGCTATTGTGGACTGGGTGAACAGACTGTCACCATGGAGGGATGGAACGAACGAAGATGGCACCAATGAATCATGGTAAAATGCCCCAGCAGATTCCCTACTACCCAGTGAGTAGTATTGTGTGGGTATGTACTCGCAGCACTGAACTGCATATAATGCAGGTATCATGGACAGGGTTGTAACACCCGGTCCAGTCACTCTGGCCATGGCTGGATATTATTTCTAAAATAATGTCGATCCACCCAGTTCGTGCAAAATGGGCTTCGTCAATACTGTTCATTTCTGGTAAAGTATCCCAATTGCCTGCACCGCCTGAAATCCCGGTGCTACATCCCTGATCTAGTTGTATACAGCTCGAAAGGTAGAGGCAAAAAATGGAGGTGTTCCATAATGCAGAAAATACTGCAGTTCCGTAATACGCTATTAAAGTATAATGTTCAAGTATCACTGCCCTGCCATCGACTGTACCTTCCTCCGTGATATAGCAATCAGCGAGTTGCAGTGAGAGAATGGAGTGATCGTGCTGTAGCAGCTTCCCTAGTATACTACATGCCTTGAATGATAGATTGATACCTGCATCATGCATGCACCAGAAAAGCAACCAAACAGGACACCGGAATACACTCAAGTACTTGAGCAACCATTGCTCTCAAATTGTATTGGAATATTCACCTGAAACTGAGCTACATGTACTCATTTGGCCCGATGCTTCAACGCTACAACAGAATTTCTAGCAACATACATAGGGAAAGTAGCGGCAACATGCCCTGAGATGAACACCCCTTCTTCAATATACAGAGCAGGCGCGTGCTCGGCGATGGGCACGGGGGGCACGTGCACCCCCCAAAAATTTTCAATCTGATCCAAGGCAATTGTAATGTATGCAAATATGCTCTAAAATTCAAGAAAGGTTGCAAACAAATTGCAGAAAATTGCCGGGGGGGGGGGCTCCCTCGGCTCACGTGCACCCCCCTAGTTGGGGGGCCGAGCACGCCCCTGCAGAGGCTTCACTACAGCCAAACAATCCTCACCACCACTACGGTCGAAGACATTGCAACTCAATTCTAAAACTTATATCCTTTGCTTGTCCTGCTGAAGTCTTTCGGAGTCTCTAAGTCATTCAAGTGGAGCATATTGTGCTTAGCTTCTGTGTTTTCTTATACGTTGACCCTCAATTACTTGTCTTTCAGATGTGTGCTAGTCTGCCAGTGTCCTTGTTAGCAGGGTCATAGACCAGTTAATACATGTATACAGATACAGTGTAGTACTGGCTGGTGAAATCCGATGCTTCCCATGTGACTTTGCCATGAGTTGCTGTCTGTTACATCACCCAACATGTACATTAAACTAAGTTAGCTTGCCAGGCAACAGGCACATGGGCCCAGGATACGCTCAAGGCATGATCAGTGTGTCATTGCACTGAGCACATACATAGGGATTGTTCGAATGGCACAGCCACGTTCAAAGTGTTCTCAGAGCAGGACCGCCGGAAGCAGTTTTTGATTAGTCCGGTAGTAACATGGCCTTTCATACTTTGTGCCTGATATGGCGGGTACACATGCCCTCCATAGTAGCAATCACATGTTGGTGACCAACAAATTGGCTCAGTGATAACGTGACCAGCTGGACCCTTTCCGGCGGGCCTGCAGAGCATTCCACAAGTCTTGGTGTAGCTCGCTAACAGTTTGTCTATTTGCGGGTGCTGCTGATATCCGGCCCTTCTCCTTGTCCCCTCCGAGTCCACACGACTATGCAGCATTATTACTGCAAAGTCATAGCCAGCTTGAAATTGAACAGAGGCAGCTGGGAACGTTTGTATAGTTACACGAAAACATGCATGACTCCACACAGGGCGGACAACATGAACAATTAGACATATTGCGTTTATCCTCAACTTTAGTAGAAAACGAGCATAGTGGTCTCATAGTGGTCTCCGCTTTACTGCCTCCATATGTGTCATGAGGGAGACCAACAGTGTTTACTAGTCGCACCATGCATTACACCTGTGACCACAAGTGTGCTTTCGATTTGAAAACTAGGACGGCAAACACCGTGAAGAAGGGCATAGTACTTTTGTTGTTGTTGTTGTTGTTGTTGTTGTTGTTGTGTGTGTGTGTGTGTGTGTGTGTGTGTGTGTGTGCATTTGTATGTGTGCGCACGTGTGCGTATGTGTGTATGTATGTGTAGCCTTAGGGAGGGGGGGGGGTGGTGATTCATAGGAAACCTCAAAGACTTCATAGAGTGCCGCCCTGGTGCTGGTTCACATGTCCGGCAGCCCCTGGCATTTTTATCATCAGCTGTATACGTTTGTTTAGATAACTTCACAGTCCATCAGTTGATATCTCTCAGGCTTATTTACGCCACAAGAGATCATTGATTGATGTGCGGGGGAAGGCCAGTGGGGAAGTGGGAAGAAGGGGCCGAGGTTCATTTTTGTTTTCGGGCATTTGATTTTGATGTTTTTGCCACTAACCTGAGAGGTCAACCTTGAGTTGCTGCATGTGTTCTTCTCCTCTCTCAGCTGGAGGAAGTTGTTGGAGAACAGCTTTGAGCGGCTTGACATTCTGCTCGGCGCATAGCCGCTGGTACTCGCTTCTCGCAGTGCTCATCGCCGCGGACAAGCGATCACTGCAGTGCACCAGGTCGTTCTAGAGCCGTGGAGATGCAGCTGCTAGCCTAAAGGCGACACTGTATGTGCGTAAACGATTATTGAAATTGTTGACCAATGCGCCGCGCAGCCAGCGCTCAGTGTGCACAACTACAGTACAGTACAATGTCTACAATGAACCCTCTTGTGCTATTTCCGGTAAATCGACCATCAAGTTCGTTGACCCATAGACGTTGCTGCTTCGCTTGTAGCAGTTATATTGCTCCTGCCTCCAGAAAAGGACCAGGTATTCAGGCTCAAGTTGACAAACAGAAAATCACACAATTCAATATCTCTACCAACCATCAACGAAAAAGGATAAGTGCTGCGTAGACTCTATGAAGTTTCACGTTTGTGTCCGCGAAATGAAAGTCCCAGCGATCGTCGACCGGCTGTGGTGCATTTTTCAAACTCAAACTCCCGTCATGTCACCTCTCCTAGTTCACGATCACCATGGTTCACGGTTCACCTTGGAAACGTCACGTGCCGTTGGAGTCACAACTCAAAGTCAAAGCAAGGCAATGCCAAGCCTGGGCAAAGCTTTATGCCTTATGCCAGTTATCATGGTTATGGCCAGACTACCCGCGATTATTATTATTATTCCTCGATTCAACCCCAAAAGCGTCTGTTCCTTTGTCCCGATGAGGGTCCCCAGGTCGACAGCCTATAGGATCGATCGTAATTAAATGAGACTCGGGCTTGGTCACAGACACAGACACATTTCACGGAGCTGATCACCGATTCCCGCAATATGCGGAGCGTGCTTGGACCTTCATTCGGAAATCAGACACATTCAACGGGTAGTGCCTGACAGACTCAGCAGATCAGTGGCTTACGTAGTTACGTAGACATACGGTCATATACGTGTGCCTGTATTGTTCGCCATAGTACATGTACTACCCATCATGATCACAGAACCTTGCAATTATTATTATTCGAGATGCTTCTCGTTTCTGCTGCAGTGCTGGCTCTGACTGTCTCGCGTGAGAGGCAGACCGCAGACAAGGCCGTTCGCAATGCAAAGCCCATGATGCCTGTTTTAACTTCAAGCGTTTAGTTGACAAGACTCTATTATGAAATTTGATGGAGTCAGTCAGACATTCGCGAGTCTCAATCTGGCAGTCCAGCTGGAGCAAGTCGACAGTTCATTCACCCCCCAGCCATATCACCCAGTCAAGGCAGTTGGTACAGTTCATTGGACCTCCAAATGCAATGGATTGACTGCACTTCCAGGACTCATGGGAAGCCTGAATTCTTCTTTTCTCTATGGAACAGTTTATATGAGAACTATACAATGGAACAAAATAGTCCTCTCTCTCTCTCTCTCTCTCTCTCTCTCTTCTCTCTCTCTCTCTCTCTCTCTCTCTCTCTCTCTCTCTCTCTCTCTCTCTCTCTCTCTCTCTCTCTCTCTCTCTCTCTCTCTCTCTCTCTCTCTCTCTCTCTCTCTCTCTCTCTCTCTCTCTCTCTCTCTCTCTCTCTCTCTCTCTCTCTCTCTCTCTCCTCTCTCTCTCTCTCTCTCTCTCTCTCTCTCTCTCTCTCTCTCTCTCTCGCTCTTGATCTCTCTCTATCTATCTATCTCTATCTGGTGCTATCTGGGTTGGCATGGCTCTCTCTCTCTCTCTCTCTCTCTCTCTCTCTCTCTCTCTCTCTCTCTCCTCTCTCTCTCTCTCTCTCTCTCTCTCTCTCTCTCTCTCTATCTCTCTCTCTCTCTCTCTCTCTCTCTCTCTCTCTCTCTCTCTCTCTCTCTCTCTCTCTCTCTCTCTCTCTCTCTCTCTCTCTCTCTTTCTCTCTCTCTCTCTCATCATGATCCCTTCACTGTGCATAGTTCGAAACTCCCCCCCCCCCATACACACAATGGTTGCCTCTTTGCTTTGTCATACCACAACCATTCAACGCGGTGAACCTCTCTCTCTCTCTATCTATCTCTCTCTCTCTCTCTCTCTCTCTCTCTCTCTCTCTCTCTCTCTCTCTCTCTCTCTCTCTCTTCTCTCTCTCTCTCTCTCTCTCTGTCTCTGTCTCTGTCTCTGTCTCTCTCTCTCTCTCTCTCTCTCTCTCTCTCTCTCTCTCTCTCTCTCTCTCTCTCTCTCTCTCTCTCTCTCTCTCTCTCTCTCTTTCTCTCTCTCTCTCATCATGATCCCTTCACTGTGCATAGTTCGAAACTCCCCCCCCCCCATACACACAATGGTTGCCTCTTTGCTTTGTCATACCACAACCATTCAACGCGGTGAACCTCTCGATAGGCGATTTGCCTTTGGAGTTTGGGTCATCCTAAAGTTATTAAGTTGGTTGCTCCAACGAGGAGCACACGCTTCTTGCCGAACTTGACACTTGACTGACTCACGACTGCCATCCGGAGCACATCAGGAGCACGTCGCACCTTCCGCTCGGCAAACCTGAAAGAAAGCACCACTCCCTGCTCCCCACTCTAAAGTTTTTATTATTATTATTATAGATTCGACGGCATAATTATGTGTTCAAGAACTCGCTGATGCTGCTTTCATTCTGCTCGCAAGACACGCCTATCCGACTTTAGTCTGCTATGACAAATCGCCGCCCATTCTAAAGCAGCAAAGGGGAAGTGACTTTATCAGATCTGACTCAAGTGCTGCAGGCAGGCATAGTGGGTTGGTCAAAGACCATGATTGAGATACGAGAGAGGTACCTGGTTCAAGTCCTGCCTGGGAGCGGTTTTTCCAGCCGTGCTGCTACCCATAGTCAACTGGGAACTTGTGGCCAGGCACAAGGGGTACATGGATGCAGCTAATGGGGTCGTTTTCGGCACTTGTGCCAGTGGTTGTGAGACTTGCCCACTCACCCCCACCGTTAGGCGCTGCATCTGCCGCTAGGGTTTATCGGGTGTTAGCGGCCGTCGTGAGTTCCCTTCGGGAACGGATACGATAATTTACTTTTTTACTCAAGTGCTAGGTTATCGTGGTATCCGTACACCACGTGGACCCTGGAATGCGGACCAGAAATTAATTCTACATGCGCTAGGTCACTGGTCAGTGTCAGTAGATAGCCTCTAACGTTAGTCTAGACCTGTTATGACTGCGAGTCCGAGTATATGATTATGAGAACACCCGTAGTGCGTGCCCGCCGACGTGTTCAATGGATCCCTCTATTTGTCAAGGAATCATTTACTACCCTGCGAACAAGCCACTCCTGCTAACAACTGTTTTTAAAATTATTACGTTGTACTCGTGCCGCATGAAATGAGTTGTATGGTGCGAGACTGCCCCCTCTGTCACAACCTGTTCACATTGCGAAGTCTCATCTACCCTATCACCATCCTCGAACGAACAGTTTGAGGCTAGCAGTCATCATGGTCATAGATTGGTGCAGTGCAACGCATCACTTAATTATAAACAATGATCATGAGAGAAAATATAATTATTTGTCTTGATCATATGCCAGCGCAGGTATGGTAGCTATTCTGTAGAATGCTGGCCCCTGGTCGTGCCTAGCCTGGGGATGAAAGACTCGGGTCTCCACAATTATCACTATTGTAATGTTACCTTGGATCGACTCACACATAGCAATGATCCCGGGATCGCCGTACTTTATTGTACATACTACTACTAGAGAAAGGGTTTATTCACATACCCGTAGTCATTGTAGATCCACTACTGCACTAGTAGTACTATTATACAATCATGTAGATTATGCAGCCATATGCCATGTCTTCGTACACCTGGCAAGCAATCGAATCGCTTTTCCCGACAAACTTGGCCCGGAGCAGCATGGAATGTGCGCGAGGGAAGTGAAATCTGTAACAAATCTAGGTGCGATCCAAATACCAAACCGTAATCTCAGCGCTCGCCGTAGGCATCCCCTGACGCGTCCGTGTAGTGGTCGGATTCCTTGCCTCGTCGTGACAGTCTGTTTGGGGGAGCTGCCACTAGCGTGCACCACCACATACATAGACCGGACCGCAGAGGTGCTAAGCTCTCCGATGTGCTCCTGAGTACTGTCTACTGACTGTATGTAGTCTGCGTAGAGTGTAGTTTGGAAGTATTTCGTCCACTGACGTTCCGAGCGTTCGCACAGAAACAAGGGTGACACGCGTCACGCTTCAGACTCCGATCAGCACTTCGCAATGTTATTGCTGCGTCTCGGCTAGTCCGTAGTCGACTCTCCGGAGCTCTACCCGAACTCAAACTCGAAGTCAAACCAGGCTCTCTGCACCAGCAATTGACACAGCGGCTGACACAGTGACAGTCTGTCCGTGCGAGAGGTAACAGCAACAAGTCATTGACATACTCCCAGCCCAGCGACTGCATAGCGCGAGAGCTCAACTGACTGTGTGACTGTGAGTGTCCGGCAGCATGCAGCTTAGCTTTACCTCACAATCACATGCCGGCCGTGTTACCTGTACAGACTCATGTGAAGATTCCCCAACTCTGAGTGTGACTGAGTGAGACTGAGAGCTGTATTCGCCATTCAGTAGCAATTACAATTCTCTCTTACATGCGTAACAGTGGTCCAAGACGTCGGACTGATGTGTTTGTGTTTCTGTGTGTCCGTACAATTGTGCCGTAGCTTCGTCTTTACCCTTACTTTTGAACTTTGTTAGCTCAAGCGCAGAAGAACGTGGCTTCTCTGCTTCCCGGAGGCTCGTCTTTCAGCCCGTGCGGTCTCGAACCGCTGCCAGTATGCTGTGTTTGCGTGTGTCGGGTATCGCCAACCTAGCTCTGTGCTTCTTGTCAGTAATCTCGGGCACGATAGGCGGCGATGTGTGCACAAACCGCACTCGTTCCGCGGGACGGCTGCACGTTACCTGTACACACTGGCAGAATGCTGATGATATCGAATCACTCTGTGGCCGGCTAAGATCACCTGAAACACCTGTGACCATGTAAGTAGATCTATACCAGTAACTAACGTTAGCAGCTACAAACTGAATGACTGTGCTGGATTAGTCAGTAGAGGATGATTGAACACAGCGAAACTACAGTCTAACATGCTATAAACTACCCTATCCCTGGCTATAGTATAACACCAGTGCCATACTCCCCATAGCACCTATGTTCAGACCTTGTCTCGAAAAGGTTCACCAACAAACAACAACAACTCAAATCGTGCAAAACGGTGTTTTTCGTCAAAATGTTCATTCCCAGCCAAGTGTCCCATTTGGTAGCACACCCTAAAATCGCTGCAGGACGGCCGGGACCGGAACATAACATTTACGTTTCATTCTGCATTGCATAAATATGACCCTGCATATCTTTAACAGTTTAAATTCACAGGACTTGTGTTTTAAACAGTTAAAAACAATTCAGCGGGGTGTGACTAAATAGTGACTTCCTGGCATTACGGGAAAGCGACGCAAAGACTCCCTGGAGCACTCTTCGCGTCCCCGTAACGTACAGGAAACCTGTTCTGCTCTACGTTCACGTAAAGAAATCACGTGGAATGCGTACTGGGAAAAATGGCACTTTTCTGCCTGCATTTGACTGATACCCAGCAGATCCACAGTATGCATTTTCTTTGCGTTCGCCACTACGTAGAGAACCTCATCTCCTCGTAGAAATCTGGACTCAAAACACGGGAAGCCGTAGACTCTAATCCAGACACCAGATTATTTCTCCATGTTTCACGTACAGCAGAACTTCACTATTGTGGAAATTTGCCAGGTTTAAACACTGTTTACCTTGCCAACCTAGGACATGAGTGCAGAGAATCACAGCTTATCTATTATAGGGCCCGTATTATAAATACTTTTTGTGGGAATTTCATGAAATGTACTTAGATTTTTTTGAAGGAATTCCATGACGAGCCGCTATTGGAAGTGAAGTAATGGGATGGCAAATCATTCATGTGTCAGATCAAAGTCACCGTACATGTACTGCAATGGCTGGTATCTGGTCAGGATCAAGGTCGTCGAGGTCTCGTAAAGATGCTGGTCAAACACCCGTACATGGATAGGCGCTTGGACTGTGATTCATTATCTCTACCTTTCCAGTCAACTTCGCTAATAACGACTGCGGATAATAACGACAATTCGCGAATAACGACAGAATTCCCATGCCCAGAGCAAAGTCCCATCCAACTGTGATACATATAATGAGACTTCGGGTATAACGACACTTTGCGAATAAGGACACTTTTCTGATGCCCCGCCGAGTGTCGTTATAAGCGAAGTTGACTGTATTATATCTCTATCTCTATCTCTCTCTATCTCTATCTCTATCTCTCTGCTGTATTGTATGATGGTGTATAGGGTTCTACATGACCTTGGGAGTGCAGTGGAACGCCACGCACGGCTTCACGCACTGTCCCCTGATGTCAGTATTGCTGGAGTTGGCTGCCTGCACCGACTGTAAGTGATTGCAGTGGCTTTGGAGGAATTTGCCCTCCCAATAATCTGCGGAGATGAGTGGATAATGTTTCCCCTCGTTACGTGCTTTAAGTTTGTTGCAATTAATTGCCGGCATGGAACTTTCAGGATCTAAGTTAATTACCTGAGGCCTCATTAAACAGAATATTCAATGACTTGTTTGAATTGCTGTCTGCCATTCTATTATCACTACTCCGGAATCGCACAGCTGTATCATAAATTCTTTCCGAAGGGCAGTTTTAGCAGGCCTGTCGAAAGGATTAACAACTATATAGCAGCAGGGTGCAAACACAAGTGATGCATGAAGCTATATTTCCCCTGTACATGTACTTAATCAAGACAATTTATACTGATGATCAACATCACATGTGTGGCACGTGTACTTAATCTGCGGACAGCACTGCTCTTTCTCCACAGGGGTGTTTTGCAATGTTGCACAATTGCATGGACACTGGCGCAGAACACATACTTGATATGTTGGTTCCACTGTTTACATGTCAAGTATGTGTTCTACGCCAGTATGATCACATACCATACAGTCAGCCTTACGAAGAACGGTCCTCGAGCGGGTATGAGAAAGTATGGCTATTCACAAGCTTTCATTATCCGTAAGGTTGAAAGTATGCAGTGAAACACTCTCCTTTGACTTAGAAAATCTCAGATTTTCAGTTTTTTGCACTCCATACATATTTTTATTTTCATTATTTTATTGGTTTGGTGAGAATCCATGATAGTTATCCATTTACCTCTGGAGAACCCGTAAATAAACAAACAAACAAACTTACTTGGTCTGAAGATGCCGTTATTCATGGGCTGGTGTTCACCAGGACAGTATTGGCGAGGTTGACTATACACGTCAAATAACTAGGGCTGAGTCGGGTAGCATTTTCTTCAGGTACCGGGTCCGGGTAGTTTTCCACGGGTGGCACGGGTACCCAATCGGGTAATGTTTCCATGTTAACACCACAATCCACCCCTTCCCTTTCACACTGGGTAGACATGCGGAGTAGTACATGACATCATGTACACGCGCACTGTACATGATGTCATCTGCGACTTCGGGTTTTCGGGTACTATTCGGTACCCGTCTACCCGAGGTCCTCACGGGTACCTGACTACCCATGCACACCACTACAAATATCTGACGTGATTATGAAGCACTGCGGGATCGCTGTACTGCGCAGACAAAGAATAGTTGCCACACATGTTGTGCTCTGTCTTGTGGTCACAATTGCCTTTGCTATTAGTCCATCTATGTTCCTGTGATCTGCAGGCGAATTCAGTCAGGTACCTTTGAAGCACTGAATATTGACTTTGCCTTCGGGAACTTGACGAAGCTGTAAGTTGAAAATATATAATTTGGATGTGAGTTTGTCGCCTTTAGATACTGCCTGGCTAAATAGTAGGGAGGACATTGCAACATCAGGTTTTGTAATATTCAGAACTTTATGAAAAAATGCTTCGGCATACTTCTGAAAATTGTGATCGAAATTTTAGGTATGAAGGTGAAAGCCTAGGCTAGGTGAACAACAAGCTTGGTACAGAGAAGCAATCCCCTATCAGATCATGTGTTTAAGTATTTGTTTGTCTATTGAAATATTTGGTACGAAAGAAGAGGTAGGGGGGGGGGGGGGGCACTGATAATGATGGCAGATGAAGCAGTAATCAGTAATGGTCTTGTGATGTGTGGCATTCCAGGAGCATACACAACACCAGCCTGAGAGGGATGCCAGAGATACTACGCTGGCAGGCCTCTCTAAGACATTTGAATCTGTAAGTAACTGGTCTTGTGCAAGGTTCATAGACACAGCTAGGTGTGTACGCTGGCATTGAATAGACAATCATGCTCCACAAACAATCCCATTCTCCACATTTGACACTTGTGAATTACTATCGACCTGGCTAGTGATCAGGATAAGGAAGTTCCCATGGTATTACACGTGGCATGAGTCAGTTGTTCTGGCTAAGGAAGGCACTGGAGAAAGTCGTGTTTGATCCCGCTGGTCTGTACCTGTAAGTCCATCACTTAGTGCCGAATGTTTATCATATTTTTATACATGCTCTACTGAGTGCTACTGCATTAGGCAATGCCCGCTACTTTTTGTAGTTTGAGCTCTCTGGCGCTAGAGCGACGAGCAATCTTAATGTCTGTGGTGCCTCCTTTGCACCATGGCTGGTACCTCGGCCTATTTAGCTCGTAGCTGTAACTGATGAGGCCTTTATGGCCGAAACAGCTTGCTGTCTACAGCATTGGGTCATATTTTTATGCTGTATATAAAATTAAAGTACCCTAAGAGTGTACGCACGCATACCTTTGACCTTTGACGCCCATCGCGGGAGGCGATGATAGCAATGCTACGGCAGAAGCCATAGCAACTTGTGCTGGGATTGCACCATTCAACAGCTTGCAAGGCTGAAGAATTGACCGTCACTATTCAGCCTGGTCTACACCATACAGCTATTTTGGATACACACACACACACACACACACGCACACGCACACACACACACACACACACACACACACGCGCACACACACGCACACACACACACACACATACACACACACACACACACACACACATGCATGGATGCACGCGCGCACACACATGCACACGTGCGGGCACGCATGCACATGCATGTACCAACACCCATTCAAACCCATGCTTGTCCTATTGTATTACTTTCTAAGTGGCATTGAGTATATTACGTGTACTTATACAAGTTCAAAGGCTCAGTCGGGGAAGTGAACTGCTTGAAAAGAGAAAAAATACGCCAGACCCACCAGGACTTGAACCCGGGACTTTGCTTGTCATGAGCATGCTCTAACGATTTGAGCTATGGGACCAGGTTGAACCTAGAAGGTCAGCACCTGATCCTTTGAAATTTGAAGTTCTCTTAGCCCTTCAAAAACTTATACAAGTAATTGTACTTATTTCTGTTGCTATTTTGTCATTTTCAACTGCAGATCGCACAATATGATTGATAAACTGAACCTGTCCGGCACTGCCCGCCAAACCATGCCCCACCTGCAAGTGCTGTAAGTCACATTGTGCCCAAGTGTACATGCTGACCTCTATGCACACATCCACACACCTGTGTGCCTACACATTGCGCATGCATACACCCGCGTACACACACACCCACACCCACACAGACACACACACAAACACCCACACACACACACACACTAAAGCATGCACACATGAGCCAACCAGTTAATGTATCGGATCGGGGGCTTCCACGATGGCTTAATTGGACGTAGAACTGACCACCGGCTGACAACCACTAACTCTCCAACCTACTGGTGGGAGAAAATAACTCCATTTATTGGCTTGCAACATTGCCGTAAGCAACATGTGCGATGCTCCTGTACTACTATCGGATCCGGCCACACAGCGCCACCAACGTCTCCCCGATGGAGGCCATGGTTGGTTGGCATCCCCGTGGCTTGGTCGTGGATCGGCCTCAGCACTCGTATTCGGCTGGCTCATGGGTAGACGACCTCCAGCAGCGGGCAGCGGCGATGTGAGACTACATCGAGTCTGCGCTCGGCCGCTTCGACTTCATCGACGAGCCGACACCGAGCCGCTTGACTGTTGGCGATGCTGTCATGCTTCGCCGGCCTCAGCGCTGCCAGAAGCGCCTAACCCCGTACGAGCCTGGTTGGCAAGTTATGTCGATCGTGGGCCCCTCGACGGTGGTGGTTCATCGGGTCGACGGCACCGGCCGTGACAAGATCGTGAATGTCGACTTGTTAAGGCGTGCCGCCGAGGACGATCTGCCGCCGCCGCCGCCCGTCGCTCCGGGTGCCAGCGATGAAGCCGAGTCGGGCCTTGTTCCGTCTCTGGTATTGAGCGTTGACCCGGTCACGCCGCCGCCGCCTGCTGCAGGCCCATCATTGCGCGACCGGTCTACGCTCGTGCGACCTGCTCGATATTCATGATTATGTTGTAGCTATTCGGTAGTGACATGAGTCACTAAGGGGTGATGTGAGAGCATGCATAGTATTCGTTGCTCTAACTTCTGTCTTACATTCCTTGTTGCACCCGCCGGCTACCATGGCTCATTGATGGTCTCCCGACATGTAATACATTCCCTTTGACTTTGTGTCACCGCCAGATCCTTTTACTTCTGGTGTCCTTTCATGTTCATCTATTGCTCGCTTGCGCGCTGGCATGCAACTGGCGTGCTCTCATGCGTACAGTGCGTACAACGAAGAACTACATCAGTCCAGTTAGTTTTTTAGAGTTGGCCGTGGAACAAACTTGTGTTTTTCGCTCTCCCACATTCTCTGCTTCTTCTCCAATAATTATATGAACACTGTTCGCCAAAGAACTCGTTGTGGACGTTGTTGCGAGTGCGTGTCCGGGAGTGAGTTGGGGCGGTCGTGATTATCTAACAATGCACACACACAAACACACACAATTGGCAACCACGTTGTAATGTAGTCTGGGGAACCTATATGCGCCCGCACACTGGTGCGCATGCACGTGCCGACCTTCATCACAAACTTGAGCATGCATGCAACGGAAGCCGCGGGTATCAGCCAACTTACAAGCTAGGAACCTCAGCTGTATGATGTAAACTGCGTTTGCAGGCTGAGCTTCACCAACAGCTGACCCCGGGCTCAAGATAGAATTCATTCCTTCTTCATGTACTTTAGCAGTATAAGAGCCACACGGGGACTTTGTCAGCCGGCATTGGGAGGAGAAGCATACAGAGAGAGGCAGTATACTTATAGTGGGCTGAGCCATGTACAATACCGCTCAATGAAATCCAGTCACGTCACTCAAGTACATGCCGGGCATTGCGCAGCCCTAGACCTGCAAGCACTGGGCTGAGAAATGGTGCAAGACGCAAACTTGAGTGACGCGACTGGATTTCATTGAGCAGCACTGTACATTGGTGTCTATCTGCTGGACGCGGTCAGGCATGAATACTCGAATCCCGTGTGCATCGTCTGAGGCTGACTGCAACAGGTGGTACGGTTGTCAATTAGCTCTGGCTATCACATGCAGTGATGCACTTTCGAAGCCGGACGGACTCTTGTCTGCTGTTTTCTAATGTAACAAGACTTCTGAATCTCTTCTGCTATGTTTGCTGTGCAGGGACCTAAGTCACAATAGATTAAAGGTATTACCCGCCGATGCGTTCCGATATCTTATCTCCCTCTCAATACTGTAAGTAATGGCTTTCCACACGCCACGGCTGCTATCAAGCATTGTGAAATTACTTTGTGCATGATAAGTTTGTAGTCCGTGCATTGAGTGCTGTTGATACTGACAGTTTTCTAAGTCATTCTTCATTAGTTCGGTATGGGGTTGTCTTCGCACACAAGTTCATGTATGCATTTGCTGATTAAAAAACTGTGAATCAGGTGCTGGACTTGTTCTGCGAGTGGTCATGTCTCAGAGTCCTCTCTTTATCCCCCCTCCCCCCCCCCCCCGGTTTCCTTCTTGCATTGGCAGCACATGTATCATTTTTTTTGCTATGGGGAAAGCAAGCAAATGATTGCTTTGGGGGGGGGGGAGAGAGAAAGTATTATGTGTGCATTGTATTGCACATTGCAAGGACTTTGGGCATACTGTAAGAGCTGGAGTGTGGTCATTGCCACATTGCACACTTCGGACGTTGGAGAATTGATGAAATTTAGCAATTTTTCGATCAAGGCTACCCTTTGACATGCGACTGAAATTCCCAGGATTCTCCGAGACGGACTGTGCAGAGGCGCCCTGATGTTTTCCCGTCATTGTGACTACCCTCCTGTTATCACTCGATTTAGTCTATTGCAATCCACCTGCCGCTCTGTGTCTGTGTTTTCGTATGTTTGTAGAAAACTGGACAACAATCTGGTCAAGACAGTACAGCATGGCTTCCTTCGCGGCTTGCTAGGCCTAAAAGAAGTGTAAGGTGTTGTACAGAACGACCTGGCTGCATGACAACTCATGGTCTAAAGAAGCCCAGGGTTTACCTCCAGAAACCCGGTGTTCACCTATAGAAACCCAGCCTTTGCCTACAGAAACTCTGTCTTTACCTACAGAAACTCAGTCTTTACCTACAGAAACTCAGTCTTTACCTGAAAAACCCAGCATTGACCTATAGCAACCCAGTGTTTACCTACAGCAACCCAGTGTTTACCTGCAGAAACCCAGTGTTTAGCTATATAGTAACTAGTGCTGAGTCGGGTAGCGTTTTCTTCGGGTATCGAGTTCGGGTAGGTTTCCACGGGTAGCACGGGTACCCGATCGGGTAATGTTTCCATGGTAATACCACACTGCACCCCTTCCCTTACACACTGGGTGTGTTAGGTTCGGTAGACAAGAGACAAGTAGTTTATGGGTTAGAATATACGAAGTAGAAAAACTGACAAGATTCAATCTGTAAACAACAGAGAAGACCTTCAAAGATATGCGTGCGTGCATACACAGTAGAGCTAAAGTTGTACGGCATTACGTCATAACATAACACGCCCCTTCGAAGATAAAATTCCATGGGTGTCAACCGGACACAAAATAACAAACACAGTAACATAATAATAATTATACTCTCACGCCCCTACTGAGATAAAACCTGGTTTTGTCTCAACAAAAATAAATAAATAAAGTCATAACAGACGAGATGAAATGACATAGGCATGATGTCAAGATGAGACCAAATGCTACAGACAAACATTGTCACATATATGACTGTCCAGACGTAGATGTAATGGTGAGACGATCAGGTGTCTTGCGAATACGAGTGCTACGACGAACAGGCTGGGTAGCGGCGTCAGTAGGTACACGTACTGATGAAGTTGGGGAAGGGGTATGACTAGCGGAGTCAACACACGGGGGAACATACGGACGGAGAAAGCGGCGATTACGCCAGAGGACACGGCCACTGGGCATCTTGACGAAGTAGTCGCGCCGACTGCCAATTGCTACAATGACGCCACGCATGGACCACAGCTTGGTCTGGTGGTGCTGAACATCAACATGGGTGCCAATCCGTAGAGAATGGAGAGAGCGTGCCGATTTGTCATAATGTGTTTTCGGATCTACAGAGTCCACAGCTTCAGCAGACGCAATCCAGTGTCGATCAAAGCTGGCACGGTGGGCGAACACAAACGACTGGAGGGACTGACCGAACAACACTTGGGCGGGGCTGCTGCCATTAGGGCGGGGAGTATTGCGCCACTCCAACAGTCCGCGTTGGAAGGAGTCTACATCCAGATCTCCATTCCGGGTCGTCTTCTCAATGAGCAGTTTCACTGCTGATTCCGCGTGGCCATTGGATTGAGGGTAGTGTGGGGTGGAAAAGCACTGTTCCACACCCCAACGCTCACAGAACTCACGTACACGGGAAGCGGCAAACTGCGGGCCTCCATCAGTGAATATCTTGCGCGGTACGCCAACATCTGCGAACCAACGGCGGAAGTGACAAATGATGTCATGGGAGGTAGCGGTACGGCCAATTCGAGCTACACACGGCCAGCCGGACAGACGGTCAGAATATACCAGGAACTGCCAGCCTTGACAGGAGAAGAGATCTGCGCTGGCATACTCGAATGGAAATGTCGGCTGTGGCTCGCGCATCAATGGCTCCTTCTGCTGCGAACGTTGGAGCTCACGACAGACAGGGCAGGCACGGATCAGGGCTGTGATGTCATCACTCATCCTCGGCCAGTAAACCACTTGACGCGCACGACGCTTGGTACGTTCCAGGCCCTGGTGAGACGAATGCAGGTCAGTCAGTACACGGCGTTGTAGAGACTGGGGCACAACAAGACGAGAGCCACGGAGGACGATGCCGTTATCTAGGGTGAGGTGCTCACGGCCATTCCAATACGGAGCGAGAGCGGGTGGCATGTGACGTCTGGCAGAAGGGAAGCCGTCACGAATATATGAGACTAACTGCACGTAATCAACGTCAGATTGAGCGGCATCGCGGAGCTCGTGGAACGGAAGACCAAATAGCGCTGATCCGGAGTCATCCTGCTGAAGGCATGCACGGAGGGCTTGTCCAGATAGCGAGTCGGCTTCTCCCAGGAGATCATCGGCAACCGGGTTCTGCACTGGAGCACGCGACAAGGCGTCAGCAAAGGCATGCTCAGAGCCCTTGCGCCACGAGACGTCGAATTGATAGAGTTGTACCTTGGTCATCAGACGTTGGAGCCGAGGATTCTCAACCTGGTCCAGTGTGTAGGTGTTCAATATTGGAACAAGGGGCTGATGGTCAACAACTACATGAAACGACATGCCAGCAAGATAGGTGTGGCATTTTCGGATGGCCCAGGCGACACCCAACATCTCCAGTTCGATCATTGCGTACCGGGATTCGGTGTCGGTGATGAATCTGCTGCCGCACTGAATGAGGCGCCACGAATTATTCTGGTACTGCCAGAGGCCAAATCCGAGACCCTTGGTCCTAGCGGCGTCACACTCGAGACGTGTCTGTGCTGACGGGTCGAAGAAGGCCAATAACAGTGGGTCAACAAGTGCTTGCTTCACAGCGTCCATAGCGACTGTGTGCTCGGGTAGCCAGAGAAACTCATTCTTGGCTTTCAGCAGACCGCGGAGAGGTGTTCGGCGATGGTTGAGCTGAAATCACTGCACTGGTTGACGAGACCCATGAATGATCGCAAGTCAGTGCGATTGGCAGGGATCTCGAAGTCGGTGATAGCGCGGGTCTTTTCCTGGTCTGTCTTCCAGCCGGACTTGTTTATCACGTAGCCGCAGAAATTGATCTCGGTCTCGGCGAAAGCAAACTTCTTGGCTGACAGGGTGATACCATACCGACGAGCGCGTTGAAGAACTTCACGAGTTCGTTCCAGGTGCAGCTCAAAGGAATCAGTGAAGACCAGGCAGTCATCCACGACCTTGGAGAATTGCTCAATACCAGCGAATGCTGCATCGGTCCGCTGGTTGAATTCGTCGCCAGCAGAAATCAGACCTTGTGGGTTCCGCAGGTACTGATATCTGCCCCACTGTGTGATGAATGTGGTCAAGCTTCTGGACTCCTCGTCCAAGGGGACCTGCCAGTAGCCGTGGCGAGCATCCAGCTTGGTAAAATACTGGGCATTACCAAGGTTAGAAACAACATCGCGAGGTGCGCGCATGGGATGCGCGGGCCGGGCGACTTGCTTGTTAAGCTTAGTGAAATCCACCGTCATCCGGACTTCTGCAGTGCCTTTCTTTTCGGCTATGACGATGGGGTGACACCACTCCGTTGGCTCTGAGACCGGTGCGATGATGCCATCTGCGACCATCTTGTCCAGCTGGAGTTTCACCTGGTCACGATAGGCGTAAGGTAACCAACGGGCATTGTTCAACTTGAACGGCTGGGCGTCAGGCGCGAGTTGGATGTGCATCGGCTGACCGTCCATGGGTCGGAGCGTGTCCTCTGCAAATACGTCAGCGAACTCGTCGAGGAGGTCCTGGCGGATACGTACACGCTGGTCTGGTGTAGGGTTGCTGTGCTCTGCAGAACGGGATGTCCCTTGTGTAACTGAAGCGATCTGTGGCCAGTTAGGCGGCAAGAAACCTAACGCCTTGAGCGATGAGCGCGACAGCAATGCGCTACTGAGTTCGTCGTACACATGTAGACGAGTGGTGTGCGTGACATCACGAGCGACAACCCTGGCGGGAACAGTTCCCAAGCTGGTCAATGGCTGACCGTTCACGGCGACAACATGGTCGGGGTCAGGTTCCAGATCAGCTACACTGCCACCAAGTCTGCGGAGATGACTAGCACCAATAGCATCAACATCCGAGCCAGTATCTGGCAACCACTCTAACGTGCACGACCGGTCGTTGTCGTCAAGACGTGTTGACAGCATCACTTTGTCACCAGCCTGCACTGCGTGAATGGTGAGGCATGCGATGGTCTTGCGGCACATTGCCGCGAAGTGGTCCCTGCCCTTACACTTACGGCACTCTTTGCCCTTGGCAGGACACATTGACTTCGTGTGCTGGGATCGTCCGCACTGCGAGCACTTCGCCGGCTTGTCAGCTGCAGCAGATTTCGGCTTACTAACCAAAGCGGATTTGCTGCGTTGATACGATGACCTTGTTGCGGCATTCACGGATGCCGGTACCATGCCGTCACCGGTCTGCTGTGCGGCTTCTTCAGCCCTGCAGATCTTGGCCGCGGTTTCCAGGGTGAGGGACGGAGCTGCCAGGAGCTTATGGCGCGTGTCGTCGTTGGCTATGCCAACGACGATGCGGTCTCGCATCATGTCGTCCGTCACCTTGCGGAGGCTCTGGGGCTCATCTGCTGCTGCATCAAGGCGAGCAGGGATACGATTTCAGCACTGATTGGGGAAATTCCAGGTTCCGCCATCACGACAATTCTACAAATTCTACAACTACAAGACACTTCTGCTACACGATCGATCGTTTGAAGATAAAAGGCTACAGAATTCACGGACAACTACAGGCTGTCAAATATTCCGTACTCAGGTTACTAGTAGTTCACTGCGCCATGTTAGGTTCGGTAGACAAGAGACAAGTAGTTTATGGGTTAGAATATACGAAGTAGAAAAACTGACAAGATTCAATCTGTAAACAACAGAGAAGACCTTCAAAGATATGCGTGCGTGCATACACAGTAGAGCTAAAGTTGTACGGCATTACGTCATAACATAACAGGGTGGACATGCGGGGTAGTACATGAACTTGTACACATGCACTGCACATGATGTTGTCTGCGACTTCGGGTTTTCGGGTGCTATTCTGTACCCGACTAACCGAGGTCCTCATGGGTAGCACGGGTACCCGACTACCCGTGCACACCCCTAATAGTAACCCAGGGTTTACCTACAGAAACCTGATGTTTACCTACAGAAACCTGGTGTTTACCTACAGAAACCTGATGTTTACCTACAGAAACCTGGTGTTTACTTACAGAAACCTGATGTTTACCTACAGAAACCTGGTGTTTACCTACAGAAACTTGATGTTTACCTACAGAAACCTGGTGTTTACCTACAGAAGCCCATTGTTTGCCGCAAGAAACCCAGTGGTTAGCAATAGTCAGTGTTTCTACACACATTGAGCAGGATGTTGAATTTGGATTGGATCTCGAAAGGACAGGGTGGTGATACGTTGATGGTAGTGGCACTGAGCTAGCCTCAAGTCACCTACACCGTAAACTTATACCGTAGAGCAACCATCTGTTATATTCGACGCCGTGAATCTCTCCCCCCCCCCCCCCACCACCACCACACACCCCACCTTTCCAGGGGAATGAGAATGTCAATATGCATGTGTATGTGTTTGTCTGTCAGTGTCTGTATGTTTGTTTTGAATGTCTAATCCCAACAGGACCTTGCGAGGGAACAACATACGCTGGCTCACCCGCCACTCTCTACACGCTGGAGAAGAGGCAACGGTTTCTATCAACATGTGAGTAGTATTTGCAGCAATGCTCCAAATTCGGTTTCCTTGTTTCGGTTTTCTGTCAGAATTTCAGTGTACATGGGACGCAGAAAGCCCACGGCATGAATATATGACGGTTTGTTGATATCGGACGGATAATTATGATACACCAGAGAGTCAAGAGACAATAGTTACTTCTACGTTGTGTTTTTAGTTCCCAACCATAGTCCAAGAGCATCCTAAAAACGGCTACTGAATTCCCACTTCCAAAGGAAGCCAGTCGTTTTCTCCAAAGGACATAAAAAAAGCAAAAGGCACCAGCCAGGCAGAAAGGGATACGGGAAAATTTTGGAATGCTACCGTACTGCGCAGTCGCGCGGGTATGGGACATGAAGGAAGTGTGAGCAGGACTAAAGTACGATTTTATGCTACAGTTCAAGCTGACGGAACACGTGCAGCGCTACACCGTAACCGTGTGCCACGTGGAAGCAAACAGAAATAGAGGAGACACGGGATAGCATACATGAACTCAGGGTCAAACTGATAAGTGTGTGTACTGTGAAGCATGCAGTATATGGAGACAAGAGAAAGACACAGAGCTCAGTACGTACCGAGTACTACACACTAAACTCGTACATGTGAATGTCACGACAGAATACAGGCTTCACCGATGAAATACAGGACAAAAGGAAACTCTGGCAAAGAACAGCACATTCTGCCTATTGACGGTAGTTTCACATCTTGATCATGTGACTAAATTAAATTATTTGGTTACGATGTGATCATGGTATGTAGACAGTGGAGCCAACATGGCCGACACATCATGTGACCCAGGAGTTGAGTGGAGTGGGAACCAACATGGCTGTCCCGTGTGTTCCTGTGATAGATGTGCGAGCACTTTGACAGTAAATGCGGGGCTGAAATTTGCATGCTATCTTGTTAAAATGTTTTTTTGGGGCCAGACTTGATTAAAGGGGAAGTTAAGGCTAAAATCAAAATTTCACCAGTTGTAGTCTTCGGGGTGCTTAGTCGAATGGTCGTGGTCCGAGGAAGCTGAGACGCTCCCTTCCTACTTTAATCCCAATCGAACTCGCGCACTTCCACCGAAACTGGGTGACTGCGCCCTAATAGATGGGGATTTGTATGCAAAATGTCACTAAAAGCGCCATTTCGTTCTTATAAAAGCACGGATGACCGCGATTGGCCCATATGTTGTAGTCTTTTGGACGCTGAGTCGACTGGTTTTGGTCCAAGAAAGCTGCGATGCAGCGTTCCTCCTTTATTCCCAATCAAACATGATTGAACAAGCGGTCACGTGCCCTGCGTGCCCAAGTCACCTGGTCACAGCGCCAGCAGGCGACAACTTTCACACCAAGGTTCAACTCGAGTTCAACTCGAGTGACAGGACTGCACCCAAAAAATGGTCGAACAGGCTGTAAGTTGTACCCTGCAGGCACGATGACCAGGTGACTGGTGTACGCAGGAGCACATGACCGCTTGTTCAAGCATGTTCGATTGGGAATAAGGGCCGAACGCTGCATCGCAGCCTTTTCGGACCAAAACCAGTCGACTCAGCGACCAAAAGACTACAACATATGGGCCAATCGCGGTCATCCGTGCTTTTATAAGAACGAAATGGCGCTTTTAGTGACATTTTGCATACAAATCCCCATCTATTAGGGCGCAGTCACCCAGTTTCGGTGGAAGTGCGCGAGTTCGATTGGGATTAAAGTGGGAAGGGAGCGTCTCAGCTTCCTCGGACCACTTAACTTCCCCTTTAAACCTAGCCAAATCTTGATCCAATCTGTTGCTCTCAACTGCACTAATTTTACATCTCAACAGGTTGGACGGTTCCAGAGAGTGCCCAATTCCCAGTCGGCTAGGAGGCAACTCCACATTCACCCATAGTTTGCCCAGCCGTCAGCAGCTTTTTCATCGGCTTAACTTCGACGAATGAATCGAAACATCGTTTGGCATTGCCCCTTGCCAGTTTTCATTTTTCATTGTTGTGTTACAAGTGAGCTTTAATCGTTGTCTTCTTCAGAAAGTATCTGTATTGTGAAAGCTGAGGGGAAACAATGGGGGAAAAACCAGGAGTATCCACCTTTCTGCATGATTGGTGATTCTTTGTAACTTAGGCTCGTCTAGGCATACTTGGCTCTTAGCTGGCTTGTTATGCTTGAATGAAGGCCTGTTTGACGCTGTCTCCACTCGAAATCAGTTGTGCAAAAGCTGATTTTGTATAAAGCGTTACTTTATTGTATGCTGTAGCAGAACTTCCACTTGTTTGGTATGGCATGTTGTTTGCAGCCTCCTGAGCATTGGTGCGCTTGAAGAGCACATGGTAGTGTACTATTTGCAAAGATGTTGAGTCAAATACGATTCGAGAGCATGAAATGGTGATGAGAAGTAGAACATCGTGGCCGGACTCCAAGCACCTGGGCCTACTCTCTTGCAAAAACAACTTCGAGCGAGTACTCGAGGAGTCGGTCTACTCGTTCAATCGCAATTTCTACAGGCAATGTAGTTCTCATATACTTTTGTTGATCCTCATCGTTCAATTGTGGTCACTGTCGTGATGTCTGGTGATTCAACACACTCTCCCGAACACAGTTCGCAACAGAAACAGTGCACGGAATCGTGACAACATTGTACTGTTGCAATAGTTGCAGACTGGTCTGGTCTCGACCTCTCTCTCCGTGCAAGTTATTATTGGCTGTGCATTGCCCTGCTGTATGTATCAAGATGTGGTCTTTACCATGGCTACATGTTTGTGTGTGTGTGTGTTTGTGTGTGTGTGTTTGTGTGTGTGTGTTTGTGTGTGTGTTTGTGTGCGTGTGTGTGTGTGTGTGTGTGTGTTTGTGTGTGTGTGTGTTTGTGTGTGTTTGTGTGTGTTTGTGTGTTTGTGTGTGTGTGTGTGTGTGTGTGTGTGTGTTTGTGTGTGTGCGTGTGTGTTTGTGTGTGTGTTTGTGTTTGTGTGTGTGTTTGTGTGTGTGTGTGTGTGTGTTTGTGTGTTCTCTGTTGCTGCAGAGACTTGGCTGGAAATCCACTGGAGACCTTGCCCTTGGATTCTATGAGGATATTCCCAAACATGTCGTTGTGAGTGTATTCACCTTAACTTTCTTCAAACAAAACTTTGACAGCTTCTAGGTAGAGGCTTTTAGTGCAGTCTAACAGCAAAATTACCGATATTTTAATATGTTTAGGAAAAATATCTTGTCTGCGCATGCATCTACACAAGAACGCAAAATCAGAAAAAGACAGCATAATAGTATGCAGATTGATGATACAATGAGGAGACTGACTTTGAACATGAGTCATGGTGTTGAAGTGTGGCGGTTAGAGATTCTATTGCCGCGTCAACAATGCAGTGCCTCTGTTTTGTGTCTGTTTTACACGTTACCTTCTCCATTTCTACTGTATGTCACACTGTAGTGTTGTGATTACCAATAGGAACTGGTTTCTGCTCTTTTGCTAACTTCGTTTTCCAGGGTTGTAGATTCAACTTCGCTTATATGTGACTGCGGCTTGAGGAATATCAGGCACGTACTGACGACTGTACAAGGTTTCAAGGGTGTATGCGCTTCACCGGAATCACTCCGGAGCCAAACCTTGGCGTCCGTTCACTGGGATCGATTACAGTGCTGTGAGTATGAGCTACAAGAGAGAGAGAGAGAGAGAGAGAGAGAGAGAGAGAGAGAGAGAGAGAGAGAGAGAGAGAGAGAGAGAGAGAGAGAGAGAGAGAGAGAGAGAGAGAGAGAGAGAGAGAGAGAGAGAGAGAGAGAGAGAGAGAGAGAGCGAGAGAGCGAGAGAGCGAGAGAGCGAGAGAGCGAGAGAGCGAGAGAGCGAGAGAGCGAGAGAGCGAGAGAGCGAGAGAGCGAGAGAGCGAGAGAGCGAGAGAGCGAGAGAGCGAGAGAGCGAGAGAGCGAGAGAGAGCGAGAGAGAGAGAGAGAGAGAGAGAGAGAGAGAGAGAGAGAGAGAGAGAGAGAGAGAGAGAGAGAGAGAGAGAGAGAGAGAGAGAGAGAGAGAGAGAGAGAGAGAGAGAGAGAGAGAGAGAGAGAGAGAGAGAGAGAGAGAGAGAGAGAGAGAGAGAGAGAGAGAGAGAGAGAGAGAGAGAGAGAGAGAGAGAGAGAGAGAGAGAGAGAGAGAGAGAGAGTGCGGCATTGTGAATGTACTTACATACTGCAGGATACGTACTGTCGGGCGCCGAAGAACGAAGCGCCGAGAAACGGCCAGGCTAGATTTCACCAATTTTTAAGAACGGTCTAGGCTGGATTTTTGCAGATATGAACGGAACTACAATTTTTACTCAGAAGTATAACTTCAAAGTGCCAACCTTTTAACCCCGGATGCGGTTTTTCCGCCCCTATCCTTAACTCACGTTTTCACATTGTTTAACATGCAGGGTGCTGTCTAGTGAAATGCGATCGCATGAATCGAGTATGCACAGGATGCTGTGCAGCTGCCCTTGACCTGCAAATACTGGAATGTTCACTGGCAGAGGGGGGCGAAGTTGACTCACTCGATCACTGTAGCTCGTGCGTTCTGCAGTCAGAAATCCAGGGAATGGTAACATTGACCTCAGGCCAGAGGCTAACTGTTGACTGCCTGGAGTTTGATGACGACCACTTACAACCAAGAGTAAACAAGCTTCCAAGAGTGTGAAACTCTGGATGCCCTCTGGGTCCTCCGATGGTCCTCCGATGGCAAAAACTCATATCACCTGGTGTAGTAGTCACTGGTTTGAGGAAAAGACGCAAATGGGAAAAGTCTGAAGAAACAATTGACTGTCACCACCAGGACTCGAACCAGGGACCTTCGCTTGAGGCCTGCGATGCTCTAACCTCTGAGCTATGGTGGAGGCGTCATCCCAGCAGAGACTGAGCAACATTTGTTTCAGACTTGTAACTCGCACTTCCTGTGAATCCACACAGGCGTGTGGGATGCACGGGTGTAGTGTTCACCGTTTAGGTTGCAAGTCCGTTTTTTGCAGGCAGTGGAGTAGTAAAAACAGCACTCCCTTATGGAAACCCACTCGACTTAAGCAAGTCATCCGCATGATCTTGGCCCGATAATTGGACTGCATGCACGCAGCAGTCCTTCATTGTGAAACGCATACATTTTTAATGTGAGGTGTGGCAGAAAGTACATCTTTCTTCAGTTGCGTAAAATGAGTAAATTTTGGCAAATTGCCGGCAAAGTGCTCGATGTCGTCTGATTACTGCAGTAGCTTGAAGCTTTAACCTTTTGAGCACGCGTGACGTTCTGACACGTCATGACCACTGCCACTGTGACACGCGTGACGTTCTAGAACGTCACGAGTCAGTACGGAACTACATCGATCCCGCGTTTCTTCCGTGGCGTGGCGTCAAGCTGTACCGCTGCACAGAGGACTCCTAGGATGTACGAGTACCGTAAAAAATGCGAGTCGCTCCATAAGTTTGAACTGGAGTTACATGCGCGCCGCGCATACATTTCAAAATACCAATTTCGCGTATAACTACCTTTATGAAAACGGTCATAACTTTTGTAATCTTTGTCGTATTTCCAAAACAAAAACAGTTCTGTGCTCAGGATACATGAAAGAATCGTTTGAAATCAAGTTTGCTCACATAGAGTGAATTAAAATTGTTTACTGCGTGGCAGAGGTTGTTTTCAATGGGCCCGGGCTCAAAAGGTTAAGTTACGATGAATCCAAACTGGCCTTCTTCCTCTTTTTCTTTTTTTCTTCTGTTGCATATCCTTTCAGTGAGCCAGTCAGTGTTCCGAAGCCACGTACCGCGCTACGTAACTCACCAGGCAGGCACTCGAGCAACATTGAAGTGTGCGCTTGATGTTTCCGTTCAATCACCTTCTCTATTGAGCAACATTGGTGTGTACTGGGTACGCAACAGTCAAGAGCTGCCAGGGTCAAGGACCTACTTGCTGGAGTCACCGTCATCCGCTAGGAGGCGGAGGCGCTTTGCCTGGGCCGACTTATGGGATGACTTTGCTGAACCCACCCACGCGCCGGGGAAGTTCACCTCCAGCATTAAAGTGGATGAGAAACAGGCAGGTCGTTACGTTAGCTCACTCACCATCCAAAACCTCGCCTCCGATGATGACGACGATTACAAGTGCTTTTCTTTCCCGGAGCACATCGAATCAAATGGTGTGCGTCTAAGAGTGATAGGTAAGCATCCAAGTTATGCTGATACTTCCAGTGCACTTAAGAATAATCCCTGGGCTTTTTAAAACCCTACGAAATAGGCTAAACATATGCTTCGAGTTTAATAATAATGAAAGGCAAGTTCAAACCTTTCACCGATTTATGGTCAAAACTTCAGTCAAGGTTCTGATACTTTCTGAATGGGCTTTTTGGCACATTCAGGCTGCCGTGAATGCACTGTGGTATGGAAGACTTGCGCCTGTAAATGCCACTGACTTTGTCACAGTTAATTCACCACTGATTTGATAGAGAACAAGATCGGCATATCTGTGTGAGAATGAAGGTTCGCGTCTCCAGTCTTCCTTGGCTTCAACTTCATGAAATTTCATTCCTATAGTCAAGTCACTGAGTGGGCCGAGCATTTGTGATGGCAAACTTCAAAACAGTTTAATGTATTGCTCTAAGTTTCAATGTACATGCATTCGCATATTCTGAGCATTGGGGATTGCAAAGATTTTTTTTAACTCAAAGTTTGACCCATTTATAGCCAGAGGCAAGAAGTCCATCTTTTTGTTGTGAATGGACCCCAGTCACGAAGGTATGAAGTGCGTGAGCACTGTGCGGTAGACTATAGTGAGGCGTGTATGATGGCAGCCACTTGGAATTGTCATGCGTTTGTTGGTTGGACATGGGACATCCCATGAGCGTTGAAATTGGTAAAAACCGGTATGGCCAGGGCGAACCCTGCAATTTCCAGCAGGAGAGCAACAAGAAACAAGAAGACAAGATGGTTGATGCACTGCAGCATAGGCCGTAGATCCAAGTTAGAACGCAAAGACATTATGGACCTTTAGCACCACGTTTACAACGTAGGCCTTTTGACGTACTTGATTACGTCGATGGGGGTGCGCGATACGTGTTTTGCATACTTGGCTAGCCTTTAGCGAGACGTGATTATGGATCGACGTCGTTGCCACAGGAACAGAGCTCGAGCAGAATGGCGCGCGTGATTTCAAAGTTCCTCGCGGGAAATGTGGACGAAAAGACTGTTTTTTTTAGTAAACTACATGATTGTACTGTACTTCGCAAATTAGTCCGAGTCACCAGCAAATGAGTTCTATCTCGAAGTGTACGGATGGTTACCGGCTTCCATTTGGCGTCGTATATAGTTGCCAAATTCAGGAGTACAGTGTTCCAGGCCGGCGAGCCACGAGAGAAGGGCTTTTCGCTCGACGCTGCCACTACTTCTTTCAACAAATTGATGACTGTCCTCCTTGGCTCCAAAACGAAATTTCTGGCACACAGCCTTAGTCTGCGTGTCCTCGGCAGCCATACCGAAACACAAAACAAAGATAGCAAAGAATAAAATTACGCCTCTCGATCGATCGTACCTAGTAGTACCTCGTCGGTTGAATAACAAAAACTACAACATCAAAACATCGATGTTTTTTTTTGAACTCTTGACCTCTTGGTGCAAGTGCAAAGGCAAATTCCTACGTCCTGTCACAACGTACAAAAGGCCTTTTCTACGTCGAAAACGTTGCCTGATGAACGTACATCCTACGTCGCGACGTGACCCCGAACCCGGACAAGGCCCTACGTCAGGCTTACGTCGTAAACAACGTGGTGCTAAAGGTCCCTAATGTATTGGGGCTCCCCGCATGCTAGTTTGTACGTGATGTGTGTGGGTTGCAGTGAGGACTACATCCCACCACCCTGTGTGCATCCACACAAACATTCAAACCGCCTGGTCTGCAGCCCATTCAGGAAACAATGGGAGTTTCTGAATAATGGGTTTTCCACGTTTCCGTGTTATCAATTTACTATTTCCTTGGCTCACCAAATTGGTTTATGAATCATAATATTTCATACTTATTGCCACTGGTGACATTCGGTTCTGTGTGATTTCAGAGCCAGTCAGCCTTGCGCTAATTGGTAAGGACACAATGAAGGTGTGGCCTGGTCAGGAAGTCACATTGTCGTGCAAGGCAACGGGTGTGCCCTTGCCAGCTCTGTCATGGCACTTTCGTCGGCATGGTGACTCACGCGAGGCTTTGTTGACGCCGGGCTCAGGGGTCAAGCTGAAGGGAGTGCACAGCGCAAAGAATATGAGTATTCAGAGCACATTGCAAGTCGTGGCAGGAGACAGTGGCACGTACCGATGCCGTAGTAGTAATCGCTTCAACTCGAGCAGTGTATACGTTCAGGTCATCGTACAAGGTAAGCATGCATATCACAGCTTTGCTAAATGCCTGGCATACTTAGCACTTCTGACGGCTCACTACTACACTACAGTCAACCGCACGAATAACGACACACCCCCCCCCCCCTTCAGCCACAAGAAAAGTGCTGTTACTTGCGAGTTGCTGCTATTCACGAGGTTATGCGAATGCGGTCGAATGATTAGTTGGTCTGAAGTTAGTGTTGGTATTCGTGAGTTGTTGTTATATCTGAGGTTGGTATTCACGAGGTTGAATGTATGTAGTAGTGCTGTGGGCTTTCTCTCCTTCCCGTACACAGTTCTGAAGATGGTTCACGGTAAAATGATGTATTGTTTTCCTATGTCATTCCCGAAACTGTCTTCGTCTAGTCGCGTGCATGTGTGCATGTGTGATATGAGCATGTGCGCTGTTGTAGTCAACAGTCATGTTGTCAGTCTTCTTGTTCGTCTCTTTGAGGGTACAGTCATGTTGTTTACTGTCCGTGTGTTGCAGCCCCTGCCCCTGTCTCAATAATACAGGGGCGGATGCAGGAGGGGTTCCAGGGGTTCCGCGGAACCCCCCAAATTTCGTAAATGTACTACTGACAGCCATATGCGTGCCCATGTTTATGTATCAGCTATTCAGTTTTGACTATACTGGAACCCCCCTGTAGAGATCGCTGGATCCGCCGCTGTAATATGATAATGTAACAAAGTAGTACTTGTCCTTTGTACTCCTGCGTCCCGGGCAACGGAATGGCTGTGATTCCGTAACAAGAGTTACAAAGTTGATTGTTCCAACTAGGTTCTAAGTTCGAAGAGTTACAAGATGACATTATTTGTCTTGAGAGTGAAAGGAACACATACCGGTCTTACAAGCACCCGCCTGGTGTCAGTTATTCAAGTTTACATAGGAGTCGCTTTTAGGCAGAGGACTGAGAAACATGCAGTACAGTGTGTTCTAGGGATTAGTTACTGTTTTCACGGCAGAGTCTGATCTTCATTTTACATGTTTATTTCGAAATGCCGCTGCATGCGTTACTGTCACTGCTGCCGCTGTCTTTGCTGCCCCCAGCTGTCCCAACCATCACAGTGAAGCTGTCCTCTCATCGACTGCTTCCGGGTGAGGTGTTTGTTGCAACGTGCCTCTCCAACATGCCCATGAACTTCACATGGCTGAAATACGGTGGGAGTAGCATCGGCGACGTCCCCATCAAAGCGTCCGAGTCCGATTCTCAGCCACTGGTCAGTGCTGTGTTGATTCGACCATGTTTTTGGAATCATTCGCACATGATGGGTGGGGAATATATGTTGCTATTATAATAATAACTGCGTGTCAGTCCTATAAACTCAAGGAGTTTTACGTGAGTTTTTTTGTGAGTTTTACGTGGGTTTTACTTGGAAACCATGACAAACGTTTGTTTCTGGGATATGTTGATACAGATTTGGAATTCAGGCCGCAACCGGTCTGTGTTGCTCTACTACAAGCTGCAAGATGTCGGCTCACATTCGTTCACATGCCAAGCAAGCTACGGACCAGGTGCTGTCAGCCAGACGGAGACAGTTGTTGTCACGGGGCAACCAGGTACGGAATGCCGCTACGGAAGACTTGCTGTATGTGTTTGGGCGGGGGAGGGAGGGAAGGGAGGGGGAGGGGAGGGGGAGCGGGTCAGCAACATATCACCTGAAGTTCTGCATGACGTCAGCAGTTACGTTCCAGCTGATGGAAATGAAAATGAACACTGCTTCAATGCATTGACTTTGGGGACAATCCATGCGTATTGCTTGTTTAACCTAAGTAGTAAATGAGCCAGGGACTATAGAAACCGCCCTACGACGTTTGATATCAAAATCAAGTTATGACGTTTCAAAGTCACGCGACTCAAAGTTAGTTACGCGAAGCGCAGAACTCGTCACTTTTGTTTTGACAAGACTCCAGAGCTGTCCTCTTGTTAGATGTTCGGGGAAGGATTCCGAGCTCGAGCGATTGTCGAGTAACTCATGAGGCTCCACTTACTGTGATTGATTATGGCTACAACAATACACACAGACGACGCAGCTCGATTCTGTGTGGAGTCGACTAGTCCCTGATGCGAAGGCACTTGAATCGGACGACGAGAATTTTTACGGATTCAGCGCTGGCACCCGCGAGTTGTCCGCGAGCGATTCCGACACCGATGCTGACAGCAACGGCGATGATATGCCACCTAAAGGAGACGTATGGAGTCACAGCAAGCTCGAGTGCTGCTAGTGCTGTGTCGAAAACGCCAAGCCCCGACAGCTCGGAAATTTCAAACGCGGAGAGTGACACCGACTACTCGGAATCGGATGACGAACCAGATGCCCCCGCACCTGAGTCCTGAGCTACCGACGACGGAGCAGGTGAAGCGTGGTCTCCTTGTCTTCAGACATACGCGATGGGATTGAGAGAGGATGCAAGTCGAAGAATCATTGGAAAGTCATCCCAGAGCAGCAGCTCGAGGACTACATATTTGAAGTCTCTAAACTGCGAGAATCGAAAAAGCGCTTCAAGCAGTTTGTTCTGGGCGCACTGACTGGAAGCATGCGAAAGTCGATGACTGGTGGTGGTGATCGACCTTTCTATTTCCGCTATCATGTACGTGGTTACGAGCTGTGCAAAGACGTGTTCATGGCAGTTCATGCTGTTGGAAGTCATGACTGATTGTAATGAAGCGCCTTCAAAAAAAGGCAAACAAAGGAGTCGTTCAACTGGCACACCATGGCTTGACTGGGAGAACACCAGAGCACTTGGCCATTTCAGCAGACATAGAGCAGGATGTTGTACAGTTTATTTAGTCATATGCTAACATGTACGGTCTACCTCAACCCTGAGCGAGGTCGTGCTGAGGACCCTCCAGTATACTTACCAGCATCCAAGAACAAGAAGTCTGCATACAACATCTATACCAAGACCGTCACACAGTCTTCGCCTGTTCATTACAGGTCATTTTGCCACATTTGGAGGAGATAGGCAGCACACATCAAAGTGATAAAGCCAAGTACAGACGTATGCGCACTGCGTGACAATCTGCGGGACAAAATGCGTGTCGCCCGTACAGAGGAAGAGACGGAATGTAGTGTCCAGGCCCTGCGTTCGCACATATCACTAGCACAAGAGGAGCGGCAGTACTACCGAGATTTAGTGGACGGCGTGCAGGCGTCACTGGATGAAGCTGAGGGCATAGTTCACTATACATTTGAACTGCCTAACTAGCAAGAATGAAGATATACAAAGAACATTACAAACTGTGTACATAAATTGGCTCTATATCGCTTAATTGATATGCCATTATTAAATAGGTGATTAGGCACATTTTACCACCGCAGATCAACTCGAAATTTCGTTTGAGCACATTACCATACCATACCAACATTTTGAGAGAAAAAATATTTTCGACAAAAAGTGCCATAGGGTGGTTTCTGTAGTCCCTGGCTCAAATATTGATGGAGCTATGATGGAAGTTCTGCACATTATTATTTTCTAGATAATTCTCCCAGCACTACCTATCATCAACGGTCAACTGGGTAGTCACGACTCCGGGTGAGGGTAGTGTGGACGCAGCTGACCAGGCTTCGTCCTTTCAGGTTGGGCATTGGTTGTGAGACCGACAAACTTAGCCTCGCCAGTAGGCGTGCCACCGTGGGATCTCAGGCATGGCGGTCGGTGTCCTGGCACAAGCTAAACTTCCCAAGCTGGTTGTGCTTCTCAACACGATTGTATAGCCGGTTGCAATGCGAACGTGCAAACTTTCATTTTTGAACTTTTTTTAAAGGGCCACTTTTTACGGGCAACAAATACTACACCTGATGAGGCAACAGAGGAGGGAAAGGAAAAGAGGCAGGATAAGTACAAATAGGACGTCGAGTGGATAAACACCCTAGTCGTATGTGCAACTGGGGTGAGGATCAACCTGCGGCACAGCTAAGCGAGCGTGTGTGATAGTGTGCTATGGTTAGCACAGTGGCAGAGCAAGTAATCAAGAGCATAAGAATGAGCATGGCAGAATGAGTAACCCAATGAACAAAGGGAAGATTGAACAAAAATGGCTAATAGTTTTAAACTTTACTTTTTTTACTCGCATTTCGTACGATACGCGTCTACTGCCAATTGTGTCACCCACCTGGAAACACTTCAAAGTGATAGGCTCTACCATCATGGCCGCTTGACATTCTCACAAAAGTCCATACAATTCTTTGAGATGTACTTGTAGTTTCATGTGAACCTTGCTTCTCCCCCCCCCCTTTTTCTTCCAGTTCTGTCGGAACGTCCGGGTGCTATACAGTCACAAACACAGCCTTCCACATCACCTGCCACCTCACCTGCCACCTCTCCTACAACCACACCTGCCACATCCACTTCCACTACGCCGACAGATGGTCCACCCCAGGAGCAACTCAGCTCGGTGACGAGCAAGTACAAGATTCCGTTCTTCATTTCGATCGGCGTAGCCATTGCTGTTGTTCTCGTAATACTGGTGGCGTTGGTACTGAATGCAAGACGGGAGCCATCACAGGAATCATCTGAAAAGAAGTAGACCCTAGAGGAGATACCCGTTACTCTGATGTTGCCGTCTTCTTTTCTTGCGTTCTGCCATTTCCAGTCAGGACCTTGACTTATAAGTATATTCATTTGCCCCGCTGAGCATGCATCTGTTGTATATAAAATGTTCTTCACAGTGGTTTTGATTGCTGGGTCGCTGGCTAGCACTACTGATCCACTCTCAGTTGCCTTTGGATGCATGCAGCGGACAGTTGTAGCTCTATGCTGTCTTTTGAAAAGCATGAATTTGTAGGTGTGCATGTACCAGTATTACTAGTAGTCAACTTGACTATGCGGCCCTGAATACATCTGTTGAGTGCTGGATATGTATCTCCACCTGCCTGCAGTGCACAGCATTTAATCTGTTAGAGCCTCTTTGCAGAATTACCGCAACTTGACCAGTGATTTTGCTCAGTAGAAATACTAGAATAGACTCTCTGGTAATAATTTTTTTTAAACGTCTGTGTTTACACTATTGGCAGCTTCATCCTTGTCAATCTTGAGCCATTGTACAATTCATAATTATAGTATACAGATTTATGATAGTCCTTTTCTGAGTAATGCAACGCCTGCTTGTGTTTTCAAAAAGGACTCGGGGTGCCTTCCCCACTCTGAACCTATTGTTTAATTTAGCCAAGAACACTGAGGCTTCCCGGTCACAGTGGAAGGCTGCTGTGAGTCAGCGCAGTCAAGACATAATGAAGTCAAGTACCAGGCAGTTGAATGCCAGTATCTCCATCAGTATTGTGTAAAATTCCGCACACCAGTGCTGCCTCTACAGTCCTTCTAAAGCAAAAGTATTTGGAAAAAGCGCTATCAATAGGAGGACCAGCAGTGCTAGACACTTGCCAATAAAAACTTGCCAATTTTATTGGCCCGTGCAAACTGCTAGAACCTTGCCAATCGACGGTATTGGCCCTTGCAAACTGCTCAGTACTCAATGCACCCACACATGCACACATACATACACACACAAACACACACTCACACAATACCGTTATAGCGGCAGTAGTATCAAACTAGCCTCCAACTACCGTAACTATTATCTCTAATATAGGCACGGTCCTTTATTTTTTCAATGTACCTCCGCCCCATGCTATTAATGGAGACGTTCCTTTATTGGAGACTGTTCCATTATTATTTCAACCTCATTTTAGAGGCATGTCGCCATGCCAAATTCATGTCAGACACACACATTTCTGGGGGTTTTCGCCGGTACAGATAATGAATTTACACAGTGTGCTTATAATGGAGACTGAGCACTTTATTTTTTGAATGTCGCCCCGATGTGTTCTATTATTGGAGACGTGCTATTATTGGAGACTGTGCTTAGCCTTATATTAGAGATAATACGGTAAGCCATTTTGAATATCATCGGTAAACCCCGTACCGGTGTTGTTTTCTTCCGTGTTCATATTGCAACATTCGCATGCTGGGTGCGTTGCAGACTACAATCAAACATTTCGGTAGTCTCCCTGGTCTTCACGTGACTGACACGTGTGCACTGCCAGTGATCATGGTGATTCAGTGTAGCAAAATTAATGATACTGCTTTTTACTTGATTTCGATGAGTCTTCGAGCTTCATCATTGAAGTAGTTCATGACGCTTCATGTTCATGCAGCTTCATGACAGTGGTCAGAATGGTAAACTCTACCATTCGGCATTAGATCTAATCGGTGGTGTAAATGGCTCGATAGTGCACAGCCAATCATGAATCGATCACTTTGAGAAACTATCATTCAAAAACTTGTTATTGAAGCAGCATTTCTCACCGCTCACTGTATCCCGTTGCTTGTTGTGGCAGTCTCCTAGCGCCTGCTTTGCAAAGACATTTGCGGGACAGTGGGAATGGAGATTCTCTCCCTTGACCTTGTTTCAAACGGTGGTGACAAATCCTCGGCGTCTTTGGAGAAAACTGTCCAGTTCTTGCGTCAGATTGGGCCTGGTGGTTGGCCACTACTTCACTCACTGTGGGAAAAGACGTCACCGTCCACTGGTCCGAAGGAATTCTCAGCTACGGCAAACACTATACCGACACAGTTTTACGTGGACGATGTTGACGACCTGCATTGCCATTGGGTTGCGAAGATCGCGCACGAGAGCGACCGATATGTCCACGTGACACTGGGGTTCTCCCCTCATGCTTCCCAAGCCGAAGTGGCTTCGTGTTTTGATTCATTGGAGGCAGCAGGTGCTATGAACTGGGGCACAAAAATGTTGTTCCCGTATTTGAACCATGGGCTGCTGAGCAATGAACTGATCAAGAGAGGGAATGCGAAAGGTGGCCAGACCCTCGCAGAAGGACTCTCTCACGTCTACTCCACCGCGCAAACTAGATTGGCTGAACAAAGAGATGCTGCGAATGCACCCGGCGAGTCGACCGATAGGTTCACTGTGAGCTGTCTGGATGAGACCGATGCGCCTGTCATTGATAGGCACTGGATATGCGGCGGATCAGAACGCACTCTCGCATACATTGCCAATAATATCCGGAACTTGCCGCCTGGATTCACGTGTGGAATTTACGATACGGCGGTGCCTGAGAGCAGTCCGGCAAGCCATGAAAACACGGGCGGAGCGGATCAGGGCCGCAGCACGGTAGCAGTACCGGCTGCTACACAGCATGACCTGCTGGCGTGGGGTATGATCACATCGTACGGCGCTATTGGTCTGCTACAGACGTTAACGGCATACCAGCGGCGTGGGTTTTCTCAACTGGTCATACGGCGCTTGACAGCAGCCTTAGAGCAGTACTCCCTACCAGCGTACTCCTGTATAGAAGTAGACAATGAAGTCTCCAGGCGGTGCTTTGAGAAGGCTGGGTTTGAGGCCGAGCGCGACTTCACTGTTGTCTGGCTGCACTACTGGCCAGAGGGGTCGGGACCAATCCGCTATCTAAATGAAGATGCTGCCTCGCAGGGCACGCAATTAGCAGGCAAAGGAAAACGAGTCGGAGGAACGTGCATGTGAGTGCTGTATACAGTCCGCCCACAATGCACTGTGGGGTAGTGTGCTTTCGACCCGCCAAAGGAACGACTGTGGGGATAGCTGCTAGCCGTCGACTGGGTGTGGATATGGGTACAGCCGGGGGCTGGTGAGTGCATGCTGTGTCTGTGACCTGACTCAGTCCAGCCCCCCGACTCAGCCAATGTCGCGAAGAGTGAAGAGTATCCCTGCTCGACACACACACACACACACACACACACACACACACACACACACACACACACACACACACACTGCAACCACAGCTGTCTCATCCGCAGCCCTAGAAACACTGTGTTGAACAGAACGGTGTAAAACAAAATCCAACATAATCTTTTCAGGTTGTGTTGTAAATTTGAAAATTCACAAGTTGAAAAGGAAAAGGAATATTTAGTGATAGGTACAACTGAAAGGTCGCACAAAACGATAATTACGGTATACGAACTGCATTGATCGTAGCTTCCTAGCCACTGGCACAGACCAACATCAAAACGGATTTTGTTGAACACAGTGCTAAAGACTCATCTGCATTGTGATGGCTTATGCTGGGTGGAGAATTAGCCACACCACAGTAGCACTCGTGATGGGATTTATCGTTCTTGGTTTGTGTCCAACTGACTATGTAGTGCGATGTGAGTGGTTTCAAACTGAGGCTGTATTGGCATTGGCTGTGCGAGAGCTAGTGCAAGGTGAGATTCCACTGAGGGCGGTAGTGGGACTCTGTGAAGTGCAAGGCTACTGGTTTCCACGCCCATATTTGCACACAGCCTTATGCACACGACCTAGTGGTCAAGCTTTAAACCAGATGACAAAGCCATTTAAGCACCGCGTCTCACTCTGGAACAAGCTTCAACCATAACAAATCTAAGTCAGAGACTCGCTTGAAGCCAGCTTTTTCAAAGCATTCCTCCGACGCCTCATTTCCTGCACTGATGCATGAGAATACGTGCAAGGAATTGCGACGCATGGCAGCCTCCAGACGTCGAATAACCGCCAGTGCACAGCCCCGCCTTCGATACTTCTCCAAGGTGTGGAGAAGACCAATTGTGCCGTACGTGGTCACCACGGCCCAAGCCACCAGCTCACGCCTCTCAGCATTCCCCGCATGTTCAGGTTCACTACACTGAGTCTCTACATGTTCTGACTCATCATCATTCTTCAGCAGCCGGACATCTCCAGTGTCACCTTCTGTGGCGTAGATACCACAAGTCAAGTCGGGGGCTTCGGCGATAATACCCGTGATGTAGGGAAGGGAGTGTTTGAATAATCTGCCAAACGTAAGGTGTCCGTCGATTATTGCGGCATCAGCACCACCTAATGTGTCCACAACAAGTCCACTGGGCGGTAATACATATGAAATGTCATCACCATCGCACGAATGACATGGAGTGCCAGTGACTATGGAGGAAACTCCATTATCAACAAACGCCTCTCGCTTGCCGTAGATGAGATACAACCGTGAGAGGTGTTGCTTGAACGTCCTGGAGACTGTCTTGCTGCCGTGCTTCAGTATTTCCTCTCCTGTGCTTTGACAGCGTGTAGATGGGAGCACTATTCTGAATAGCAGCTCAAGGTTCCAGTTCAACGCTGCCGCTGCCTCCAGAGCGTCTAAACACTCTGCCACTCTGGGCTGAGATCCAAGTGGAGCGAACCCCAGTGTCACGTGGACAACGTCGTCCCTCTCGTGCGCAATACAGGCCACCCAGTGCGGATCCTGAATGTCATTCACGAAGAACTGGGCTGGGAAGTCCACTTCCTTTTCTGCGGGGGCAAGTTGAGCATCAGGAACAAGCTGAGACATGGAGGTTATTTTCTTTTTCAGGACCAGCAAGTTAAGCAATGGCCATCCTGCTGGCCCGATCTCTCGCAAAAAGTGCACCACTTTCTCCAGGCCTGCTGGGCTTGCAGCTGCTCGCCCTTTTGAAAATTTGGGGAATAGTTCCATCTTTGTACGTCCGCATCAGAGATGGCAAACATACTGGGCGTGTGCCTGTCGCTAGCGCCGCTCCGGCCTGCAACCACCAGGCACCAGAGTTACTTCGGAAGCCGCTTTTCACGGTACTCGCAGTAGAGCACACATTATGCAAGTAATTGGGGAGGAAATAATAGTGAACTAAGGAGGAGGAGTGCAAATGTAGTATCCCGACCTTGCTAGTACTGAACTGTAGCCGACTAGTAGTAGTACTACATCTGCAGTCAACTTCGCTTATAACGACACTCGGGGGGCATCAGAAAAGTGTCCTTATTCGCGAAGTGTCGTTATACCCGAAGTCTCATTACATGTACTGTATATGTGTACAGGTAGTATGGACTTTGCTCTGGGCATGGAAATTCTGTCGTTATTCGCGAATTGTCGGTATATCCGCAGTCGTTATAAGCGAAGTTGACTGTACATCTATTTTTACCTCTAAACATGTCACATGTACAGCGCACTCCATGACTCTTGTCACTCCTTTGCTGACAAGCCTGCAAAGCTAATTATATCACTTCTCACCACTTGTGTTCTCTTGCGCTTGCTGGATCTACATAATTATCTTTGCTAGGTTAGATCATCACACATGTATGTACATGTAGAACTAACCCCCACATGTTGTACTGTACCTCCCTCAGGCTCCCTGACCCTGACTGAGGTCATGAGCACAGTCATGCCCCTTTCTAGATCCGGTTTGCATCCATTTGCCAATGCCCTCCCGGATCCCTGGCCTCTGTTCTCCTCCAAAGTTCCGTTTGCTTCTTTCATCCTTATACATTTAGATACTGTTGCTATGCCTTCCCAAGTTCTGTTTGGACTGACACAACAGACTTCTGCCCTTTTTCATGACTCATGGCTCATGCAGACTCTATGATGATCTCCTTCCTTTTCGCCCTATAAAAGCTGCCATGCTTTACTCATTTTCTTCATAACAGAACAGAACAGAGTCCCTCCTGGCAGATTGAGCCGGAGCAGTCATATTCCTTTCAGAGTCCCTCCAGGCAGATTGAGCCGGAGCAGTTGTATACATAACTTCAGGCAGATTGAGCCGAAGAACATAACATTACTCATTAGTCAGTCTTCTTGTGTGTGCCTCCTGATACCACTCGGCTACCTATTACACAATGTGTGGCTTCCACGGTATTCATTGTTATTACCTGACGATGGCCAAGTGCCGAAACGTTGTAAAAATAACGGAACTGGTTCGGATGTGATGTGCAGCGCTATGGGAATGGGTGTGTCCACCCGAATTCTTTTCACAGATGAAGCTGCAGGAAGCCTCAGCCCTTCTTCAAACTATTACACAAACTCAACTGATGAGGGGTGAATTCCCCGAAACACTGTGTATTGAGCAGGGAGAGGTGCTTTCTTGCAGGTTTGCCGAGTCGAAGGTTCGATGGACTTCTCGTGTGCTCTGGATGGCAGTCGTGAGTCAGTCAAGTGTCAAGTAAAGTCGGCGGAATAGCGCGAGCTCCGGTGTGGGGAGCAAACCCTTTATTACACAAAGTCACAGAAAATGCCAACCATGCATGCATAGACAAAAATTAATAATAATTTTCATGGGTATCGGAGTAGGCAAGGCACAGCTGACACTTGACAGGTAGCGTGCATGTACTCAGATGATGTAGCCTTGTACACCATTGTACACGGTAATGGCTGCATGAGTTCCGGGAGCACCAGGAATGGCGCTCTGTCTGCAACGCCAACGGGCTCTTGCGTTTTTTACCTGGCCTGAAATGGCTGAAAGTGAATGTTTTCTACCAGGAATGCCACCATGTATGATGTCAGCTGCCATCTACATGGGGATCACAACACAAAATATACCCAGCACCCAGAGCTAAGGATTTTTTTAATTCCAATGCATGTGAGAACTATAAACGGACAGAAGTGGACCTAATTCGAGCAGGACTATTCATGATAAGCAATGCTCTTGTTTTGTACCCACAAGCTGTGAAATGATCAGTGAGTTTCTGGTGCTCTCCAGATGGCACTGCCGCGCAGTCGCCAGTTAGCCTAGCAGGCAACTTCCGTAAGTCGGCAGGGAGCACGAGCATCAAGGTAACGTTAGGTACGCTCGTAGCAGCCACCTTCTCAGCCAGCCGCGGCATGTCAATAAATACAAGATAGTAATGTGGATTTGTTTGAATGGTATGCATATATGGTGACTGCTGATAAGCACGTTTACATTCTTCATTTCAATACTAGATAAAATAAAATAAACGAAATAGTGGTTGCGACTTCGGCGATAATATTCTAGGAATGAGCTCCAGTGTGGGGATCGATAGCAAACCTATTCCTAGATAATAAAAAGAGGAGAAAAATATACAAAATCGAAACAGGTAGCCGTCCGAAGATTGATATTATAAACAAAAAGCAGGAAATCCGATGGACGTCATCAGTAACACCATAACACATTGTGAATCCCTTCACCATGCAAGCCATCTTCAAGGCTTTACCTTTTTAGAAGCATGAGGTGCAGCCCCTTCATCCGGCACACTCAATAACCATAGCACATTGAAGTCCGCGACTTGCCCGAAGCCAGCTTTCTCAAAGCATCTAAATGAGGTGTCATTCCCCGCTTCTATGCATGCAAACGCGTGTAGGGAATGCCGTTGCATGGCCGTCTCCAGACACCGAACAATCACCTGTGCAAAACCGCGCCGCCGGTATCCCTCCAACGTGTGCACAACGCCAATGGCACCGTACGATGAGACAATGCCCCAGGCAACCAGCTCGCGCCCGCAAGCGTCCGCAGCATCCCTGCATTCACTCTGTTGCGCCGGATCACTGGGACCCAGGGTACCCCTACCTTGACTGTCTCTGACATAGATACCGCATGTCAGGTCACGTCTTTTGTTGATTGTGCCGGCAATATAGTGACAGGCGCCCTCGTTAGCACCATATTTCCAATATTTAAGGATTATCGCAGCATCAGCGTCGCACAACTTGTCGATAGTATATCCGTGCGGCAGTGCACATGCAGCACTGTTGTACAAGTGGTCCTGTGTGTCAGTGGCTCCATTATTATCAGTAGCCTGCTCTCGCCTTGTAAAGGGGAAATACAGCCGCAAGAGGTGATCTTTGGAAGTCGTGCATCCTCGTGCATCCGCTCGCTTCAGTATTTCCTCCGCCGCAGCATCACAGCGTAGATACGGAAATAACATTTTTAAATTCCAGTTCAAGGCTCCTGCCGCCTCCAGAGCGTCTAAGCACTGGCACACGGTGTCCTGAGGTGCGAGAGGAGCAAATCCAAGCGTCACGTGGACTAGGCCGTCCATTTCATGCGCAACACAGGCAACCCAATGCGGACCCTGCACGTCATCAACGTAAAATGTATAAGCTGGCTTGCCGGTGTCTGCTACGGTGGCAGGTAGCTCGAGATCGGCTGCAGATCGAGGTGGCGAAGGCATCTCCCTTAGCTTTAACATGTTCAGCAAGGACCAACCGGCGGGCCCGATCTCTTGCAAGAAGTGCACCATTTTCTCCACTGCTGGTGGAGGTGCCGGCCGAGATGGGTTGCGGGCACGCGCTGAACACTTCAGTGAAGCCAGGGAAACTTCCATGTTTCACGTCCGATTTTACTAATCACTGGCGCAGGCTAAAATCCCATGTAATGCTGTAAATAACTAATATTATAGATGCCGAACTAGCTCCTGGGCTAACGCTGCTGCAGTTGTTGCCGCTTTCTCCTGACCTCAGTGTCCGAGTTTGCGCTGTTTGCACTCACAATCCTTCTGCTGCAACTGTGATCAGTTACACCGTCCTTTGCATTGAGACCGGTCACGACTCGGTCGACAACGAATTAAATCCTGCAGGTCTCAGTCTGTGGCCGCCTACTATGCTGGGTCCTAGCGACTAAGCTTATAAGCCTAAGGATCGGCTTGGGGTCTACTCATAATAATAATATAATAATCTTTATTTCAGGATCGACGGGCATCCATTCGGACCACAAACGTACATGAATGTACAGAATTCTGAGCGTTGCGATAGTTCAGTACATGTACTGATAGTAGAAGAGTTAGGAAACTCAAAGGGCAGCCACCCTGCGACTGGAAAGATGTGTAAGAGAGCATAGAAAGCTGACAGGATCGAGCTAGTACAGCGACGGGATATCGGATCGGGAGCATGCACCGCCACTTTACTATTATTTTTTCTTTCTTTCTAAAAAACAGTTTACTGATCAAACACTAGGACATTCTTGCTGCATGCTGCTAGCAATATAGCATGCATGCTGTCAACAGTCAAGAGTACGTAGATCGCCCCAGTATTCCCTTCCTTTTCGCTTTTGTGTAGATCTACCTCTTGCGTAGATGGTCTGTACTACATACTACTATTATTACTACTACTTCAACAAGCACGGCATGAAGTAATTTTTTTTAATTTACTTCAACAAACAAGTAAGTCTGCCATCATCATAAGAGTACCGTCTTGATATGATATTCAGATAACTGACAGAGCAGGTGACCGTACAAGTCATACCGCCAATCATTGTACAGTCCGCATTACCGGTATGTACAATCATGTAGCTCATGCCCATGCCATGGACCCCGGGATCCCGACTGTTGTGAGGAACTCTTGACAAAAAATAAAACACAAGCGGCCCATCGCCAACACAAGACTCAACTAATAATATTATTATTCTCATTACTCAAGTCAAGAGTCAAGTCGAGAGCCTACGGTCTTGTGCCACAACTACTTCGGCACAAGTAAAGAGATGAACAGGTGACTCGATGAAGGTCTTCCCAAGAGATGGGAAATCCCCGCTTTCCTTAGTAACACGAGCATTCACCATGGAAACTCCATCGCCTGGAGAGCCATGGCGGTTTATTTGAGACTTCATGACAGCTTTTTTTCGAATCCCGTTGCAGTGTGTGCTGAGCGCTGCATGCATGTGAAATGAACAATGACCATGTACATGTATTTTGGCAATGAAGCCAGCTTGGATTGAGTATTCGTTCATCTTGAAAAATTGTCTTAGCTGTTGGCCGTAATCTCGAAAATGTATCCATGGCAGAACGAGGAAGGCGTACGGAACAAAGCGAGAGCCTTGGAGGAACGTAGAGTATCGATATTGGAACAGCTGGGCGAAGGCAATGATATTGGTTAGTTGCTGCTGATTTTCAGACTGCCAGTGCATATTCTGTTGAAGTTTAGTTTATATTATAACGTTTGGGGCATTGTGAGTTGAGTAATCAACGGTATGCACTCGGAAGGAAAACTTGCATACTCGTAGCTACACCTGACACTTTTACAGCAGCGCATACTGGTCTCTCAGAATTCTTTTAGGCCGATTTCCAAATTCTGGATACATGTTACTGATTGTACTAGCAATGTACTTTCTGCCTTGAGATAAGCGTGACCGGGTGAAATAGCAGTTATACCGTATATTCAGTCCTTGATATGCCGATAATGTAGTACTAAATGAGACAGCAATTTCAGGGGGAAATGTGAAGTTTGGTGCAAGTTTGAGATTGGACTCTGTTGCTCTATGTAAGCCTACACCCGATTGCACTATCCACCCAAATAATGTTGGTCATCTCCAGGCTTCTCTTGCCACACGCAGCTGCGCAGCTGTGACGGTACTTTGAGCCTTTCCTTCCTACATGCCTTCCACCAGAGTCTATAACATTCTGGATGCAGTACATTGTGCTTCTATCACGTATGCAGGGCACAATGTGCACGCTATTGATCTAAACTTAGACCACTCATGGCAGCAGTAATCTAGACGTGGTAATAGATACTGTCATGTGTATACCATGCATGGCAGGAGCTTGTTTTTCCGCATAAAGTACTACATCCACAGTGCGCAATACACTGCAGAAGATGCAGTAGTGATCCATGTATGTATTCGTGTGTGATGTTATAGCATATTCTTTGTGAAAAATACAAGTTTCATATGGATTTTGTGGATTCCGGTGCAGGCGTTCAGGAGTCCTTGCTAACAGAATGGCTCGAGCTTGTGCGTGAAAGAGACCGCATGCTGCGGGAGGAAGTTGAAGAGGTATGTTGGATATGTGATGCCCTTTACACAGCCCAACACGCGCTCTTATGTTCAATATGATAATGGTGTTCTTGGCCTTCTGTTAAGCAAGAGTAACCACACACACACACACACACACACACACACACACACACACACACACACACACACACACATGTATACACATCCGTGCACACACACACGCACACACACGCATGCACGCACACACACACGCACACACATGTACACACATACGTGCACGCACACGCACACACACACACATTGCTGATTACTCTCTGTTGAGTAAGTTACAAGCTGCTGAGGTGACAGGTCTGTGTGAAGGTCTGTATAGTTGTACAATGTGGCTTGGTGGATGGGCGCCAATGTGTGTGTGTATGTGTGTGCCTGTGCTCGTCGTTGTCTGCCCAAATCGTCAGGTGAATGAGAAGGCAAAAGTGGAATGCCTGGTTGATCTGCACCGTGTGCTCAAGGACCTAGGTGGTCTGGTGTCAACCGGCCAGGAGGAGGACGTGGCGCTACGACGTGACATGGCCTCGCTCTATCGGCAGGTCGAGACGTTTTGCACCGAGCACGCCATTGCCACCGAGCCCAGCCCACCAGCGCAAGCCGCATGTCCGCCGCCACCGCCTGCTCCACCCCTGCCGCCGCCACCGCTACCCCCGATGACTATGGGGGCCACGACTTTGTACAAAGCGAAGAGAAAGTCAACAGAGTCTGGTGATGACACAAGAGAGGATGGAGTTAACTGCCCTACCAGTGAAAACGAGCCCGCACTGAAGAAGGTACGTTCTGTGCATCCCGACCTGTCCTGGGTACCTATGTCATGATGTACATGTATTTCCCTGATAAGGGTGTTATGTTCGGCCTGCAAGCCACGCAGGAGTCCATTGACCCTGGATCTACCATTGTGTGCTTGGCATTCCTACCCTGGTCTACCATTGTGTGCTTGGCATTCCTACCCTGGTCTACCATTGTGTGTATGGCATTCCTACCCTGGTTTACCATTGTGTGTATGGCATTCCTAGTGAAGTGCATGCTCTGGTTCTACATGTGTCGGCATCCTGCAGGCGAAAGCCCCAACAACACCTACGCCGCGTTTCACCCAGCAGACGCCGTTCCGCCACGAGTCGCCGCTGCAAACGTTCAACAAGCACCTGATCATGTCAATCTCCGGTGGCCTGGTCCAGCGCCAGCTCAAACGTACCAGCGGTGTGCGATCGCCAGGTGGAACACCAGTGCGCAAGGAGCGACAGCTAGATGCCAGCGATCCGTGTGATGCGATTGCACTGGCGCTGCAGGTACGGTGCTTTCAGCTCGACCCAATGCATTGTTATAGGCTTAAAATTAATTTGAATGTACTACTGGTACTGTTCTGTGTTTGGCAATGCAGTTGATGACAATAAGGGTTGAAGGTGCTCATCTCGGAGTTCATCATAATGTACTGCATAATGTACTGCATAAGCATATTGTGTTTTATTCCATCACCTGTGCGTGACTTGGCATTCTTCTTTCTGCAGAAAAAGTTTCGCAACGTTCCCATCCGCAGCCCCTTGACGCCTTGCGATGAGAACAATGCTGACGCGAGCAATATGTCAGATGCATTTGCGAGTCCCGTACTCGAACCCAGCATGGCTAAGCGAGCGTCTGCTGGCTTAGTGACGGCCAGTGCTGAACAGTCACCCGCTGTGAAAGTAAGAGAGTGCTCACTTTTCCCTGTTGTTTCTACTCCACACTACTTTACCTCTCAGGGACTCTGGCTATCTACAATATCTCTCTTTCTGTGTGTGTGCGTGTGTGTGTGTATGTCTCTCTCTCCCCGCCTCTCTGTCTTCTCTCTCTCTCTCGCACACACACACACACACACACACACACACACACACACACACACACACACACACACGTCTCTCTCTCTCTTTCTCTCTCTCTCTCTCTACCTCTCTCTCTCTCTCTCTCTCTCTCTCTCTCTCTCTCTCTCTCTCTCTCTCTCTCTCTCTCTCTACCTCTACCTCTACCTCTACCTCTACCTCTACCTCTCTCTCTACCTCTCTCCACACACACACACACACACACACACACACACACACACACACACACACACACACACACACACACACGTCTCTCTCTCTCTTTCTCTCTCTCTCTCTCTACCTCTACCTCTCTCTCTCTCTCTCTCTCTCTCTCTCTCTCTCTCTCTCTCTCTCTCTCTCTCTCTCTCTCTCTCTCTCTCTACCTCTACCTCTCTCTCTACCTCTCTCTCTCTCTCTCTCTCTCTCTCTCTCTCTCTCTCTCTCTCTCTCTCTCAATTTTCGGTAGACTGTCTTCGTTGTACTCTCTTACAAGAGTACGGACCGTACGTACAAAGTAACCCCTAATAAAAAGTGTTCAAGTACTTGCACATTGTCCATCCAGGCCTTGCGGTTGACTTTGGCATCACATGGCATGGCTGAAATGGCAAAAGTACGCAGCAATTACTAGAGACCTGTACTCAAACCATGCTTAGGTACAGGACCCTCTGGCTACCGTGCGCCACAGCCACTCAGCACTGGGGTGTCACATGATATGAAATTCTACCATCTCAGACCCCATAAGATAGGAACATGCAACTTCCTCCATCCTCTTACACCATGCTTCCACACCGTCTTGCTCTCCTCTTCGCTGTTATGTTCGGGGCATGCTTTGAGTTGGCTTCTACTTTTGTTGGGAGTCTGTCTGCCCTGGAACTACGCTGCCCGCTACAGCACACGCTTGTGAAACTGCACGGTTGACACGAGCGCACACATGGACTCGCAGCACAACACCTCGGAATCAAACGAGAACTTTTGTCTGCCTTTGAAACTGTGTTGCCACAAGGGTATGACAACAGAAAGTATTGGCTGTCTTGCCCACTTTGGGTACTGATATGTCCTTAGTGCTGGTTGAGACTTAACTTCCTGACAAATAGTATCGCTGTGTATCCAGTGTATCTTGCAGCCCAGACGTCCAAACTGCACAAAGTCCAGTGAAAAGTGCACTGAAACAAACGAAACCAAGCTGAAATTGCATCCACGGAATTGCGATCTCCTATGCGGCATGTGTGCGTTTCAGTGTGTCTCTTTCATGGCATGTGGATAGCAGCATCGTGTTCGCCTTCACGCTTTCTCTTTTTAGAGATGACATCTATACGATAATATGTGTACAAACCGGTAGGATGAAAGTAGTGGTGTGTAGATCTGGGAAACAACCATTTTTCTCCAGCAAGCTGTGTACAGATGAGTCCACGTTGCACTGGCACTGCACACACTACCTATCAATACTCCACACTTGCTGTGTCTGAGAAGTAAGGGGAGAGCGCCCTACCGCGCTGTCCTTTTTTTGTGGTTGTGACGTGGAGCTAGTGTCCTGTCTGCAGGTCATGTGACACACACATTGGAACGGATACGAGCTCCACACAAGAACATGCTTAGTGTGACCTTAATTCTCACACTGTACAAAACTTAGTTGCACTCTGCCATACGATCTCCCTTTCCCTGGCCGTATAATCAAGGTGGGGCGCTGTCGCAAGACAGGGTTCGGCCACGCTGTACTTGACGGTAATCTCCACTGGTGTGCGTGTGGTGTTGTTTTGATCTTGCAGGAAAACACCAACGAAAGCTTCGCCCACACCCTCTGATTGTGGAACAAACTCGCACTAGACAGAGTACGCAGGATGCCGTGCTGTATTCCATTTCTGCCAACGGATCTGTTCCATTCCAAATTCAAATTCTATTCAAATCAATATTTTGTGTCATAGTGCTGTTTGTACGTGTTTCCAAAGTTCAACAAGACATTCCTAACCCCTGTCTAAGCTCTACATTAACCCTATAATGTGGTTCTGCATCGAAATAACACAACAACTGTCATAAAACTGCTGGGACTTTCCTCTTCTCTCTTTTTCTCTTTTTTTGCTTTCGCTCAATGTGCTCGACTAAAAAACATTATCGTACAGCTAATCACTTCTGGCTTCTATGCATGAAACTTTTTTTCTGCACCGGTATCCATTAACAATATAACTATTGAGCTCAGAGCTCGCAGCAAAGTTAGTCATCAGGCGGCCATGAATTGGAGACCTCCGCCTTGCGGAGGAGCAGTGTCGCAAGACAGCGGCAGCTTGGCTTTGAATTGAAATATTCAGCTATTGATCTCTGTTTTGCATCATGACTTCTGCTATGAGGTCTCATGGACAAACTCTGCATGAAATGACTTATGCACAGGTGTGTACTGTAAAGCCGGAAAGTTTAACGTTTTTTTGTAATTTTGACATGATGACGTGCAGAAAGTTTAAAATTATGTTTGTACAACGGAAAGAATATGCATCGATGTATGAGCATCTTTACTAGGGCTGAAACGATCGTGGATTTTCATGTATCGATTACTCTTTAGCTTAACGATCGAGTAATCGATTATAATCGTTAGCAAATAGAGTCATAGTTCTGTGCAAACATTACTCTGTTTCCACAAACTATGCCTTCATGATACCAACAAATCTGCATTAGTGAAAGGGTAGCTCCGAAACATGGCAGTTTTGAAGTCAATTTAACCTCAGAACATGAACCATACCCCTGGCAACTGCATACTCCCAGCGGAAACTGATTCAAACTTCACAAAACAAGGGTTTACAGTACTTTCTGGACACAAATTTAAAAAACGCAAAATAATCGTAATCGGTAATCTAAACGATTGCTCGATCGTTAGAGTTATCAAACGAGTACTCGATTATTCGGTATAATCGTTTCAGCCCTAATCTTTACACAGACATCTCAAACTGGCTTCACGATAACGACTCACATCCTCAAAAGCGTTCTCAAACGCTCCTGAATGGGTCGAGCTTTCTTGTCTGCAGCTCTTGAGCTCTGTTAACGCAATGTTTTCAATATGCAATGAATAAGATTCTCCAAGTCGCCTTTTTCAAGATGCAGTATTATAGTCCTCAATAAGTTTCTTTAATCTGTCATTTGACTCCACTTCCTTTGCAATGGAGGTAGCCTTTGCAGACTGTGGGTAGTGCTTGAGAAACCAGACTGGCATATCGCCAGCACACATGTCCGCGGCATAGCCAAGGCAGCTATGTCCTTCGTACACCTCCTGGACATTTTGGCCGCAGTCCTGCACTAGCCACTCGACGATGCGTTTGTTGAAGGAGCTCCTGCAGGCGTGGTTAAGTGGTGGGTTTTCCCCAACGGACGCCTCGCGGTCGAAGTGGAAATCCACTGCATATGTCTCTTTCACCTCTTTGGAAAGAAGATAGTGTGAGTTGCGCAGCAATGCCAGACACAGGTCCAGATGGAATTCTCGCATTTCTGCTTTCTGCTGGTTCTGCTCAACCTGGATTTTCTTACAAGAAAGCGCTATCATTTGCATTGCCAAGGCCAGATCTTGCTTGCATTTTTCAGGGTTCGTCTCCTCAGCTGTGCAGCCTCCCTTCTCCACATCGTCCCTGAGTTCGGAAAACATAATGTGCAGGCGGCCGCACACGTCATTTGCGCAGTCCAAATCATCGAACGGGTCGTAATCTTCATGTTTGTGTTGCTTCCTAAAAAGTGACACAGCAGCCTGCTCAGCGTCATTGAGAGAGTTGGTCCAATTACTTTCAGAAGCCATTTTGCCCTTAGCCGGGGATAAACAGCCTGACCTACAGCTACATGTAGTACAAGGCAAGGCTTGAAGCACAAGGCTAGCAGCCGCTACAATACTCAATAGCACATTGACAACACGATGGGGAAATATAAAAGGGATACTACTACAATCATGTACTTGTACCGTAGGCTAAACTTTAGTTGTAGTACATAATAATAATAATAATTCGCGGGATTCGCGTTGGCATCGCTTGAATGTTCAGAAACACACAAACTAGCCTTCGCTTCCGCAGGCCACCACTATACCTATGCCTTGCACACCTAAGTCCTTAGTGGCGAATGCAGACCTCACAAGTGAGTCAGGGGAGAGTAGGTGAGTCTCTCAACCAATCGGGCGTGTAACGGCCCATAACCCTGTAAACTGCATCCTTGTCCCCCCTCACTCCGAGCTGTGAGTACCCAGTTGACCGTGGGTGTCGGCGCATAAAAAGTCTTTACTCACGTAAAAAGTCTTTACACGCTCCCTGCTACCAGCGCGGGTCTCGAACTCGGGACCTCATGATTCGCAGGCAAGTAAAAGTTGTAGTACATGGTGCGCTGAAATGACCTCCTGGAATCGACGTTGTACTTGTACTTGTAGTTCACCAGTAGTATTACTATTAGGGGCCGTCCGTAAATATCGATGTTTTTTTAGAGACGATATTGGTGCGTCTGGGGGGGAGGGGGTTTGAGCCATGTGCGTCTTTTCGAGCATCAGAAAAATATCGATGTAAATATCTGAAGTTTCGCCGATCCCTGCACGCGGACGTCTAAATGGCTATACAAGAAATGTGAAACCAGCTTCCGTTCGCGGAGCTAAAACTCGCGACACAGGAACAAAATCAAAAATTGGAAGCTGTACGCCCATGGCGAATTTCAAGAGCAAAAGAATGAGCTATTGATTGTGGAAATCGGCCGAACGATGCCTGCAGGAGACCTTTTTCAAGACGTAGAGGCAGTGCGAACAAACACGGACGAACTCCACAAGAGTTTCCAGTCTTCACTGTCTGAACAAGGATTTGAAAAAATTCAAGCCCGAGCGTAGCCGCTTTGGCTACACCAGTAGTACACGATGTCTGTGAGCACTGCAGCGCCAACCCGGTTCGCTCCCCCCATCCCAGGCCAGGCGATGCAGCTATTGCGTGAGCATGGTGAGTGCGGCGGGATTTTCACGCCTACACCGGACCCTCAACATCCATTCCTGGGCACTTCATGAGCATCCAAAAATATTGATTCCATGATCTAGATGTACATGTGCGTCTTCTGGGGGGAGGGAGGGGGGTCAAGGGAGAGAAGCACCAATATCGTCTCTAAAAAAACATCGATATTTACGGACGGCCCCTTACTAGTATTAGACTAGTCAGTACATAGTCATAGTGCACTACATACTCGTTGGTATGGCGACTAATAACTTACTAGCCTTGTCATCCCCGTAACCATGGTAACGACTGAGTCTGTTACGTCAGTAAATCGAATACTACAATTACCAAGAGATGTACTCTTGCAATTATGACAATGCATGTTGGTTGGTATTAGTACAGAGGCAATATGCTTTGGTTCTGCAAGAGTGCTCAATGCCTGATTCAGGCAGAGCGGCGTACACAAAGGCACACAATGAAAACCTTGGCAAATTAATTCCGTTGTGACTCAGAGTTTCATGGCTGAACCAATCATCAGACAACGATAATGGAATAGGAGGCAGCGCTGGTATATCTAAGTTGAGAGAGGTGTGATAATACGATAGCGAGAGGAGTAATCGCGTGAATGTATACAGGGACAGGCTATTTCAGAGGCAGATGCAGTAGGCGCAGGTCTAGCACTAACAAGCACGCGTTAATCTCGCTCACACACCACACCCACACCCACACACATACTAACATGCACACACATAGTAACATGGTAACACCCACATACACGCACACGTTTACACACACATACACCCACCCACAACACCCTAACTTGCACACGGGCGCACGCACACACAGACACCCACCCACCCACAACACCCTAACTCGCACACGCACAAACACACGCATATACACACACCTATTGATATATGCACACACACACACACACACACACACACACATGTCCACACGCACACACGCATACACAGGCATCTGCGTTCGTATGACAAATCTAAGCGCACACAAACTCCTGCAATCACGCGTCAAAAAACCCGCAGCGGTCATCATGGTCATAGCTGTCTATGTTATCAATGGTTATAGGGGTGGCCAGCAGAAACTAGTTGGTATTAGTAGTATTTTCATATTACTTCCGCAGAGAGAATAGGGATTGCTGCCTTCTTGCAGAAAATTGAATTGTCCAAGGTCTCACAAAATGACGCAGAATGTGTCAGTAGCATGCCTTCCCTCAGACTTCAAGTTAGTTCCTGGTGGATCTCTTCGACTTCTAATTTTTGTTACTGTGGCTGGTATGATACTGTAAACTATTAATACCCAATTTCACACCACCAAAAGTTTCACGATTGATCAGAACCAGCGGTTTTACCATGGTTTGCGATGGCAACTGTCCGTGGAGCCCTGCTGCCGCATACATGCACCCCTTGCTGAATAGTCACGTTACGGTCATACATGCACCCCTTGCTGAATAGTCACGTTACGGTCATACATGCACCCCTTGCTGAATAGTCACGTTACGGTCATACATGCACCCCTTGCTGAATAGTCACGTTACGGTCATACATGCACCCCTTGCTGAATATTCACGTTACGGTCCTGTTGTTTTCTTTATTTGAATTTGCTAAAACCAAACGGACAGAACTGTCCAGTGACAGGGGAGCGAATGATGAGCGTCATAACATCACAGTCCGCATTTCACTGGCCAGTCTACTTTCACCAGGGAGTCGTAAAGGCCATTTCACAACTCCATGCTTTACTAATTACAGGGGCGTCGGAAGGTACTTTTGGTAGTCGTGGTCAGCCATCTGAAATACAAGTTACTCGTGCGTATTGGGGGGGGGGGGGGGGGGGGGGGGGCTTTACTGATATATTTTCAAATTTTGAGCCCAAATCTGCTTTTTATTGATTTGTGGGGTATCTGGGGCAAAGAGTGGCATGGTCAATACCGCAGTGACCATATCATGTCTGGAATGCCCTGCTTTATGCGGCTACCTCACAGATCAGTAAGGACAATAATTATATTTCTCATTGTGTCCTTTTGAAGATGTACATGGGAAATACAGAGTGGGATGGGGATACAGGCAATACTCTGAAGTTGGCATGGCACCTCTCCCGGAAGAGAATTATAATTGGTTTTGTTAACATTCTACTTGATCATCCTCTATGCCTGCACACAGACTGCATGGCAATTTGTAATACATCAGTATGACCAATTATTCACACTGCCCTGATCTGCACACGTCTGGATACCAAGCAAGCCGCCGGAAAGACCCTGGGTCGCATACCATGGCGTGTACATGACCGAGCACATGTGTGCAGTGTTCCGTGTTGATACTGCTGTCATAAACAGGGCTAGACATGTAGCATACATGCTACTATCATAACCAGGGCACATATAAAGTCATGTAGCATACATGCTGCACAAGTTCACGATGGCGGGAAACCAAACATGGGCTGGAACTGCAAGCTTCATGGCAGAGGCAGCCTTGTCATTAATGTCCTTCTGTGGTATGGGTTGGGCAGTTTAATCACCAATCCACGATTCACCAACCTTCTTTGTCACCAGAGGCCACATCTATCTCAACCAAGACTGATGTGGCTGTTAGCGGGACAGCTTTGCGATCGATGTCCTCCTCTGATATTGGCTGGATAGTTGAATTGCCAGCCAGCGATTCGCATATTTTCCAAGTGCGGCAACATCTATCACATCTGAAACTGGCACAGCTGTTGACAGAGCAGTCTTATCATCGACGTCCTTCTCCGGTGGTCGAATCATCAGCCAGCAATTCGTCGACCTCTTCCTTAGCAACATCTATCTCATCCGAAATTGGTGTGGCTCTTGACAGAGCAGCTTTGTCATCGACGTCCTTCTCTGGTATTGTCTGAGCAGTTGAATCACCAGCCAGCGATTCACCGATCTCTTCTTGTTCAACTGCAACATCTACCTCATCCGAAATTGGCGTGGCTGTTGACGGAGCAACTTTGTCATCGACGTCCTTCTCTGGTATTGTCTGAGCAGTTGAATCACCAGCCAGCGATTCACCGATCTCTTCTTGTTCAACTGCAGCAACATCTACCTCATCCGAAATTGGCGTGGCTGTTGACGGAGCAACTTTGTCATCGACGTCCTTCTCTGGTATTGTCTGAGCAGTTGAATCACCAGCCAGCGATTCACCGATCTCTTCTTGTTCAACTGCAGCAACATCTACCTCATCCGAAATTGGCGTGGCTGTTGACGGAGCAGTTTCATCTTCGATGTCCTTCTCTGGTTTTGTCTGAGCAGTTGAATCACCAGCCAGCGATTCACCGATCTCTTCATGTTCAACTGAAGCAACATCTACCTCGTCCGAAATTGGTGTGGCTGTTGACGGAGCAGCTTTGTCATCGACGTCCTTCTCTGGTATTGTCTGGGCGGTTGAATCACCAACCCACGATTCACTGACATCTTCTTTTCCAACTGCAGCAACATCTATCTCGTCTGCAGCTGGTGTGGCTGTTGACAGAGCAGCTTTTTCAATGGCCTCAATGTCCTTCTCCGATATTGGTTCAACAGTTAAATCACCAGCCAGCAATTCTCCGACCACTTCTCTGCCCACTGCGGTAACATCCATTTCATCTGAAACTGGCGTGGCTGTTGATAGAGCAACTCTGTGATCAAACTCAAGTTTCTCCTGTAGTTCAGCAACAGCTTCTTCATTCCTATCCACAGTGTCAGGAAGGTGCAATACTCTCTGATGTACTATGTGTGGGTGATCGATCATACTGCCTAGCACAGGCTCCACTTTGGCTTTATCGGCAACGAAATCAATGAACACTTTCGTGCCATCCAAATCAGCGGCGATACCATGGAAGCTTGCTTTCAAAGGCAGCCGTCTCTCTCCAACAGCCCTCACATTGCGTACAACACCGTCACTCTCGACAACATTTTTAGAAACAGACTTGATAACGGACTTGAGAGCAGACCTTGACAGGCCTTTTCGCACAACGGCCAGAACTTCGTAGCGACTCATTCTAACAGTCAGACAGATATAGATGTCATACTACTATTACGCGGAATGAGACCATCACGAAACGAACAAGAAGCACACTTGGCGAACGGGAATACTCTGCTCATTCCATTCCAATGAACAGAAATTCGAATTCATTTTTTCGAGTATTTTTGCTTGCTTTTGGGAGTTTCTGGTTCTGTCATACGTCATGTATAATGTCATGAACGAGCCATATTCTCCTTGGCAACCTTTGGCTTTGCAGCAAAAATTCGCTAAAATCATGCACACAGAGAATAGTGGCGTCGTCATTCTCGTCGTGAAGTTTTTGTGTTCAGTAGCTACAACTAACTACAAATTACTTACTTCGTACGAGTCTTTGCAAGGTGTCTCGCACTTGCAAGGTTGGTAGAGGCATGACTCCATATGAGGTTATTCTGCTTCACACTACTAGGCGAGCTCACTGCACTCTAGTCTAACTAATGAATGGATCCCTTGCCTAGGTGCTGCAGAAGCTGTTCTATGTCGCAAAGCAAGATGAGTTTGTGGCTAGTGGAACTGAAGAATTCCACGATATTCAAGTGCACTGTATTATTATTACCAGTAAGTCAGTAAGACAGTTAGTGTTCTTGGATCGTTGCTTTGTGTATGATTGGTGTGGGTTGACTTAGACTACGCGTAGCTTACTAGTATTGCATGCGAGTTATGGAGTATCATTCACTTTCTTTTCACTTTCTCATTCTCCTTGTCGTTCAAATAATCATGATATCATAGTAAATACAAACAATAACAATAACAATACAGTATTAAACCATCCACATGCATCACCTAATCAAATGACAAAGCCTCCTGTACTGGCAAAATGAATTTCACATATCATCAAACAAACTCATGGAATTCGGTAAACTGCTTTGAAGTATAAAAATCAATTTAAATACAGTAAAACCGGTAATGGCGACCACTCGGATATGGCGACCACTAAAGTAATTAGTTGTCATGGACGCATTCACATTCAAAACAGCTCGGATAAGGCGACCACTTGCTCCACGGGACCGATGACCACCCACCCGCGACTGCGTTGCACCCTGCTAGTACATGTAAATGTACGCATTGCATGGTGCACGATGCATGATAGATCTACACATCAGTGCAGGACGTGTAGATGTACAATGGTGCATGCACGACACTTGACAAGTCTGAGGACCCCAGGCACATGGGTCGTGCTAGAGTAGCATAGATGTGTGCAGTGTGATACACTGATCAAAATGATATATCACATGTATTATGAAGTGGATATGGTCACGTGACCCACTGAACCTGGATAAGAAGACCAATTGGCTAAAGCGACTGCTTTTTCTTGTCCCTTGAGTGGTCGCCTCAGACAGGTTTTACTGTACAAGTAAATCAATTGGAAAGTACTCAGATGGTCAGCGAAAGGAAAACTTAAATGAAAACAAGGAAAACGGTGGGGCACAAGTTATGCGTTAGAGTCCACAAACTAAACCAGGTTTTGAACAGTCAGACGTGCACAAGGTAGCACCAGACTGACAAGGAGTACTGAGACATTCCACGGCAAGGAAGTGAGCTTGAACACTGCTCGATAGCGCTAACCAACGGCCTTCCAACTACCGGTAATTGCTTAGAAGGTTCATGGATGTTAGTGATAATCAGTACTCATTGTCAGTCTGGTGCTACCTTGTGCACGTCTGACTGTTCAAAACCGGGTTTAGTTGGTGGACTCTAACGCATAACTTGTGCCCCACCGTTTTCCTTGTTTCCGTTTCCATTTAAATCAATTGGAACACAAAAGAGGAGAAAAAAACATAAGGTAAAAGAGCCAACAAAAACATTATCGTTCTGGCAAAGCAGCAGACAACCTGTCCCCACAGAATAACGCGGACAAAATCCTAAAATTATGCGCGCGAAAACAGGCCATTCTACGGTGAATATGTGGGATTATGCAGCAAATATGCGGTATAATGCGGTCATTATGCACGAGTTGTCTGTCGTTAGAAACACGTTTAGCGTACAGTTTCCTACGAGTGTACAACTTTGTCGTACACACTCATGGGTGGATACGACGTAGTACATTTTCAACATCATGACTGTGTTGTTTTCTTGTACATTCCCATGGATAACGCGGGTTTTATGCAAAATTTCTCGAAAACACGGATGAAAGCCAATAATGCGGAAAATTGCGCGTCCGCAGAATCGCGGTATCTTGTGGGGACAGTACAAGCAGCTCCAGTGTGTGTCACTTGAAGTAGTATCTTTCACCACTGATGTCATTCACAAATTTCAAAGTCATGCCGTCATGCAAGCTTTCACAACTGCTGTCATTTACACTTTTGCTTTGTGAGTATAAGTATAGATTTTTGGTTGGAGGAAAGCAAATCAGCACACGAAGCACAGAAGCCATAATTATAATTTTTTCGGTTATAAGGACTTGCTTACTACCTTGTTAATCACCATTGTATTCGACCTGAAGAGTAATGGAATGAAAGGCCTAGTCGAAAAAATTATAGCTTCTGTGCTTCGTGTGCTGATAAATCAGTATCCAGAGTTACTCATTACCGTTTTCTGATGATCGCTTACAGTGCGGGAGACTCGGAGTTTAAACACTTTTTCATCCTCTTTTTATTGTTTGAACTAGCTCTGCCTTTCGGTATTGAGCACTCTGTTGGACAGCCTGGAACATCTCTGTTTTATCATAGTACATGTAAATACATTACTGTATGCAAAGCACAGCAGGGAGCCTAGCTAAAAGCACTACTTGTATTTCTTTAGTGCTCCCTACTGTACCGTCAAGTCTAGGTCATGGATTTTGTAACTAACTTACATAGCGCACCATACACAGTATCCTGGACTAGAAGTGCCATGGAACAAAACATGTAGCGTTCATGCTCGTACTGCTATGCGTGCGCAAAGTGCAGCATGCCAGACAGCACATTCGTCAGCTAAATTGTGAGTGACAGTGCCGGGGATATGTGTAGTGTACATTATCAGAGACACATAATAGCGTGTTATTTCTTCCATGTATCAAGTATCAGGTTTTTGATGGTCATAAAAAAAGGATCAGCAACAACTACTGTCAAAACAGCCAGGTTTCTAGGTATGTGGGTAGTCGCATTTTCAAAGTTGGCAATATTATGATGGTCGTAATCACAAATTAGGAATTCTGTTCACTCACAACGTTACTATACACGAACCTTTGAGGTCGTACGTGATGAATATTGAATCGTGAATGTCACTCTTGCACAAAATCTTCAAGATGATATAGGGAACATTCCATAGATCACAAATGTACCATAATGTGAGACAAGCCGTATTTGAGCTTGCAATCAAAGTTCAACATCAATCTTGATGGTTGTCGATAGCCGGTTGAGGGAAGAGAACAAGAATGAAAACGAGACAGAGATACAAAGACAGAGAGCGTTGCACTGCATGGCCATGACAGGACACTGCCCAGTGCTGACCTGCAGGCTGTGTCGAAGGCCCTTCTTCCGCCATTCACATTGGCCGTGCATCAGTAGGCCAGAGCGCACATACTTGTACTTTGCTCAATGTTCTGCACTCCACTGATAGTAGTAGCATGTCACTACCTGTGCTACAACCGGTTGGGTTACACATGGTCTGTGATGCGTCAGTCGTCCTCTCCGGCTATCGGAAGCACAAAGGACTCTGATGACCGTGCCTGTATGCCACATAACACAGGGGTGCGAGAGGACAAAGACTGGTGTGATACAACACACACCTGTTTCACTGCAGTATTATTTAAATTTGCACGTACTTCATCATTCCTATGTACCTGTGTGTATGCTCTACATGCTCGTCAGAAGTATCACACTTTTGTCCAGTCATCCAAAATTAATAGTCGCGTTGGCGTTGAAAGCTCAATTTTGCCGAATTGCGGCTCAAAAACCCACTTTAATTTGAAAAATCTGGAGTTTGGATGTGCTTCTTGATACATTTTGCCATGGCGTACCTGTCCTAATTCGTGAAATATGACTGGAATTCTTTTTCCCTCTACTGTACTTGGACTTTTCCAGCCTCAAAGGTGGCAAGAAATAATTGTAGAGTCACACACTGCAGGATGTACTGTTGTTTTCACAATATTATGGGAGACATGAAAAAGTTCGGATGCAAGTTTGGGTGAATGGACTACTAGTATACAACTAGTACATGATATCGTACATCCACTACAGGTCTGCTCAGATGACATCAGTGCCTGTTCAGTTGATGAATCAAAATGAAACATCAAGTTCCGTCATTGCCACATGTATACGACCATGCTGTTCCATGTCTGACAGCCCTCGTAGCTTAGCCTGCTTCCCAACATTAATATAGTCACCGCTACATGCATAAACCACCGTCCATCGATGCAGGAACTGCTATCCTTTTAGTGCCATCTAGGTCAACTTACATTTGGATCAATCAGTTCGGCGAGCTCGCGCGTCAGAATGTCGAACTTGCGCATCAGGTCTTCATGATACAATACTTGATCACTTTGTATGATGCGCGAGTTGAGCTCCAGACCAAGCTCACATTGCTTCAGTAGATCCCTGCGCACCACACAAAGTAGTGCAGCGTAGCGGCCGACGAACCACACATATCATGACACATGTATCACTACTCTGCGTTTTGTGTACACGAACACAGAGAGCTACATCGGTATGCCAACAACCCCCCCCCCCCCCCCCACACACACGTCATGTATAATAATTATTCTGTGTTATTGGGTTCATGTTTTACACGGTTGCCAAAGGCATGCAAAGAGGTGTCCACAGCGGGAATACTGAACTTAACCCATTCAGCGCTACTGGGCCTTGCCTATGGTACTCTGCATATTAATGCTAAAAACAGGGCCAATAGCAAGTTCTAAAACTCCAGGGTTCTGGCAACTGGGGTCCTCAAATATTTTGGAAAGGATTGCCAAGACTATCAACCACAGGGTGACAGAATCGATACAGTCCCCAAAAAGAATAGCGCCTCACAATAGGGGACGCAAGTTTGCTCAAATTGCGTGAAATACGCCAAATGCGTGAAATTGCAGCTGAAAGATCGCTGAAAAGAGAAGAAAAAAAGACGCATAGTGTTTCCAAGCGGGATTCGAACCAACGACCTATCGTACAAGAGGCAGGATCATGATCCAACTGACTAACAGTGCTTTTACACACCAGACAGTGCCAGAAATCACTATATATCCCATGACGTCTATAGACGTCATCCCGCGCATGGGGGGCATTTTCAATGACGTCTATAGACGTCATCAGCGTTCAATGGGTTAAACTTCAGTTAGCTGTTCAATGTACCACTAAGGTTCATAAAGGAAGTGTGTTCAGAGTCTGCCCTCTCTATCCTCAACTCTCTCATGACATCAGCGTGCAGTGTGTGCATATTCAAGTAATTCATCGAGCCTGCGATGCGCTATTCACTGCGACACCTACTTGAAAACTGTCCGCAGCGTTGTAATGTGATTCTCCGGATTGCTGGTCAGCTCTGGCTCGGTCAAGAAGGTACGTCCGAACGCCAGTGGACCGGCATTCACCTAGAAATACATAGCATTTCAGAAAAATGCCCAGGGTTACTCAAGAAAAATGCCCAGGGTTACTCAAGTGTTGGTTGTCATGTTTTGTGGTAGTCGAGCTAATATCAACAGTACAGGTGATTGATGACACAATGATGGGTATGGCTAACTAAACCCTATTGCATTGTTGGAATGGACATGTGCCGAAGATGACTACAGCGTACCGCCTTTCTAGCCCACTGACACAGAGTAGCTGGGCTTAGCAAGCACTTGGCAAGCTACTAACTTGACTACTTTCCTCAATGGGAACCTGGACCAAAATACTTGTAGCCTGCTTCCTGGAAATTTCAGAGCAGAACGTTGGCTTTTCTTACCGTGACACTGACCACACCTTGCAGGACTCGTTGCAAGTTGACTTTGTCGGGTGGTGACTGCTGGAGAGCTTCACTGAGTTCAGCCAGCTTCCCAGTCAACGCTTCGATGGCCACTTCGATGGGCGTCAAGTCGAAGTTTTCCTCTTCGACAATGGCAATCCGCTTCTTCACATATGGGAACGTGTTAGCCGCTGTGTAGCAGACCAGTGAGAACGGAGAGATCAGTGAATGTGTACTGGCAGCTGCTAGACATGTACTAGTACTGCATTCGCTGCTCAGTGAGAATTGACCGAACACAGAACCACGCTATTCATTGTCTCCAAGGATTAAACACGGACATGTGGTTGTCAAGTGTTCAGGCATCATCCTCACTCTTGTGTTCTTCAGCGTTCTGGCAAGGTACAATATTCTGATTCGTGCGCTACACACTTTGTCATACATGGCTTTGCACTGCAGCGCATGATGCAATGTAGCGGCGTCTTGGGAGGGGGGGGGGGTGCTGCCAGCTGCTGATCCTGGCCCGTGAACGTGAACAGAAAGTTCTACTGATTACAAGAAGAATCGACGTTGGAAAGCTTTGAGGATTTTGGCTGATATGACTGTGGTAATGGCAGCAGCTTTTATTCTACTTATTGCTATTCTACAGTTTTTCCCTGTGTCGTTCATTTATCTAAGTTCTAGATGATCTGCAAATAACTGGTATGTCTAGTAAGTGCACGTATTTGCAGTGTTCTACGTGTGCTGTTACAGCTACTACAGCTGCGCTCGGTGAAATCCGATTGAAAGCGCTTATTTGGTGCCCTCAACTTGGACCGCCCTGACGCCCTGGAAATGGCACGAACGCGGCTGGACGTACACATGTACAAATGCAATGATGTAATCGGAACCGAACTGGTCCAGGGCGCCAGCTGCTGCTTTGCACTTTGGGTCGGATTTCAGTGAGCTGACTGGTAGTATGCATGCAGGCATTAGCAGTCGGGTCACTCACTCGTCAGAATAGTCTTGTGTATCCACTGCTCGCGGACATCGCCCCGGTTCTTCTCCGTCTTGGTGAATGGTGTCTCGTACACAAAGCGCCGCAGGTTGTTGTTGCGCTCGAACGGCGTCAGTCTCGTCTCAAGCTCGCTGTCGCTGAAGTAGGGCTTGACGAAGGTGATCTGAATGTATGCACGGTCAAGGTCCAGGGCATCCACATCAACCTGTTATAAACCAGCACACAGCCACAGGTGAAGCAATGACCTTTGATACAATGTCACGGAATACTCAACTCTGTGGGTATGGCCTAATACTTGGCGATAACCTGATATACCATGAAATGCCAAGCTGTCGACTGGATCGTTCTATTGACCTGTGTCTAATATGCACATGCCATTACGAATAGGAAAGGAATGGGACGACGTCTTACAATATTGCACCCGTGTGTCATACGCATTGCGGTGCTTGGCTGGTGAGACACACTGCTAGAACATGGGCACAGCTTGTGTATCAGAAGTTGATGAAATTGTGAGTAACGTTAGTGCCTACATTTGTTCTATCTGCCAGCGAATACACCATGGTGATGATGTCCTACACATGGGAGCTGGGCTCTGACAACTGACATTCTCTACGGTCTCCAGGTTACAGTCAGGTCAATTTATTTATTTTATCGTGACACCTGTCTATTGTAATTACTATGTGCTGCAATATCATCCGTTCTCACTTTGCTCGACTCCTTGATGGTGGAGACGTTCTCCGTGCCAAACTTCGTGCCATAGAGCTCCTCGAGGCGCAATGAGATAGCCGCCAGTGGTGTGACCTTGGGCTCCTTGTAAATGTAGTGCAGGCCGTTGTCATTGCCGAATAACTGGTTGATCAATGGCATGTGAAGAGGGGGCAAAGCACAGGTACATCTATTCTTACTTTGAAGCAACAATAACAAAAGCAACAATAACAAAAATTAATGTGATGAAAGTTCATGCCCCAGTGAAAACAACGCTAGCACCTTGGTGGCGCCTCAGATTTGTACGTGTTGAAATACCGGTATGGATTTTGAATCTCTCGGCATACTACAATTGCGTACTAGCAAGCCGCCGATTTAATCGCATGCATACCTCTCCTGAAAGCAAACTATGAATAATGATGTTAGCAATGAATACATTAAATCTTCAATGGGCTCACCTCGCCAAAGAACGCAACTCGGTAGTACGTTCCCAGCAGCCGCCTCTTCGTCTTCTCTACCTGCACGACCTTTGCACACGCCGCAGACAGGGTGCTGAAGGAGCTGGCGAGGGCCTGAGCGCACCAGTGGAAGTGGACACAACACCACAAAAACACCACAATCATGATGAGGTTGCACTCATGACGGTGGTGGTAACTACCAAAATAGTACCCAGCATATGAGAAGCGCAGAGTCAGAGCACGGCGAGGGAATGAAATAGTACCCAGCATATGAGAAGCGCAGAGTCAGAGCACGACGAGGGAATGAAATAGTACCCAGCATGTGAGAAGCGCAGAGTCAGAGCACGACGAGGGAATGAAATAGTACCCAGCATGTGAGAAGCGCAGAGTCAGAGCACGACGAGGGAATGAAATAGTACCCAGCATGTGAGAAGCGCAGAGTCAGAGCACGGCGAGGGAATGAAATAGTACCCAGCATGTGAGAAGCGCAGAGTCAGAGCACGACGAGGGAATGAAATAGTACCCAGCATGTGAGAAGCGCAGAGTCAGAGCACGACGAGGGAATGAAATAGTACCCAGCATGTGAGAAGCGCAGAGTCAGAGCACGACGAGGGAATGAAATAGTACCCAGCATGTGAGAAGCGCAGAGTCAGAGCACGGCGAGGGAATGAAATAGTACCCAGCATGTGAGAAGCGCAGAGTCAGAGCACGACGAGGGAATGAAATAGTACCCAGCATGTGAGAAGCGCAGAGTCAGAGCACGACGAGGGAATGAAATAGTACCCAGCATGTGAGAAGCGCAGAGTCAGAGCACGGCGAGGGAATGAAATAGTACCCAGCATGTGAGAAGCGCAGAGTCAGAGCACGACGAGGGAATGCTGCAAGCTGATCATGTGACAGGTGGTTGCTTTCACAGAATCTCTAAGTTACCATGATGTCTAAGTTCAGAACATTATTTGATGTAGTCGTCCAATGTGAGGGCACTGCACTCACACCAATTGCACATTCTTACTTACTTACTTACTTACTTACACAAGCCCATTGCTGAAGCGATGATCGCGAACAAGCAACTTGTGCTTGGGATGCCACTATTCAACAGCTTGCAAGGCTGATGAATTGACCGCCACTAATTTGAACCTGGTCTACACCCGGCAGAGAGCTTATTCCGATTGTACATTCTTCTGGACTACTGCCAGTGCCACCCCTATCTATATCCATAACCCAAACAATAGTCAATACTGTTGTGATGCACAGGAACAGGCACATTTTTCTTGCTATACACTATCATCATGTGAACACTACACCGCTAGACCGAGTACTGTATAAGCAGAAAAATTCGTCTGGAATTTAATTTCGTCTTTTTCGTCCAAGGAGCTTTTGGACTAAATTAAATGTAGGCCTAATGTCGATTTGCCCAGCTTTTCTATACACTCTTATGATCCATGGACGAAATTTTCAACCGGACGAACTCCTTTTCTTTGGAGTTGGACGAAATTATCGACCGACGAAATTTTCTGCCTCTACAGTATTACATAATACTAGTACATGTACAAGGATGTAGCACCTGGCCTCTAGCTGTCCAGGGTGTACAAGTATTACAGCTTGGGGTGCGTACTGTTGGCTTTGAAGTCGCATGGATGCCTCACCTCATACTGTCTTCTCTTGTCGTAGTACGGCTGCAGTAGCTTGAACACGTCCACCATCACCTCATAGCGCTCAGCTTTCTCCAGCCAGAAGAGTGCCTCCTCCAGAACACTGATGTAGTCATCCTGCAATGGTCACAGTGAGAGAAATAGTCGCTGTTAATGAGGAAACGGTTGCTTTTATCATGTGTACTGTAATTCTCTGGACACCCAGCCATTAAAAACCTTGGCACCTCTCATCAGCGGAGCAAGTGACCATACCATGGCTCATTTTGTGACTAAAAATACAATTGTAAAGCGCCCGGTATTATGTGGCGCTTGACAGAATACACAAAACATTGCACTCTAGCTCTTTCGACTTCATTTTCCAGGCTTTTCTGCAGTTGTGTGTATGGAATTATGTTCTGGCTCATTGCAAGGCAACTGTTTCGAATTCAGACTAGCTGACGCTCCGACTAACCTCCGTGTAGATATTGATGGTGGGATCAACCAGATCTTCCTTCATGGCGCACTCCTCCTTTGTGACATTTGATGTGATGGCTGCAAAGTCACCTGCTCCAGACGCATGCTCACCTGCACCAAGCAAACACGAAAGTGGAGCACATGCAACGTGTCCTTTATGTTTCGAGCATTCTGGTACATGATCATGCGGCACGGTTGAAATTCATTTTGGAGTACGGTCAGACCTCGCTTAACCACACACATCCGTTTTCCACAAAAATATCCGAATAGGCGAGGGAACCGGATAACCGAACACCGGTTATGTTGGATGCATCACGTATGCTGTGAATCTGTAACCAGCTATTTTCTTCTGGACGGCGAGGGGTCCGGATAAAACATGCGAGCACACATGTACAAACACACACACACACACACACACACACACACACACACACACACACTCACTCACACTCTCTCTCTCTCTCAGTTCAGAGCGGTACATGGCTTCACATCACACTGCTTACCTTTGAACTTCAAGTACTCGGCAATGATACCAGCAACGTGAATACTGCAGTGAGCAGCCTATGGACATGGATAGATGAGAGTATAAAAGGAAACATGAATCAGTAGATCTCAGAGAGGCACATCTAATGTACACAACACACACACGTTGTATTCCTGTTTAACCATCCGGAGTACAACAGCCGCGGGCAGCTCCGAGGTTCATGCTCAGTTCAAACATCAAGCAACTCTCTGATCAGTCACACCAGTACATTTTCGTGTACCGATCAAATACTTACTGATTGTTTTCTACGGGACGGAATGGCTCAATGTCCTCGCTTATGACGGGTGTGGCAGTTTGAGAAGTTTTTTGTGGTGCATATTGATTGTCGTCTGTTCCACACTGACTGATACTTAGAAGACTGAATAGTCTGATCTTTCTCACATGGCGTATGCTCAATCATTAATTAGTCCTGGCCTTGGCTCACCTCGGAAAAGTTGCCGTAGCTCTCATGCAGCTTTGCCATGCTCTGCAGCCAGGTGTGGCGCAGCTGAGCGGCATTGCTGTAGCTCTTAGCCAGGATGTACTGCTGCTCAACAAGTACCTCCGCATCATCTTTGTGTTTCTACATGTACAGAAGAGTACAGAGTGATACAGAATGCAGACATGGCGGAGAAGAGGACAAGACATGGCGGAGAAGAGGACAAGACATGGCGGAGAAGAGGACAAGACATGGCGGAGAAGAGGACAGGAATTCCCCTCCAACTTGCAAGTCAAAACAACTGCTTCCCGTAAGTCAAAGTCATGGGAACTCCACAATCCAGGGAGGGTCTCCATAGCCAAATATTGGTCCCCCATTTTTACAGTACATCTACTGGAGTAGGTTATTACTAGTGCTAGTAAAACGTGTGCAGGGTAGTGCAGGGTAGGTAGGTAGGTAGTGCAGGGTAGGTAGGTAGGTAGGTAGGTAGGTAGTGCAGGGTAGGTAGGTAGGTAGTGCAGGGTAGCAAGCAGAAGAATTCAGAATGGAATTTGATGTACCCGGGTTAATTTAAATCTTTACTCCGAAGGTAATGTATAGTGCTGCAATGTCCATGGATCGGTGGAATGCATTCAACTGGTCTTTGTAAGGTAGCTATGAGAAAGCATCTCATTCTGGACGGAGAATGTGACTTAGAAGTGTAAAACGTCGTATATACTGCATCGCCATGGTCCACGGCATTGTTAGCTTAACACACATGCATGCACGTACGCACACACATACACTGCCTCAGCATTGGTCCGCAGCAGGAGTTGGATATTTGACGGCTAATCGCCCAACCCCATAGGGATTGTTCAGTTTTGTTCTCGGCAACCAATACCGTACCTTCATCTCATTAGTGGCATGTAAGACATTTCTGAGTCGTGCTGTCAAGTCCTTCACTTCAGTAGGAAACTGTTGAGACTGCAGATAAAGCAATACACACAGATCGTTCATATCTTCAGATCACAAGATCTCACGAGATCTCACGAGATCTCACGAGATCTCACAGGATCTCACAGGATCTCACGAGATCTCACAGGATCTCACGAGATCTCACGAGATCTCACGAGATCTCACGGGATCTCACGGGATCTCACGGGATCTCACGGGATCTCACGGGATCTCACGGGATCTCACGGGATCTCACGGGATCTCACAAGATCTCACAAGATCTCACAAGATCTCACAAGATCTCACAAGATCTCTCTCTCTCTCTCTCTCTCTCTCTCTCTCTCTCTCTCTCTCTCTCTCTCTCTCTCTCTCTCTCTCTCTCTCTCTCTCTCTCTCTCTCTCTCTCTCTCTCTCTCTCTCTCTCTCTCTCTCTCTCTCTCTCTCTCTCTCTCTCTGTTTCTCTCACGCATGCACGTACGCACACACACACACATACATGTATTTCTATAGAAATTCTTCTCCTGTGATAAGTGAATGCACAGTATCAGTGAAATGGCACAGCACGAGAGTTACGCAAGATCTTGGAAAGTGGTCAACACACACTCCTGTGTGGACTGAGTGGTCACGGTTGACAAAATGGCCGGCGTCTTGTTTTTAAACCTACCGTACTCTTGTCTCTCGTTGCAAATGACTCAATGGAGTTGATAGAGCGACGTAGATAGTCCTGACCTGTAGCTAAGTGACCGTCAGCAATAATCTGAGAGAGTGCCACGATGGACTGAGAGAAACACCAAGTGGACAGAAGAATACTTACGACATACGACTATTCACTAGTTTGAATGAAAGATGCAAATGGGGAAAGTCTGAAGGATAAATTTACTGTCGCCACCAGGACTCGGACCAGAGACCTTCGCTTGAGGCCAGCGATCCTCTAACCACTCAGCTATGGTGTAGCTGTCATCCCAGCAGAGACCGTTCAACATTTTCTTCAGACTTCTTTTTGATAATGTACAAATATTCTGGGCATTCAGTGGCCGACGTGGACCACACACGCACGTTTTTCTACATGTATTTCAATAAGCCTTTTGCGCGTTGTACAGATGCACGAAATCCCGTAGAATCCCGTAGAACCTAATGGGTGTTGAATGTGCAGGACCCTATTGTGTTTTCTGCTATTTCCACTAAGAAATGGGGCCTGAAGGTATGTCAAACGAAAACCTTTTCTGACAAAGACCTAGCCAGTCATTAGTTCTAACCAAAGTGAAGAAGCTGGAAAAGAGGTTGTTTGCCATTAATTATGAGGCTAAAATTGGTCAAATGCGCATGCATAGCACACAATGAACACCCAATCGGTTCTGTACACACCTACGTCCTAGTACTGAACTTCATACATCTGTACAACGCGCAAAAGGCTTATCCCTCAACTGTGCAGTGCACAGACGTAAAACCGGGGTCAAAGGGGAAATGGAGGAGGGATGTGGGATACTGGCACTGGTGTATAAATAATATCATAAGGCATGATGAAGTCTTCGTTGAAACACATCAAATTGTCACTGGTCTTTCCATCAAAAGCAGATGCATGTACTCTTGTTTGCTGAACCCATATAAGGTATACCAGTACTTCAAAGTAGAAACTGCCAATTGTTCACCAACTACTCCTCCACTACCAATGCCCACTGCATGAAGTCAACCGAAGCCGCACATCACAGTGATTCTGCTTACCTGTAGGTGAACGCGCAGGAACGATCCCTCGACGAATTCAAAACTGCATCTCATCAGGAGGTAGAAGACGACGCATGCCTGCAGAGCAAAAACATTGGATAAACACATTAAAGATGGCGGCATGCATTATAATGCTTACTGGTATCCAAATGCACTGTTAGGTGTCAATAACAGGGAAAGCTCATATCACACGTAGGCAGGGAAGGAGCAAAGTAATTTTAACAATCTACACGTAATTTTCATGATTATTTCTTACACTGATATCATGTGTTGGTCTGTCCTCAAAAACTTCAAACAACTCCAACCACTCTGCTGAAGTTTGACTGGCCAAAGAATACACTTGCTGTGTAGCATGGCTTAATAATACAAGAACCCAACCAAATCCAATGGCCAATGGTACAATATCAAATTCTTTGTTTGATCAACGTGCCAGTACCCAGTTGCATCGTGCCCGGACAACAGTCGCAACGTATACACACAACGTACCTCCATTCGAATCGGTCGGACACAAGAGTTGCATTTCATCAGGATCTAAAAAGCAGAGAAGAATGAAGTAAGCTCAAGTTCACACAAATTGTTGTAAGTTTCCATCAAAGTAGCACATCATAACCCAACCTATAGCTGCAGACAGGCAGCGCTATCAGTGCTCCACTGTGCAGGACCACATGTTCTTCTAGCTGCCATCACAACTGAGCATTTAACTGACATGACTGCAGTAACCAAAGGACAACGCTTCTTGCTCCACGCTCAGGGCCATGCCAATGAAATGCAACCAACACAGTGAACTCTCCAAATGGCTGCACAGACGCTTTGTGGAAGGACAGAGTGTGAGACTGCACAATGTGATTTTTTATTCCGCAGCAACCTTACCTGATAGCAGAGCTCCGCGCAGTACTCCTGACTGCCTTGGAATAATGCTGGTGAGAACTGTATGTAACACATGCAATCACATGCAATCACACCACCACTATCATGCGTGTATGTAGATATCCGTGATCCAATGTTAATTACCTCAGTCAAGACAAACGCACTCTGCGTAACTCTAGATGAAATTATAAAAGATCACGTAACAAGCAAATAGCCTTTCTCTTGTGATTGTTCAAAATGATGTGAATGACTGCAATGCATGTACGCACATACAACCACGCACGTACACACACACATACACACACACACACATGCACACACGTGCATACACACATACATACTACCACCACCACATGGCCCTTTACCAAGCCATCAGTGGACTTATTCCACAGCCAAGTCCACTGCATGCATGTCTTTGCACAGTGAGTATAAGGTGCACATAGCGTGTTGACTGGAAGCTGCAGCATACATGTTTCTTGTATCTGTTTACCTTGTGAATGAAGGCACGCAGTGATGCAAAGATGTGCATCAAAGACACTTGTGACTGGTTGACTTCGAGTAGTGTTATCACAATACTGAATATCTGCATGGAGAACAGGAATAGAGAGGGGGGGGGGGGAGAGAGAGAGAGAGATAGAGGGAGAGAGAGATAGAGGGAGGGAGAGAAAGAAAGAAAGAAAGAAAGAAAAAGAGAGAGAGAGAGTGTGATAGAGAAAGAGAGATAGAGAGATAGAGAGGGAGAGAGAGGGGGGGGGGATGAGGAGGAGGATGAGGAGGAGGAGAGAGGAGATGAAGTATAACGCAAAGTGTCACGATGCAGGTACTAGTAGTGCCATGCCAACTTGTCTGGTATGGCAAACAGCCTGTGGAGGATTTTTCAATTTATCCAACTTGTGTGGATGCATGGGCAAAGTTTGTCGTTTGTCCAGTGGCTAGCCAGCCTGATCACTCACCCGCTTCATGAGAGGATTATCACCGGTGTTTTCTTCCAGCCTTTCCTGCAATTGCAACAATGCCAACACACCACCACAATAACATGTTGCATTGACACGTGGAATCACTTGCACATGTAGGTCATCTGGCCTCCTTTTCTTAGTAGGATAGGTCTGCTGAAGACACGACTGAATTACCTCTGAGCACGATGAGCGGTTTCCATTCCAACTACACTGTAACAAATATCGTAGCTCACAAGAAAATCATACGGCTAAATAGGGTCAATGCAGTCATATCCAACTGAACTATGTCCAAAAGTCAGAAACTCTATTATTGCAAGGATTTTTGTGACAGTCTTGCACTACTCACATGCACACATACAAATAAACATATACACACATCTAGCAGAAGTAATATGAATATCAAGAGTGCCATATCGAGCATTCTACGCGTCGTACGAGTGCCTTTACCTCCGGTCACTTTTCGCTTACCCTAAACTTTGCGATGAAGAGCTCCACCTGGTCTAGTACAACCAGTGTCACTTCCGTTCCCATGCTAGCCTCCAGCTTGACTCTGGACTCCTGAGTTTGAGTCGATGAACCACTTGTTGTAACCGGTGCTGGACATTGGTTAATGGAAATAAACAAAATGGTTGCAATATCTCACTACTACTACTACTACGGGCGTTTCACACAGGAAGCTGCTGTGAGGCACTGTATCTGTGCTCGGGTATTGGACGGGTGGCTACCACCAAACACAGACCATGATTGGAACAAGCGTTAGCGGTTGACTACGGGACCAATATTATAATGCTGGGGTTTGTTTGCCTTCGATCCACAAATGTCACCTAGTGTACATGTTATGCATGTGATGGGAAATCCCCTGGCAGTACTAACTGGTTGAGGCAATTATCCTTGTTCGGAGTGCAGACGAAAGGCTGACGGAAGCAGGCCGTGCTGTGTTGGTTGGCGAGTAGGTTTGCTCCAGTTGCGACTTCATCATGTTGAAGCGAGATCTAGTCAAGACCAAGACAACACAAACAAACCGTGTTTATCCCAAATACCTTAGCCATACATAGACATGTGTCTTCTCCGTTCTTGTGCAGTCATGTACATGTAGGTTGGTTCTCTTCATGTTACTGTGACACACATATCGGATGTTGATGGCCTCGCTCGCTTCTCTCCCCTCTCCTCTCACCCTAGCTATTCAGCACAAGCAAAGCTGTGGATGCAGCATACTGCTGCTACACTTCAACGCAGGAATGCTTATAATATTAGTAATACTGGTTCCTACGCTATGCGCATAGAGTGAACTGGGCATGCACACACAACACGTGCGTATCTGAGCAGGTTCAAAATTGCCGACCTTGCTGCCAGTTTAATTTTCTGGGGGGAGGGGGGGGGGGGGAGTGGCAGAGTGCAGATCATGAATTTACTTACGACTTTGCCAGGATGGCTACCTTGCCAGAATACTGGAACACTTGCAGGCTGGTTCTGAATAGAAGAGGAATCAGGCACACATAAGAAAATGAAGAACTATAATGCAGAAAAGCTGCGCAGCATGAACTCCAACACAGTGGTAGCACAGTATTTGAAATCGTATTGGACAACACCATACAATAGCAGACGCAACTAAAAAATACTCGTTGCAGTCCCATTAGTAGAATGATCACCTCAGCGGTGGAATATGCTTCAAATTTATGAATATTCTTGTTGCCTCCTACGTTGTGTTTAGTACTAGCCAGCACGGTGCTACTATCCCCGCATTAAAATGCCCTAATCCCTAAATTTTATTAGATTATATCAGCAAACCACAGGGTCAACACATTTGGTGGTAGTCACACATTTCTGGGAGTTTCAACGGTTCTTGAGAGCTCACCTTAGGGCATCAAAGTAGGCAAGAAGGTGAAGAAGACTGGAGGACAATGACCTGCTCTCTCCTTCCTTCCAGAGGTGTGACTGTCGGTCACGCTCCAAGCACTGGCGCCACCACTGCACCAGGTTATCTGCAAAACAAAAGCACATCAGTGTTTTCCAGATGAGAGCCGAACCTTCAGGTGTGCGACATTCAGAAGTAAAACCATATTGAAGTGAACTCCACTGAAGCTGTGATAATTGCAAGACAGTACCATTTAGGTGCTTTGTTCTGTGTGTATGATTCCCAGATTTTACTGCGGTTAACCAGCTTTTGACCCTAAAAACCTGAACATTACTCGAAATTACCCTGCGAACAGTGCCAACGTTAGATTCTAAAACTAGATGTAGTTGGACCCAATTCTATAATAGTACAGCCACAAATCTCATTGTTAGTGATTTGCAGCACACATCACTACCATGCCAGTATGTGACTGTAGCACACATCACTACCATGCCAGTATGTGACTGTAGCACACATCACTACCATGCCAGTATGTGACTGTAGCACACATCACTACCATGCCAGTATGTGACTGTAGCACACATCACTACCATGCCAGTATGTGACTGTAGCACACATCACTACCATGCCAGTATGTGACTGTAGCACACATCACTACCATGCCAGTATGTGACTGTAGCACACATCACTACCATGCCAGTATGTGACTGTAGCACACATCACTACCATGCCAGTATGTGACTGTAGCACACATCACTACCATGCCAGTATGTGACTGTAGCACACATCACTACCATGCCAGTATGTGACTGTAGCACACATCACTACCATGCCAGTATGTGACTGTAGCACACATCACTACCATGCCAGTATGTGACTGTAGCACACATCACTACCATGCCAGTATGTGACTGTAGCACACATCACTACCATGCCAGTATGTGACTGTAGCACACATCACTACCATGCCAGTATGTGACTGTAGCACACATCACTACCATGCCAGTATGTGACTGTAGCACACATCACTACCATGCCAGTATGTGACTGTAGCACACATCACTACCATGCCAGTATGTGACTGTAGCACACATCACTACCATGCCAGTATGTGACTGTGAAGTACATGTACAGTAATACCTGTGACTAACGACCACCCCTTGATGCCAGAGAAAGCGGTCTTTAGTGGCAGGTGGTCCTTAGTTAGAGGTTTGCATCGCACAACCATATACGAATGTGAGACCGTCCGTGCCTGGCAAAGTGGTCTGTAGTACCAGGCTGGTCGCTAGTCACAGTGGTCTTTAGTTACAGGTTGTGCTATATATGTATGTTAACTGACCTTTCTTCAGGTCGCGCACAATGAACAGGAAACATGAGATCATGGCGCGCGTCTCTTTGAAGCTCAGCTTGTCGCGCATGAAGAAGGTAGTGCCACTATCGGGAAGATCAGCGATCGGGTGGAGAGATGTCGACGTTGATTGTCGTGCGAGTTCTGCCTCAGGTGATGGGGAGGTTGCTGGCCTGATATCTGCACAGCAAGATGATATAGAGAGGGGTCATGTGTGCCAGAAAACGCTTATCCACGGCTCCAGTATGCTACAGACAGTACATGCTCTCACTGTGCACATGTCTTGCTGGATAATCGGACCTGCCCATATTCGGGAATGTTCTGCACAACTGCTGAGCTCCATATAATCAGGCAGGTGGAGAACCACTGAAACCGGTCATTCGCAATATGAACTTCAGCTTCATTGCAAAGAATGAAGGGGTTACACTGCACCTGTCCACGGGATGCAATACGTACATGTGCCCTCAGTCAAATGGCAATACCAACACACTAATCAGTCACTGAGCAGAAGTATACTGAATAGTCCGTATTTCCTGGAGCGTAAAGCCGCACTTTAACTGAATACTAATTCACGCAAAAAAGTCGGTGCGGCTTATACTGCGATGGTCAAATTAATAATAATAATAATATTCGCGGGATCCGCGTCGGCATCGCTTGAATGTTCGTTCAGAAACACACAAACTAGCCTTCGCATCCGCAGGCCACCACTATGCCTGTTAACCTTAGTGGCGAATGCAGACCTCACAAGTGAGTCAGGGGAGAGGAGGTTAGTCTCTCAACCAATCGGGCGTGTAACGGCCCATAACCCTGTGAACTGCATCCTTGTTATTCTCACTCCGAGCTGTGAGTACCCAATTGACCGTGGGTGTCGGCGCAGTTCAACACGCGTAAAAAGTCTTTTTACACGCTCCCTGCCACCAGCGCGGGTCTTGAACTCGGGACCTCATGATTTGCAGGCAGGCCTGCAAACCAATCGGCCATATGCGTTGGTCAAATTAACGGTGGTTAATGGGGTAGCAGATGTCTGTATTTCGTGACAAAAAAAATCAAATCTAGGTACGGCTTATGCTCCAGTGTGGCTTATGCCCCAGTGTGGCTTATGCCCCAGTGTGGCTTATGCCCCAGTGTGGCTTATACTCCAGTGTGGCTTGTACTTAAGCCGAGACCTCAGGTCGGCGGAGATGCTCCAGTTTCACCACCACACACCACAGTTGGGTCTGCAACCACCTCTATCATGCAGTATTCTGTTCTCGAGGTTCGTGGTTTCTCGTAAAAAAAAAAAACTCCGGAAAATACGGTACAATGTTGAATTACCTCCGACAGCAGGCACGAATGTCAGACTGCGAATTCTCGCCTTCTCCTTCTTTTCCACCATGCCCTCTGCTGCCGCTTCACTGCCATGCCTTGCGGTTTGCAGTGGCACCACACTGCTGGCTGATGTCCGTGACATGCTCTGCCTTGTATCCGCGTCTGTCCGCATTGCTGCAGAAGTACTGACGGAAGAAGAGAGTTCGGCCTTTGGGCCTTCTGAGAAAGCAGACGACTTGCGACGCTGGGCAAACGAGGTGCTTTGCCGCTCTAGAATATGATAACCCGAGAGGAAAACACAGCATGGATTCCAAAGAAAATAACGAAGACATGAAAGACAGCGACTGGCAAAGCAAAGCATCAGGTTGCACTACAGAGGGATGACTTTTGACCGGTTCATAGCATGTCTTGCAGCAAGGTTGTCTGGGGCGTGTGTGTGTATTGCAGGGGGGTACACTTTGGATACCGAACATGTAATACTGTCTGCCCAAGAGCCACTTGGAATGCATTGCTGGACTATGCCCCTGCCCCTAGTGGAAGACAAGGAGAGATTATGAATCAGATTGCTCTGCATTGGACATATACTGTCTTGTAAATTTGTGTCAACTTTGCCCGAGTACCTCCTGTGTTGGATGCTGAAGACACGGCAGATGAGTCGCCTGTCTCTCTGGGTCCTGAGCCATGGAAAGAGGCCATGGCAGCCAGGGAAGAAGCTGATGTGCTGGCTTGCATCACTGTGGTGGATGTTGTGGCCACCATTAGCTCGGCTATGGCGTTGATGTTGATGCGTGAGGTGTTTTCCAGCACGGTCAGCAGGAAGCTGCGGTAGAGCTCTGCAATTCTCTGCCTACATTCCTGGTAACGAGAAGTTACAGTGAAAACAAAACAGGGCAGCACTATTGTGATTTTTACCACAGGGGCTTCCAGAGTAATGGTAACGTCATCTTGGATCTCATTCTTGATATTTGTTTCAAAGCCTTGGTTGGGTGGGGTACTTTCATCCTTTTTCTTTCTTTTCTGTTCTACCAATAACGTCATTCCACCTCCACTGTTCTACCAGTAGTGTGAAATCAATTTTGAGTTGTAGGTGTACCTAGCATCATCCTGGAAGTAATAAATCTCTCTTTCCACCCCCCCCCCCCCACCCCTCTCTCTTCTCTCTCTCTCTCTCTCTCTCTCTCTCTCTCTCTCTCTCTCTCTCTCTCCCTCTCTCTCTCTCTCTCCCTCTCCCTCTCCCTCTCCCTCTCCCTCTCCCTCTCCCTCTCCCTCTCCCTCTCCCTCTCTCTCTCCCTCTCCCTCTCCTCTCCCTCTCCCTCTCCCTCTCCCTCTCCCTCTCTCCCTCTCCCTCTCCCTCTCCCTCTCCCTCTCCCTCTCCCTCTCCCTCTCCCTCTCCCTCTCCTCTCCCTCTCCCTCTCCCTCTCCCTCTCTCTCTCTCTCCTCTCTCCCTCTCTCTCTCTCTCTCTCTCTCTCTCTCTCTCTCTCTCTCTCTCTCTCTCTCTCTCTCTCTCTCTCTCTCTCTCTCTCTCTCTCTCTCTCTCTCTCTCTCTCTCTCTCTCTCTCTCTCTCTCTCTCTCTCTCTCTCTCTCTCTCTCTTCTCTCTCTCTCTCTCTCTCTCTCTCTCTCCTCTCTCTCTCTCTCTCTCTCTCTCTCTCTCTCTCTCTCTCTCTCTCTCTCTCTCTCTCTCTCTCTCTCTCTCTCTCTCTCTCTCTCTCTCTCTCTCTCTCTCTGTCTGTCTCCTCTCTCTCTCTCACCCAGTTTGCTGTAGCGTGGGTCAAGATCATGCTTAGCCAGCAAGTCCTGCAAAAGGCCAAGTGCAGCCCCGTCTGATCTCACTTGGGTCGTTTCGCAGTGATGTCGCAACCTGAAACACACACACACACACGCACGCAGCACCCACGCACAGACACATCATTCAGAGACATCAGTGTGTGTAGACCACCAGACTTTCGATGTGGTCGTTATCACAGGACCGAATTGTCATCCTGGCACACGATGGAAGGCTGAGATGGACGAGTGGCTGCATGTATCAATAGACATGGTTAGCATTTTTACCGTTCACCCTAATTTCGACAGTCGGCCTGCACCTTTTTGTGTGTGCGTACAAGACCTGATACGCATTTCCGTTTCTGACACAACGATCGGCTTGCAACGTCATCCTAGTTGGAATCTTACCGTTTCGTTCTCCTGGTGAACAGAGCCTTCTATCGTTGAAGCGATACCAAACCGACGGTATTTTGGGTGCTGGGTATGAGTACTGTTGGAGGCAGCATAAACGCTAAAATGCTAACCATATCTAATGCGTCTGTTGTAGACCAGATATTTACTGGCCCCAAATTGTCTTCACCCGTTGTTTCTTGTACGTGCATGAATGGAGAGTGAAAATCCACTGGGCACAGAATGCGTTTGCTGATCCTTTCAGCTGAGGAAGACGAAGAATTTCCACGAGCGTATAACTCTCCCTCTGTGGTACCAGTAATCAGGTCTCCGTCTTACCTCTGTCAGAACAAGGGCAACAAGGAAGTGTCGCTTGCCGAATTCCGTGCTCAACGTTAAGTCACAGGAATCCTCCGCTACAGACAAGTACATGCAAAGAGAAACATACCATGACAGAGTCAGTGGATACAGCTGTTAGTGCACTATACATGTACAGCCCTGTATGATAATTATTGTGAACACTTCTGTACTCCAGAATACTGAGCAACCATCAACGACTCGCTGCGCATGCATCGTACCTTCATCCATTTTTGGCATGTTGATTGGCATGAAGTGCTCATGGGAACACAGAGTCCTTAGCAGCGTAAACTTGAGGTTGTAGCGTGTCTGAGGAGTGCACAGGAAAATAGCAGCACAGTCATACACCTGCTGGATGTACAGCGTGTGCAATACTATACACATGTGCCCCGGTGCAAACATCAACTGGCAAATGGGGGATGGTCCTGTTTGCAGCATGTTGAAACTTGGGAGTCATACCAGGAAACGTGAATGCTTAGTTTCTTTCACAGAAGATAGATTGTGGCTACGTAGTGAGCCCAAATCCGATCCGGAGTATTCACATAGTCGTGACTTGTTATAATAGTGCTGTATGGACTATGGCAGTTAAAGCGACTATTGGGCTTCAAGTACTCTCCATGCATATCCTTGTACTGTTACATCTGAAAAGCATATGAAACAGCATGCAGTCCTATCGGACACACTACCCGTACCGTAGCGTCACCAGCCTTGAAGACCGATAGCGCCGTGCTGACCATCTTGAACACATGGCCTCGATCCATGACTGACAAACAATCCTATGACACAGGCAATGTAGTGAGAGCGGCGAAGCAGGCAACGTGTGAGGTAAAATATACAATATTAAAAACTATGGTACTAGGTCCAAATATCCGTGTACGGCTTAACGACACAAGGCCGGTGATGCTACCAAGCAAAACTGCTAGCTTCACCATAGAAAATTGATGTTTTGATGGCACCAATCAAATGAGAAATTCCTTGAACACCGGCTTGGCCCAGTAGAAGGCAATCCCTTATCTTCTATGAATTCCATGCTCGTAAATGCCCATAACATTGTTCATAACATTGTTCATAACATTGTTCATAACATTGTTCATAACATTGTTCATAACATTGTTCATAACATTGTTCATAACATTGTTCATAACATTGTTTATAACATTGTTCATAACATTGTTCATAACATTGTTCATAACATTGTTCATAACATTGTTCATAACATTGTTCATAACATTGTTGATCATTGGGTAAGTGTTTACGTCTTAGACTTTGCTTTGGCTAACTCTAAAGAGACCGGCGGCATGTCCAGCCCATACCTTCAAGAAGTTGCCAACGCTGGTGACAGCCGCCTGCGACAAGAAAGACACCATCCAAACATACAATACTAATTGAAGCCTACACATAGTGGATTGATAAAGCCAAACGACCTTATGGTGTCACCCAGGGTAAATCTGAACCGTCTCCCTACTATAGTTCATTGAAGCAGCACGCCAAGGGTATGACAGACAGGCGTGTATAATTGGAAGGTTCTCAATCCTCATGCCATCAGCAAAGGAGCACAATCTGCCATGGGCCAACACCCACTCTCTGTAGTGAATAGGACCACACCATTTTCATAACCGCCGTAGCATTCACGGTACCTTAGTCTGTTTGACGAAGCTATCCAGTTTGACAATGTTCTCCATCACAATGAGAATAAGATCGTTCAGGATGTCCAGGAACTTCTCCGGGAATCTTGACAAGCGAGGCCGCTGAAGCGGAAAGAAAACACAAGGCAGTACGTACGCAGATGCAGTCAAGCTGATCTTTCCTCAAATGATGGAGCAGTCTAATGAGCTTCTGTTCCGTTTCCTGCTGCTGTAGCTGATGCCCCGGGGTTGTGGCTAGGTGTGAGTGTATGCATGGGGTGTGCTTTTGTGAGGCAACGTAAAAGCAATGTCTTTATGCTCGGTCATGACTAACTGTTGCTTTGAATATAGACTAGTCCAGTGGTAGCACTGTACCATGTGAGTCACAAAAGCATAGAATGAAGTAGAAAGACCGCATTATTACCACCTGCTACCCACCGCCATGATCTACCATTCTATACGCAAACTGGACAAAGCTGCACAGTAATCAGTAATCAGTAATCAGTAAGAAGTAAGAAGTAGTAAGTAAACAGTAAACAGTAAGCTGTTACCTTGATTTGGTCAGTATAGTGAAGGTACTGTGCCATACTCTTGCTGATGATGTCCAGTAGAAACCATAGGTTCTGGGTATGCACAGATGAACAGTGCAACACATCACAGTCATCATCACAGTGAGTCGCTATTGTGCAGCACACCCAGGTCAGTGTTGCACATGCATATACAATAATGACAAGAGTGAGCCCTGCACAGCACTGTGCAGAGTGACATAAAGTAGAGCATTGCACAGAGTACACACAAGGCAAAAACCGGAGCATTCCTCAGTATTGCCGGCAAAGAACAGCAGTGAACATTCATTGTTGTAAGTCTTTGGTGTAGCAATTGGACCGCCTCTTCCATCTTTGGGCAGTTCTGTGGGATCAGTTCCCTCCAGAATGCTCAAAGACATACACAAAGGGAAAGAGAGAAACAAGACATG